TGGCGTCCACTAGGACTGGACCGAGGTCGTGACGACCGAGATTGGCTGAAGAAAGCGACAGTCCAGGCTGGTGGTGCTCACTACTGTGGACGTATCAGGATGGCATGCTTCAATGCCTGCTTGTTGTCCCAACACGAATCTCTCCAAAAGACTTGGCTGTCCCGACGCAGGAGTTTCGCGTTCAGAGCCTTTCCAGATTGAGGCGCAGATAACGCCATGAAAGGCGAGCGTGTCACACACAGCTGAAAAGATGGGCAAGCTTTGCTCGTTCGGGTCCGAATCCAGCTCAGATAAACACGGTGGAATTGTGACGGCGGCCATTGCGAGTGTTGCGCGGTGATGTTGGGCGGTGCTGATAGAGACCGAGATAGAGGCCGAGATAGAGGCACATGGCTGGTACCTAGGTAAAGAGCATGAATACTGGCCCAAGTCAGGCACCGGAGACTTGATCCCAGGCGCGCCTAATCCGGCAACCATCCAGACCCCGGCCCCCATTCTCGCGCTCGTCCATGTCCGCAGCCACAGCTTCTCCATCCCTCGTCTGCGGTCTACGGGTCTTTGGTCTGTGGTCTGCTGCGTCTGCGCTGCCCTGCTCGTTCACGTCTACATCCCATCCACGTCGTCTCCCTCAGCTGCGGTCACCATCCTCGCGTCCGTCCCCTCACAACTTGTCATTTCCGGTAAATGTCACAGCCTCTTTTCCTGAAAGACTAGACTTCTTCCAGCACAGGATTCTGCTTCTTGAACATAACCACGTCCCTTCTCTTGCTGGTCAATTTTACTCTATTCATCCTGGATCCCTGGGGCCGTTGACCGCCCTGTCTCGACCACCGCCGACCTCAGCCTGCCCTTCGCTGCCTCATACTCTGTCAGTACCATGTGATGAAGAAGAGATGTGGACGATGAGCTGACTGGATTGACAGTCTTGACTCGTTATCACTTGCGATCAAACACTGCATCTAATCGCCCACGTCCTGGAAACTTCCCTTACCGCCCTACGATCGCAGGCAGAAAGTGAAGTGACGGTTCGGACTTGACAAACGCCGACTCGTGAAATTCTCTTCTACAGATCGCTGCTCGCGGCGGGCACTTTCACATCTGGTGAGTCAGAGCAAAATGTTGTCCCGCCTCCAGGGCATTGCGCCTGGGAAAAAGAAGAAACTAAAGGTTCGCGTGCTCAGACCCATCAATCCCAACCGCATTCGCCATCTTGAGAACGATATCTTTGAGGTCAACGAGAGCGGCATGGTTGTTGCCACGATCAAGTGAGTTTGCCAGACGCCCGGAGAAGAGAGCGACCTGATTGACATGCCGGCAGGTGCGTGGTTGTTGGCGACGGTGCGGTTGGCAAGACATGCTTGTTGATCTCATACACGACAAATAAATTCCCCTCGGAATATGTGCCCACAGTCTTCGACAACTACGCCGTGACGGTAATGTGAGTCCTATCTCTCAGTTCTGAAGCAAGGGGTGGAGAGGAGCTGCCTTTCTGAAGATCTGGGCACCTTGACCTCACTCTTTTGTCTATCGCGCCTTTTCTTCATTGTCGCCTGAGACACTTTTATCCCATCTGAACTAATCTGGGATCTGCAGGATCGGCGATGAGCCATACACATTGGGTCTCTTTGACACAGCCGGACAAGAAGATTACGACCGACTTCGACCATTGTCGTATCCCCAAACGGACGTCTTCCTTGTCTGCTTTTCCGTCACCTCCCCAGCGTCATTTGAGAACGTGCGAGAAAAATGGTTCCCCGAAGTCCACCACCATTGCCCCGGCGTACCTTGCCTGATTGTGGGAACTCAGACCGATCTGAGAGATGACCCATCGGTGCGTGAAAAGCTGGCCAAGCAGAAGATGCAGCCAGTGCGCAAGGAGGACGGCGAGAGAATGGCCAAAGAACTGGGAGCGGTCAAATACGTCGAATGCAGCGCCCTGACCCAGTACAAACTCAAGGACGTGTTTGACGAGGCGATCGTGGCAGCACTAGAACCTCCTCCAAAGAAGAGCAGTAAAAAGTGCACCATCTTGTGAGAGGGACCTTGGGATTTCCAAGCGAGGGGGGATTTCATCCACCTTTCCGAGGTTTGTGATACTCTTGCTGTATCACCAGTTGGCAGTTTCCCTCACGCTAACCAGATTTTGGGATAGCACACAACCTTTTTCGTTCTCTTTCTGCCCGCGTGCGGAGCATTGATCCCAGGAGCTCGGATTGGAGCCATCTTGGACATGGAGGAACTACACTGGCTCTTCGCTGGGACAAGACATCTTCTCAGAAACGTGCATTCCTGCGACACATGCGAAAGATTTCAACACAGTCCTTCTTCTCCAAGCTTCTACCTGTGGTGACGGTTGACAAAGGAATGCGTCTCGCAATATCTCATTGGAGTTCGTATACGGGCGATCCGGAGATTTTGGAGTGCGGCATTGGAGGGGACCGGCGATTGACTTTCCCAACGGGCTTTACAATCTTGGATTCGGCAGGCTTCAGGCGTCGGTCGGATGGCGTTCACTTCCACAGTCGAGACCTCCAAATGAATGCTGACAAGGCTCAGCTTATCGTCGACGTGTCCGTTTTCGCGTGTCCACTGTCTTTCGTACAAGTCGGCATGCTTTTGTTGATTTGAGCTGGTCTCTTGCTCTCTGATTTCATTCGGTATCTGAGCCCTCTACTTGATTCTACAGTGACCCAGCACTCCGAGTGCCTTTTGCCAAGCAGAGCCACGTTTGAAAGGACACAGTGTGGTAAGGCACCGGCCCCGGCACAGCTTTGGTACCGATCGAGCGCCCAGAACTAATGTAACAGTGATCATGATAATGGTATGACAGTAGCGACGGGACCAAAAACGACAGAAGATCAGCTGTCGAACGGTGTGTCAGCAACGATAGGCTTCAAGAGGCCGGATCACTTGGATCTACTCTGTATCGTAAGTCTCATTATCACCACCAGGGATCTTGATTCAAGGACGAGTACGGAGTACATATGTAAGCAGACTATATCCTGCCTTTGCTCCTGCTCCTGCTCTCTGTCCATTTTTGGGGTCCGTCTTCAAATACATCCGAGTACTCTGGCACCTTACCATCTCGCATAGTCTTTCGGTCAAGTTATTGTAGCGCTTCACAATCCCGCAGTCGTCAATCCAGTACTGTAGCGCTTCGCAATCCCGCGTCTGTCAATCAACTCCAGTTCTCCAAGGCTAACCTCGAGTATGCTGTAAGCATACTGTATACGGACATGTAGATGGACAGGGGATGGACGTCAAAAAAGACAATCAAAGCGAGACGACATGGAGGACCAATCTAATTCGTTCACACGGGAGGTGCATAGCGCACCACAATCGACACTTGGGTAGCTACAATACCTAGTTGCAGTAATTACTTGCCTACTGTACGACGATACCCTCCGCTGCCCTTCCACCCTCTCCACCGAGTGGTACTACATACAGGACTGAAATGACATTCTTACTCTCGATCCGGCTGGTCGTTTACTGTCACTGTAACAGTACCTAAGTAGGTAGTCGACTACAGTCAGTGCACTGTACTGTACTCCTTGTGCTTGTTACTATCCACAGAACACAATACGTACAGTCTAGGTAGGTACCTACCTAGGTAGGAGTGAGTGCCTATTCCGGTACTGGTACCTAGGTAGCAGTACAGGTAGCAGTTCCACTACCAGTACAGACAGCCGTACCAGTGTCGCTCTTCACATCCCTCCCCTCGATCTGGCACCTCACATGGACATGATAACTGCACATGATGGACCGGGAGAGGAGTTAAAGTTGAAAGTCTGAGATTGAGTGGGCAGTGCCACTCAGTTTTCCCTTTCTTCGCTTTTACCATTCTTCTTTTTCCCTTTTCTTTCCTTTCTTTACCCTTCCTTCTTTTTTACCTCGTTCCCTCCGGTCAGCAAGCCAGTCAGACAGTCAGTTAGCTAGCCATGGGACCAGCCAGTCGGCCAGCCAGCCAGCCAGCCGCCACAGCCCAGGGTACAGACTACAATAACCACTCGCCGCTCACTATCCAAGCCAGAGAGTCATGAGACTACTGTGCCTAGGTACCGGCTGGCTGTCTAGCTGTCTGGCTGTCTGGCTGTCTGGCCGGCCACCACGGCTCTGAACACCAAGGTAGAAGAAATACCTTCAGTAACCAGCCCGGGCATGTCGCTGTCGCTGTCAGATCACACATGTGTGAATAGATATCTCAAGCTACTCTCCGCCAGTTGACCTCGCTGATGAGATCGGATCCATAGTGGAATGCTGTCCACTGTACACCCGTACACCGGTACCTATGTAGCACTTTATGGGTATTAAGAGTATCAAGAGTACCGATCGATCGATCGATCGAATATACCTACCTACCTACCTACTTACCTACATATGTACCAATTCTTGATTGGGTAGCGTCTCTCAGAGTCATTGCTAGTACTATTCCATTCGCTCTGTCACTACTCACTCACTCACTACACACTCACTACACACTCACTACACACTCACTACACACTCACTACACACTCACTACACACTCATCTCATTCACTGACCCGTCGAGCTGGCTGGCTGGCTGTTTGGGCTGGCCTGGACAGGGCTGCCAAATGTGTCGTTTTATCCTTCAGACGTCCTGTTGGCTTTTGTTGGATCGGGGTGAGGAACTGGACACTCGACACTCGGCAGTTGACAGTCGACACCAGAGCACACACACACACACACTGCACAACCAACCACCATATCATTAAGATGGCTAAACCCCCAAGTGCGGAAGAAGAAGCCATATTCTCCATCCCGGATATCAAAGTACTTCCTACGAGTACAGGACATGCCATGGCCTTTTTCAAACGTGGCCTTTTCAACGTGGCGTTGCTCTGCACATTATCTTCCAGTAAGTGTGCAATGCGCAATGCGCAAATGGGCGAGCACGGAGCGCGCCAATGGTCTCTTGGTCTCTCCTACTGCGAAGAAATACGTCTCCTTCGCCCAAGAGCACTGCACTGCACAGACATAAATTCAAGAACCCATCTCTATCCCGTCCATCCCATCCACCCCATCCACACCAGTTCCATTCCCATTGCCGCACCCGTGTCGAGAGACAGAATGTTTCGTAGAAGGTGCATATCCTGTAGGGGTTGACTTCCTGGACGCAGAAGTGTCATCTCGCCATCGTCGACTTTCCTCTCGACTAGCCAGCCGACTCTCCTCTCGACTAGCCAGCCATGCTGCTTTCCCGGACTGGCCGAAGGATCCCAGTGAAATCTCGGCCTCGTCGTCAGCGTCTTGCGCGTCCCCATAATCTAGTGCGTCACCGTTCAGGAACTTTGTCTTCGGAGCAGCGCTCATGGTGCTCATTTGTAGGGCAGGGTCGATGGGCAAGTCCTGAACTAGAAACGTCTTCGCTGGAGGGACGTCAAACCCGCCACTTCGCAGGATTGGATCAATGTTTGGGTCTTGAGCAGGAGGGACCCGATTGCCGTTCACACTACGGTTAGACACTGGGCGTCCGATCTCTACCGAGGGTGTAGGATTGCCCGGACGGTTCAAAATTGCAAGTCTCCGGTTGATGAGCTCCTGGAGTTGTAGCAGTTGGTCCACCTCTGTTCGTTCGGCGGCTCTCACGACCTTATCGGGAGCTTCGCTGATCAGGGTGTTGGTCAGTTCGGCTAGTGCATCTCCAGAATATCCATCAATTCCCCTCTCGGACATCCGAGCGAGGTTCAGTACGGTCTGCTGTTCTCTGATCGAACGGTTCCGCAAAGCGACGTTGGCTTTGGCAGTCTCTGTAATGGCGAGGGCGTTTGCACCGGTGAAGAAATCCGGCTCGCGGATCTTGACAATGCTCTGTTGAGGTGGATGATGAAGGACCGCGCCATCAGGACGATATTTCCGGTTGCGCGTCCTCTTGGGTGCGTCCATCAGTCTGGGGAAAGATTGGTCCTCGTACCAACTCTTCTTGACCCGGTCGATAAAGTCCAGGCGGATACCCATCTCCGGGACACGATAGACTCTGCCATTCATCCGCAATTCCTTCAATTTGTCAGCTTCGGGCTGGTCTTTTATGAGCTCCACCTCGATGACTCCGTTGTTTCTGAAGCCGCGAGCGACCGCGATGTCCAACGGTATGGCGTTCTTCGGCCTCCGGGGTTTGGGAATACGACCCAGGTCGCCTGGAGCTTTCTCGGCCTGTCGGCTGACGGACAAGAGGTCCTGATCGACGTGAAGCGGACAGCGCCACGCGGCGCCTGGCTTATCACCGGCGCGACGCCGAGGCGGTACGGCAAGCGGCGGGTCTATGCAATCCAGGTGCCATTTAGCAGGACAGAAGTCGCACGGGATAATGTCGCGTCCATTGGTGGTCAGGTTGCATTGATAGCATCGGATGATGTGGCCTTTGCCGTCGCGCGTCTCCTTGTAGTTCGGCTCCTCGATGAAGCCGGCTCGGTTCATCCTCCCGACATTGTTCTGGGTGCGGGGGAGACCGACTTCTTCATACTCGCCTTCCTCGCCCGTACGGACGCCTTCAAAGTACTCGCGAATATCAGGGGGTAACGCGTAGGCCTTGGGGATGATGTCGTCGACTCGACGGATGACCATGCCCAAGAGTCCTGCCGGAGATGGCGCCTCTTTGGTTCTTCGGGCGACGCATCGTGGGCAGAACCACTCGCCTTCGACTTCTTCCTCAGGGTTCAGAGGCGGCTCCAGGCACGCATGATGGAATGAATTCGTGCATCCATCACAGCAGAGCAGCTTTCCTTCGCCACCACACGACGCACAAAATTCATCATTATCCTGGAAAACCACGTCAGTGACCAAAAGTTGGAACATCAATCACATTGGCAGCGAGCTGTGGAAGGGAAGTGCATGTATACTGTAGGCCAGATAGATAATGACAGAAAGCGGGCACAAGGTAATCAGGGAAGAAAGCAGGATCAGGAGGTTGATGAGAAGGGATTAGAAGGGGGAGGTGGCCGGGGAGAAATGGCTGAGCCAATGGTGGCGCGGCACAGGCCTGGTGCGCGGAGGAAACAGGTGGGAAAAAGGAAGAAAACACGATCGACTTGGACGGGCTGCGTAGGCGTGTGCTTGTGTGCCTGTGTGCCGGGGGGTTCTGGGGCTCCCGGGACTCACCTCTGCGCCTGAATCCGCACCGTTGACATTGCCGATCGCAGCATCACGGCTGTCACGCCCAGGCCCCGCACGTGAAATTCCTGCCGTGATTCCGCCATTCTTGGGCTTGTTGGGCCTATGGTTGATGAGTGTCAGTCGATTGCTCCATCCATACGTATACGCTGCCACTGGGTGCCTCGAGCGTCGCTTTGGACATGTGTCCGCTGGAGCCTGAAATGGGCTCGCAGAGTCCGGCTGCCAAGGCATTCCCAGAGCATTCAAGAACCAAGAAGAAATGCATGCACTTACGAGACCATCACACGCGCAGACTTGCGAGTCTTCTGCGCAGGGTGGAGTCTGGTCGCTCTCGGGGTTGCGGCTCGCGACGCAGCCTTTGCCACGCCCGGCGGCGGCGGTGGTACAAGCAGCGGACCTGGCGACGACGATCCGGCCGAAGTAAAGTCAAGGTCATCGGCCTCGACTTCATCATACGCTCTCTTGCGGCCGACGCCGTGAGCCGGAATATCGACAGACGGTGGCTGTACGCTCAAGGCAGATGGAAATGCCGCCTGTGAGACGGCGAGACGATTGGGGTGAATAACAGGCGGAGGTGGATTGTCGGTCACCACAAGGCGTTCTGGGTGGCCGTGGATAGGCTCTCGTTCACTGCTTTCCGGCCGAGGAATGGTGTTATAGTCATGGAAACTGTCATCCAGAAAATTTCGTTTCCGCCGAGAGAGCTCGTCGAGGTCAAATTCTGTTTCTTCGCGTCCCTTCTTGAATCGCTTGCTGGCATTGGCCCTCGAGGCAGTCGCGGCCTCGGGTTGGGAGTGTTCGGGAGAGGGTTGAGCAGGGTGATTTGGGGCACTGGCTGATGAACGGAGTCTGCTGCCAGCTGGCCCCCGGCTTTTGTCTTGGCGCCGTGCAGCTGGTCCCGATCCTCCACTGCCATCTGGGCCATCCAGCTCTATCCAATCTTGCGGCAGCACTCCCTCAAAATCTGATGGCGGCGGCGACAGTGAAGAGGAACTCGATATACTGCCTGATCGTTTCCGTTTGTGCGGCGATGTGGTCGCGGTTGGCCGAGACGTCCGAGTACTGAGCTCCGGAACCCCCAATTGAGGCGGCACCGTGGACGGCGAAACTGGCATCTCCTCGGAACCGTAGGTACTCGGGGGGGCTGTTCCGCTAATGTAGAGGTTGAGCCTAGGATGTGGCTGTTCGGGATAGCCCGGTGGAGGAATTTGGCTGTGACGTGGCCTCGGTGAGTGTTCTCGGTAATTGGGCGAAGTGAGCTCGCTGAATCTCTGAGGTGAGGGATGATAAGGGCTCGCGGACATTTCAGACTCTCTTCTGTGCTGCTTGACGCCGGATTTGATGTAGCGCTTGAAGAGTTTGAACTGGTCCGGAGTGGGAGAGTTGCTCATCATCGCCTCAACGACATTCCACAAATCGTAATTGACGTGAGCATCCTCACGAAGTCGCTGGAGGCCATTCACAAGAGCGGGCGTGTTCTTCTGCTGGGCTTCCTGGATGGCGCGCTCCACGTGGGTTCGAAGTCGGTCTTGCCGTAATTGCTGCTGGATCGACAGTGGTTTTGGTGAGACGTGCTGGGCAGGAGCCAAGGGATACGTAATGGGTGACGGTGACAGGCCGCCAGGTTGCGGCATCTCTGTAGAGAGTCTCCCCGACGGCCGACCTCGTGGCGGACTCGCGATCAGGATGGTATCGGGCGGCGCTTGATGGGGAGGGGGAAGGTCGGGAAATATGCCAGGCGGTTGCTCTGCCGCTGCGTCCTCGACGGGCGACGCCAAATCCATCTTTTCTGCTGGCTCCGTCGCCGGCGTGACCACCTCCTCCGCTATCTGTGCCGGTGTTGGTCGTGGCGAGGGTCTCGCATAGGTCAACTTCAACTTCTGCAGCAGGCGTTGCGAAGGCGCGGTGCCCAGCGGCTGCATGTTCTCCAGCACTCCCACCCGCTCGAGGCCTCTTGAATCTTCAAAACTCGGGGCCGGCGGTCGCAACGCTGGCTCGATCCAACCATCCAAGCTGGTCTGTTGCCCATTTCTCGGCGGCGGGTCGTCGACGGGCTTGGGTGCAGGCTCTTTTTCACCAAAAGTCGCCGGACTCGAGTAACGGCTCGACCTGTGGCGCAGCGACCGGGTCGCCATGCTGCCTTCTTCCTCACGCCGCACGCGCCGACTGCCTGGATATTCGTTCAGGGACGTGCAATGAGCTGGAAGAGCAGGACTTACTGTAGCGTGGGCTGCAATGCGGCAGGCGATGGGCGTGGTGGGAGGGTGGGTGGTAGAGGCCGAAGGTCAACGGAGCATGGTGTTGTGGTGGTCGCAAACGCAGGAAATGCAGGAAATCAAGAGACGGGGCAAAGGGGCTTGAGCCTTAGCCTGAGCCTTTGCCTGCGCTGCGCTGCACTGCGCAGCTTCCCCCCAGTCGCCCAGGAGCCAGTCACCCGCCGGCCTCCGCAGCGCAGCGGCAGCTCTTCGGCGTCCCTGCAGCTGCAGCTCCCAAGGCTGAGAGCTCCCTGTTTTTCACTCGGGTCCCTTCCTTCTACTCTGCCCTCACTTTCTTTTTTGTCGTGCTTTACGTGTGCGTGTCAAGCAAGCGCCTCTCACCCCACGATCCCAGTGATGGCCAGAGTAAAGTCCTGTCTGCCCATTCAGACGACAGCGACACTAACGCCTCGCCCTATCTCAGGCAACAGTCACTGCTTTCATCATGACGTGGCGACAGCTCTACCGGCCTGCCTTGGCCTGGCGTGCCCCTCTTTGTCTACAAGTCTAATCGGATCACGAGTCACCACAAATGAAGCCCAGGCACAGACAAGGACCATCTTGACAACACCTCTCATTCATCGTCTTCTGTATGATAAGCGTGTTGCTGCTGTCGTCTTTTTCCTTCATTGACTCGTTGCAGCTCCTCGAGCTTCGATGATAGCTCCGCAAACAAGCCAGCGTGACTGACGTCGCATGCTGCCAACCTGAAACGCAGCTCCTCTCGGTTGCGACTTGGTCGCGTCAGATGCCCAACCAGTCAATCCCAGTCATCCCGTGCACATTGACCCGTCATCTGTAAGAAGCTATGTCTCATAGACAGTCTTGCTGGACGGCCATCGCGCAAGCCAGTCACTCCAGACCAGCCTTCCGATCTGGACGAGTACCAAGCACTCACTCATCGTCACTGTCGTCTTCGTCATCGTCGTCGTCCTCTTCAGCAGCTGCCGCGGCCTTCTTGGCTGGCTTCTTCTTCTTCTTCTTGTTCTTGCTCTTGGAGCCGGTGGACTTGGCCAGCGGACGTTCCAGGATCGCCAAAATCTCCTCGTCTTCGATCTTCTTGTCGGACTTGACAGCATCTAGATCCAACGCAGGAGGGGCCGCGAGACGGACCAGGCCATTCTTTGTGATACCTAAATCCTGTCTTAGCAAGATATACCAATGTGAAATTCGTCTCTAACTTACCAACGGTAGTAAAGAGCCGCGAAACGGGTGATCCATCTGCCTCGGCCGCTGGCTTGTACTCACGGAGCACGCCAGATCTGATGCACTCGACCACACCCACCTTCCCGGCTCTCTCATCGTCCAACTGCCGTAGACTGAAGGGGAAAGTGCCGAATTTCTTGACGATCTCTGAAAGAACCTGCCTTGAGCTGGGCCGTTTCAAGCCGTAAGTCGTCGTGGTCCGTCTGAGCAGGGTTGACCGTTTGTCTAGCTCCTTGACCTTGCCTGAGCCCAGACTCATGCCCATTTCTACTCCCCAGACCTCGCCGACCTCTGCTGAACCTTCTCCTTTGGCACCGTCGGCAGGAGACAGGATGATCTTCTTCTTACCCTCGATCTCGTTCTTCTCGAACAGCCAGGAAGTGGTATGCTGAACAACGTGGACGTCATAGGCTTTGGCTATCTTGTCGACGAGCGACGAGATCTTGGTCTGCGTAGGCGGTTTCTCCGCCGCAGCCTTCTTCTTCTCTTCGTCTGTGCCCGTCGCCAGCAGCCCCGGGGGGACCAACAACCTCAGCAGCAGTTCATTGGCATAGTGTGTGGCTAGCAGCAGGTCTGCGTCTCTCCCCGTAATATCTGCCTTGGCACCTTTTTCTTTGGGCACGACCACGGTATTGCCCACGATCGCACCGAAGCCATCGATCTGTGCTCCCAATTGGATCTTGATCAATTCTCCAGCCTTGATTGTGGTTGCTGCCTCCTCCGCATCCGAGACCAGGGGTGTGAAAGGAGTGACGTGGGCACTAGGTGATATCGTGCACGGAGTGGCGATGCCCTTGTTGACCGACTTGCCCTTGTACACTGCATCGTCTCTCCGTTAGCCCTGTAATCAAGCGTTGAATGGCAACCGAGCCCCCGCGTGAGGCCATGCAGTGAGCCCGGCTGCTGCTGCTGCTGCTGCTGCGTGGTAGAGGCCAACATACCTTTGCTCAGTTCTTCGTCAAGAAGGGCGTCTCCCTTTATGCACAAATCCACAATCTTTTCCCCGTCGGCCAGCCATTTGGTGACTTCCTCGAGGACTTTGTGGCTGATGGTCGCCGCGATCTTGTACCTGAGCTGGAGGTCAGTAACGGGGCAAAGTCGAGAGGTGATGGACCGTGGGTACAGGTACTTACTTGGTCAGATTGTCTGCATTCAGGATGGAAGTGTCTGGCCGAGTATGTCAGTCTTTCCTGTTCGCAGCGGACCGCTGTGCCCTTCAACCATGGTGGGGTGAGTAGCGTGCCCTGAGCCGGGTCGTGTCCCGCGCCAAAAAGTAGGTGTAGGTTGACGTACCGGCATCAGCAGCAGAGTCCGCCATGCTGACCAGAAAGTGTTCTCGATGTGACTTTGTGGACAAGGGAGAGGGTAAGGTTCGTGGTCGCAGTCGAACCCTCAAGGCGTTGGTGGGGAAAATTGAAGATGTGTTTGTGCGTGCCTTGAACACAGATGAGGGGAACCAGCCAGGCAGATCACGTAGAGGCAGGGGTCAGGCAGTGCCTGGTCGAATCATGGCACACGACATCTGTACCACCTGGCCACCGCCGTCTCTCACATGAGTTTACCGTGGCCGACCGAACTACAAAGACCCGATGAGACCAGCAGCATGGGGTTTAACAAGCTCTACTCCCATTCACGTAATCGTAGCCGTATTGGCAGGAGAACTATTCCAATGCAGTGGACAAGACATCTAGTTTGTCCGCGTACACAAATCCTAGACTTGGATCTACGTAGACTCTTTCTTCGCCGTCCGGGCTTCCACGTGGGATCTGTGATTGCGGTTCTTCAGGTGAGACTCAAAGTTGGTGGCTGTCAAGCCCTCTCCCGGTAGGTAGACCTTGCCCTGTCATGAGCTGTCAGCGACCCGTTCGCTCTCAGTTGCAACAGAGTAGAACTCACGAGGCAGTCAGAGCACCTGATACGCGGCACATATTTGTGCGGGAATGATCGAGTGGCTTCGCTCGGCGTAACAAGCTTCTGGGTGGCCGGATCAACGGCGGTATGTTTCATGAGAGCTTCGAATCGGTCATTCGGGTAGATTTTACGAAGACGTTGTAGATCTTGAACAAGCCACTCCGGGGGCGGAGGCTGAAGGCAAAGGTGGTCAGCGTACATAGTGGCAACTGGATCCAATGACACTTACCGCTGGGGTCGTTGGATTGGCTGTGGCGTCAACTGCACCGGGAATATCTGTTGAAGCCGAGGACGGAGCCATTGCTGGAGAGGGAGGAGGCGGCATGCCGACGAGATTCAGAGGAGCCGCCGATACAGACCGTGAATGCGTGCCAGGTCGAGGACTGCCGGCGTTTGACAAGTTCGACATGTGTGCGGCTCTGTCCCTGAGCCGCTGCGAGCGCATCCATTCCCGCATTTTCGTTTTCCCAACTTTAAGCACGACGATCAGCTTCTCCGGTGTAGATTCATCGTCGCTCTCTTCCTTGTAGTCTCTCTTCCTCGCTGATGCTCGCCCCTCATGATGCAATGGTGCTATTGATTCGGGTGTCGCCGACCTAACCGATGCGAACCCATTCAAGTTCGATCTTATACCTGCCGTTGCCGTGAGTGCGGCGTTCCGGATACCCCTAGTTCGGGCAGTGCCTCCCTGCAGCAGATGCGCCGGGATGGCTGGTGAATCGGGGGCTGAGTCGTCACTGTCTGATTCGTCCGAATCTTCAAACCCGTCTCGCTGTCCGCGCACCGACTTCCTGGTGGCCTTGGGCATCCGGAATATCCTGCTTTCCTCCGTGGTTAAAGCGGCCCCAGGAATGACGGAAGACACCACCAGGGATCTTATCGTTCGTTGACGGTCCTTGAGATCAGGAAGCGCCGGACCCCCACGACGGTTCGTGGAGCGTTTCTGCCTACGTTGCTCTCGAGAGATGGATAGCTCGGTCCGCTCAAGATCCGCCTCGTTGAGCTCGTACAGGTAGGGTGTGTAGTCCTTCGCCGCCTGGTAAGGACGGAATGTAGTCGGCAAGGGGGATGGCAGGAAGTTTTCCCTCAAATCCGGGTCGTCGATGGGGCGGCCGTCGAATGGATGGCCTGTGATATGTAGGGACTTGGAGAACAACTGACATTGCTCGCGTATCGAATGTGCAATGGCAGTTGTGAACTCGCCGGCTAACGATAGATCACTGGTCATCTGCCGCGCAAACTCCTCAGGCGAATTGAAGGGATTGTTTATCTCCCACTCGAACTGGTCGATGAGGGTATTTTGGCCAATGGTGATGTTGAGCTTGACGAGAATCCGCATTTCATCGTTCTTGTACGCAAAGTATGGAAGGGATGGTTCCCAGGGTTCGTCATCGGCGTAGATCTGAGGGCAATAGTCGTTCAGTTGCTCACGAATATGGTTCGCTATTGACTGGGTCAGCGGACGACAGTTCTGCACTTCGAGCCCGAAATCTTCAACCACTTTCTCCGCAAAGTAGTCAATTGAAGTCGTTCGGTCGTGGAGATTCCAGGTGAAAGTGTCGCGCAGCTTGATCTTGCCCCATTCAATGTCAAGCCGGATAGGGACCAGTTCCTCGCTCTGTTCGGCCTGGATGTTCTGATCCTTTCGCGATACTCGCGGCGGCAGAGTCTTCCTCTTGCCCAGTCTTCTTTGTCGAGGATACAGGACGGGGTCGCGAATGGTTCTGTCGTCTGTTCTGGGATTGCCGAACCCCTCGTAACCATAGCCAAAAATGGAGCCAGGATCATGCTCTCTTCTCTGTCGCAAGCTCTGATAAAGCGCGAGCTCTTGCTTTTTCTGTTGCGATATTACCGGATGGGCAAGCTGCTCCGCATAGAGGGCTTTATAGTGATACTCGCGATCAACGTACTCGGCGGCTTGGATGCGATCAATAGGAGTCTCGCGCTTGCGCTTTCGGGTGGCCCCAGGACTGGCGTCGCGGCCGTTGGTCTCAGTGGTAGAATCCTTCCTTGTGACATCGATACCAGAAGCTGCGAGGACTTCTTTGGCTCGTTCTTTGCCTTGCGCGATCGTTTCGTCGTTGCTGTGAGGTTGGGCAGAGGCTTCCGCAGGCGCGGTCACCGCAGTCGCACCATCGGGAGTATTGCTCATCGCGACATATCAAGGAGGCGAATCGTATGACGGTGACTGAATGGCCAGGTCGGGCGGGACGCGTTTCTATTGTCTTGATTAGCCATCGGAAGACCTGGCGATTGGAACTGGGCAGGCAAAGATTGGACTGGAGTGGGAGGCTGGAGAGCAGTCACAATATCACGTCGACACCATAGGGGAGAGGAGTGAAGTATGGACAACCACTGAGAGACGGAAAATCGATACATACCAGGTCCGGATCGGCTGTAGTCGATGCGCTCAAGGCCAATGTATGGGGTTGGTATGGCATCAATCTCGAATCTGGACGCTGGACTCAGGCGCAGTTCGCGACAGGACACCATCCCTCGATTGGGTTTAGCGTAGACCCTTTCCGGAAGCAAAACAGCCGATGTCTCGCCTCACCCTCACCTCAGTTGCTACGCAGCGACGCTCAGCGTGTGAGAGAATAGGCGATACTACCGTAGGAGCGACGACAACTCCTCGAGATGCCTGAATTGGAGTACGGTCATGAGGAAGCACGGCGCAAGTCGACCAGTGTGGTGTGTCCCAGGTGTTGGATAGAAAGCGAGTGGAGAACTAGTTCCCTCCTAACCACTGTTTTATCTAAATAATAGCCTCTCACTCGTCCTTCTCACCACCAGGCTGGGGGAGCGTGATCAAGGGGATCGATGCGTCGCTCGAGACCGTCATGTCAGGCAAGGTGGTGAGGGTGACGAAGGGCCAGCGTTACACGCTGAGGACCGACAGAATCCTCAGCCGGGATTCACTGTGCTCGAGAGTATCCCGAACCCGCCTCTGAAGTCCAAGCCTACTTGAAGGCTCTCATGGGACTGACTGAGCAGGTCCAGTGTGATTGTCTTCTCGTGCTGAGCTTTCACGAGTACTACCAGCACGGGAATCGGGCCTCTGGGTGTTAAAGCGGCGAATCAAGCAAATGACATCATTGGACGGTCTGGCGTCGACAGCCTCCCATCCCATCACAGCGCACCACGCCTTCTGTGAAACTCATTCGCAAACCGTCGTGCCATGGTCCACGTGGATAATATCAGCATGTTCACTGTTGACATTCTCTGTCCAGGTCCTCTCCAGGTCCTCAGTGACTTCGTACCACCATAGACACTATGCCCTAGTAGATCTTATTGTCACTTACACCTATTTATATCTCTCCGCCTGCCTCCTAGATTGCCCTGACTTCGGCTTCCACTCCTTCACAATATATCTTTGCACAGAAAGTCGAGCTGACCCGACCTGGGATTGATTGCTAGAGCATCCTTCAACCTAGCTGCAGAAACGTCCATCGTCTTGTTACCCAGGGGTTTGCTCTAGAGCGCAGTGCACTGACTCTTTTTCTTTCTTCACTTCGAAACACCCCACCATGGGCGACGCCTCGTCTCCTCCTCCCCCTGGGTCCGCCACCAGGGATGCAGCCACCTCAGAGCAGTCGTCCTCGACGGTGATCCCAATCCGGATCCTGACACACAACATCCGCTTCGCGACCGACAATCCAGACCGGGCAGAGAAACTGTGGCCCGACCGATTCCCCCACCTGTCCAGCCACTTCAAGTACCACACGCGGCCACACTTCGCGCCGCCCACGACGCTGGTGTGCATGCAAGAAGTGCTCCACGAACAACTTCTCGACCTCCACCAGAAAACGTTCAACACCTCGAGCTCGAGTGCGAGCGCGAATGCCACCGCGACACGCTCGGCCAACGACAACGACAACGACTGGACCTACGTCGGAGTCGGCCGCAACGACGGCAAGACCAAAGGCGAATACAGCCCCATCTTCTTCCGGCAGTCGGCCTGGAAATGCATCCACTTTGAGACCGTCTGGCTGAACGAGACCGGCCAAGTCGGCAAGAAGGGCTGGGACGCCGACTCGGTGCGCATCCTGACTTGCGCGGTGCTGGAATCGGTTCCGGCCTCCCATTCACATGGCTCACAACAACACCACGCGTCAACCAAGCGAGTCCTCGCGATGAACACCCACCTCGACAACGAAGGCGAGATCTCCCGCCGCGAGTCCGCCAAGGTGATCCTGGCCGTGGCGTCGCGCCTCCGCGCCCGCTTCTCTCCGGGCTTCACATTCCTATGCGGCGACCTCAACTCGCGCCCGGACGGCGACGCGTACCAGATCTTGAACGGCCCGGGGTCCGGCTTCGTCGACGCACGTCGTCTGATCCCGGACAACGAGGACGGCAAGATCTACGCCTTCGGCAACGACCTCACGTTCACGGGCTTCCCCGAAGATCCCGCCGCCACGGGCGCCGAGAGGATCGACTTCATCCACCTGGGCGTTCCGCAGGACATGTCTCTGGACGGACAGGGACAGGAACTAGACGCACATAACCCCTTCAGAGACATGGTCCAGTGCTACGGCGTGCTGCCCAATCGATTCGACGACCGGGTCTGGTTGAGTGATCATCGCGGTGTGGTCGTGGATGTGCTGGTTCGGTTGTGAGGACAGGGTCGAGAACAGTTCTTCCCTTCTCTCTCCTTTCTGCATCTCTCGTCGCGGTTGGAATCGGATGGATAGATAGCTCGGCTAGAGGTACAACAGGAGTGGACAGGACAGGAAAGGACAGATCAGGCCGGGACATTACAAGATAAGACGTGATAAGACGGGATATTCCCTTGCACTTATATCAGACCAGCACTGCACTGCATTGCGATTCGGCTTCTGGATTACTGTACTTTGGCACGGGTCGTCATGTATGCGTGCATGGCCTGGAAGACATTACGCGTGCTCATATCCGCGTGTGAGATCACAATCGTGTGGTCAACACTTTCGATTTCTGGGTCTAAAATACAGCAGATGGCCTCTGTTTGTTCCTACATTACACATGTAGAATGGACCAAATCGTCCAAGAAATTCCTTTATTGTACAGACCTTCTTTGCTATACAACCATCGCGACATGAGCAGAGCGTCGTATCGCTTCTGTCATTCATACCGCGCATGGTAGATGCTTCCTTGAGAACACTCTCATCCGCCTGTTTGGGGGGGGCTCGTCTCTATGACGGTGAAGATGTGGCCAGCGAACAAGATGAAGACCTCGTGATTGAGTCCCTGCGAACCTAGTGATCCGCCAGTGTCTTGCCACGCTGATGCACCTGTGCCGTTTTCCACCACCCTTCTAGACACGGATGATGCTCAAGATCCCTGCAGTAGCTCCTGCTGCTACTGTGCAACGAGCATGTTGCGCACACTGCGCCAATAATCCGGATGCACCGTGCTCTCCACCTCGTCTTTGCTCAACCAGCGGAAGTCGTGAATTTCTTCGAGGCCCATGTCCGGGGCTACGACCACGCCCTTCTTATCTCTTGCAGAGCCTTTCGCTACGCCAGCCGGGAGATCCTCGGTCTTGTTTTCCTCGCTCTCGCTCGCAGCGGCGGTGTTCGGAAGGGCAGCTTGCCCAGCCATGATGCGGGCTTTCATGAAGAAAGTCTTTTCGCCGTCGATGAGCGATTGAGTGGCTGCGAGATCTTGTTTGAGTGGCTGCGATTCCGAAGTGGAAGAGATTTCAGTTGTTGCAGGCGTCGATTCTGAGAGAGGCAGAGCAGCGCGTCCGGGAATGTACCTCTGGGGTAAGGACGGAGAAGGGCGTGGAGAGGAGAATTTCAGAATGGAGTGGCCGACGGGATGGTTGCCGACGAAGAAGGTGTTCATGTTGGGGCCGAGGGAGGTGAAGAGAATTCGTTGCGCAGCCTGTCAAATACATCTGTTAGCATTCACTTCGCGTTCCCGATCCCTCGCCTTGCGCAAAACCACAGTCAGTGAAGGAATCGGCAACCGACCTCTTTCAATCCTTCATACCCAACGACGGGCCCAGAAGGAAACTTCCAATTCCACTTCTCGTCCCCGTTCCCATCCCCCTTAGTCTTGACCAGCAAGTACAGTGTCCGCTGCAATCGTCTCTCCAAATTCCTCAAGTCACCTTTCTCATCCGCTTCTGTCGTCCTCCGTAACCCTGCGTACTTTGCATTGCCTCTCCCGGTGAATTCTGCTTGCCTACCTTCCTCGGCAATTAGTTTTTCGACAATCCGTTCTGGACGACCTGTCTCGTCGCCCACGAGGACCTCATCATTCCACGCCTCTTTCGTGTACGCGTTGTACGCTCCTATATCCCGGGCGGCGGTGCCTCCCCGTTCGCGACGGTGTTTTCTCCAGTGCTCGAATGCAGGCGTGTTGCGACGGTAGTAGAAATACTGCGTGAATGGCAGTACCAACCGTTCATTGAGACGCCGCTGATAGAGGTAATAGGCTGTTTCGAAGGGGTGCGGGTCGGGGGTTATTAGTGGTGGTCGCGAGAGCACAATGCCGGCTTTTATTGCGAATGTCGGTTGAGGTGCAAGGGAGGCTTCGGGGCCCAAGGGAGAAAGCTGAGTGATTGGAGGTGCAGTATCTTGGGAGACACTTTGAGCGGCGGCTGCTGATGCGTAGCTTCTTCGTGAAAGCGTCTGAAGGCAGGAAGAACAGATGTGCTGGAGTGAATTGGGAGAGGCTGCAACGGTCCAGTGAGCATTTCGTCTCTAAACTATCCAGTGCGATGGGAACATACCAAGAGCACTAACGACGCGTTTGGCGCCTCTTGAGCGAGGAGACATGTTGCGACCGTGTGACGCTTGATCGCAAGACCTAGAGGAGTTGAAGTGTTCGCTGCTTTCGCTGCTTTCGGTGCTCGATGCTCGAAAAAGTTTAGGGAACCAATCAGGATCTAGGACGCAAACGGCAGGTTCTCCGAACAGCCCTTTTTTTCTGCACTTCAACTCGTTCACGCGGCCTTCTTCTTCAGTAGAAGGTTGCACAGGATGTTGAGCTTGGTGTGAAGAATGAGGGTCCTTCGTTATGAAGCCAGGACAAGCCGCCGCATAGCGTCGTCCAAACATATGGAGCGATCAGCATCCTGTGCCTACCCCGTCCCGAAATATCGTCTGCTCCAAAGAGAAGCAAGACCATCAATGTGTTCAAGCACGTCTTGAAAGCGCAACCGGCACTAATTCCTTATCATGAACTGTCCGTCTCCATGGCTTCTTCATCATCATACGGTGCCCAGACTGAACTTCAAAAGGGAGTCCTTTTCGCTAGCAGGACCGACTCTTATTGTTATGAAGGTACTGTTAGATAGTTACTCCGTACAAACTGTCCAACGAGGAAATTCTCAAGACTCAGAGAAACAAAATCTTAGGAGACGAGTCAAGCCTTCAACCGTTCTTCAGCCGAAGCACAGAGGTCCTCATTCGTCCTCTCTGCTTCTGCTCTCCCCTGTCCTTAGATTGGCACCATCAGAGGACACATGACACTCGCGCCCCCGTCCACAACCATGTTATTTCCCTGGATGTAGGAGCTGAACCCACTGGCGAGGAATCCTGCGACTCGGCCAACCTCCGCTGGCAAGCCCGCCCTCTCTAGGCCGATGTTCTGCTTCTGCATCTGCGGGCTCTGTAACGCTGCGGGAGGGAGTTGCGTGTTGTAACTCATTAAATTCTTCTTATCGTCGAATCCATTTAGAGAGACACCCACGTCGATTTGCCCCGGAGATATGGCGTTGATCCGCACTCCTGTGCCCTTGAGGACCGCGACACCGGAGCGCACGACGCCCAGGGCCGCATGACTTGACATGGTGAAACACGGACCCCAGCATCCTCCGTAAGTGCTCGCAGTGCTGGACACGACAATGATGCTCCCATACCGCTGATCCTTCGGTGCGGCATTGGGATACGTTCCTTTTGGGGATGTCTTTTGCATCGCATGCGGTGCGTATTTCAGCGCGAAGAATGGTGCCAGGCTATTCGCTTCGAAGCACCTCTGGAGATCGGCAGGCGTGGTAGCGTCGATGGAGGGAGGACCCAAGAGGCCGGAGGAACACACCCAGACGTCAAGGCGGCCATAGGTGTTGAGGGCTTCGTCGATGAGGGTGAGGGTGTCTTGTTCAGAGGAAATGCTGTAAGGATAGTCGATGATCTTGGTGTTGGGGTACTGCTTGGAGAGGATAGAGGGAAGGCCTGAAGACTCTTCGTTCGCTGTGCACGCATAGATGCAGGCGGCGCCGTGGGCTGGACCAGCAGAATTGATTAGTCCCACCGAGCAGTGGACCAAGGAGTGAGGAGTCACATACCAGCTAACTCAGTCACAATAGCACGTCCAACAGGCATGTCTGCGCCTGTAACCACGCAGACAAAGCCATAGAGCTTCCCATCTGCTCGGTACGGGGAGAAATGGTCTGACTCTTCTTCTAAAGTCATCGAATCAGGCATTGTGGTCGAAGCAGAGAATATGGAACAAGGTCCGAGCCGTCAGGACCACTACACGTCGCGAGATTGACCGAGAGCTTGACTGAGTATTCTCACACGATATCGTCACTCTGGTAAGTCGTATTGAGGTAATGTGCCAAACCTTGGACTTGATCGAGCGCGCGCTGTGCTTGCAATGCTGCGGCTCTGACGTGCAGCCATGGGAGAAGCTGCCATCCCGTCTCAGCTTGTGGCTATCTGTCCAATGGCAAGAGACTTGACTTGCTTGCATGTTGACAAGGCCGATACGAAATCACAAGATAGGGTCATGTTGAGTCTTTCTCCGCGCAAATGCAGACAGAGTGACGACGATCGCGTGGAGCCGGAAATTCCATGAGCGGCGATTGAACGATAAGGCTTCGTTATCGCCTGGATTTTATTGGCCAGGTTGACTACTGACAAGTATCAAGTCGCCAAACGCCAGTTTCCACTCTTCACTACCGTCGTTTGATAATAGTCGAGAACATGTATAACGTTGCACAGATGGCGTCCAGATCAGCCGTTGTGAACCGATGAGGAAACAGAACGAGTAAGGCGTTATGAACAAGTACAGGTCCAGAGTGAAGAAGGCGGTAGGAGGTACGTACAGTAGTACTCGTAGCAGCTTTAGTGGGCCATCGGCGTAAACAAAAGACTTCATGGTGTACGGAGTAGATCCTGGGGAACGAGCCGTCTCCGAGATTCGAAAAGGAGTAATAGTCGGCTAGAACCTGACAATGGACGATCCATTGGTGGCTGGACTTACTGTAAGGACCAGGCGACTCACAGGATCTCTCGACGCCTTCCCCAGCACATGAGGCTGCGCCTGGTCTCTGTGCCCGCGCCTGGGACTTCAGGAGAAACCACGCCGTGACATTGTTGTTCCTCATAGAACTCACCCGGTGCTCACTACGAGGTACTGCTTTCTAATACTACTGCTTCCTACCTAGGTACTTCTCACATGCCGTTGATGCAGCACAACTGCTTAGAATTTCCATGCAGCCCTCATGCTGCTATCGCCTCGAGAGGGATCGTATTTCTGCCGCTATGCACGGCTCTGCCACGCCGTTCGGAGTAGCTCACTTGCCGCTGCCTTTGGATGCCATGAGTTAACTAGAGAGGTCGTATTGTGCGAAAGGCTGAGTGTCTCAGCGGCACCAGCGTACATCCTTCGCCGTTGCAGTTTCTTGCGCAGCACACAGTCTCCTCTGCGGCTAGCTTGCCGTCACTCCCATTATCTGTTTCAGGGAACAGTAAAGAGGTCTCTCATGCAAGGAGAATATGTTTCGCCATCGCTCTCCGCGCGGACTTACTTCACATACTTGCCGGGACAGGATCACTCCATGGAGATATGGGTCGTGTCGTTCCAAATTTCAAGGTTGAAGCGCTCATAGGGCGAAACAACCACACAGGCTCTTGGATTGCGAGCATGTGTGTCCTCAGCTGAGCCTCAGCAATGCCTTGATGACAGGCACAAATCAGACGGCAGAATCTCTGTGCTCATACAACCTCCATTTTTGCTTCACTTATTGCTCTAGGACAATGACCGCCATGCAGATGATGGAATTCAAGTTGGACCTCGTCGCAAGGCCGCCCCAAGGCCTGTGCTAAAGGACCGTGGTGATGACGGCCATAGCATGCAACTTTCTGCAGATGGGGAGTCTCCCTCCGCCAAATGTGGAACCGCTGGTCATCTCTACCACGATGGCCCTCAGCAGTTGTTATCTCATGGATCAATCCTCGGTCAGGCACGAGATATGGCTGCCGGGCCAGACGAGAGATACCGCTCTATCTCATCCACTGACAAGCCTGAATCGTCCCACCTGTGGAAATTCAGTTAACATTCCTCGCTGGATCAATACAACCGGCTGCGGCCCAAGATCCTATTTGCAGAGACACTATGGTCTATCAACTGCCCAAAACCCGCACGAGCGTCGGCGTTAGTACATTTGCTGGCGGTATTTAGGTCGATATTGCTTGCAGCTTGGGTATGGATCAGTCAACCTGGACTGAGTGTCTCCTCTGGCGAATTCGAGCCTCGATCTCAGTTGGAGCTAAACTTACTGTCGGTGCGTGAGGATCCTAGCAATCAAAATCTAACAGTGAAGCCAACAGCGAGAAAGACGATCAACCAGGTGACAGAGCCAGCACACCTCGCGTTCTGCCCATGTTTGGCCACCACTGGTTAGAGATAGGCAACGCGTACGCAACTGGACCGTCTCACTCTCGCTCAAAAGAAACAGTCTGAGCCGCAGAGTCCTCTGCGGCCGTCGTTCATGGCTCAGCGACCTGCACCATCAGCACGAGCTGCCGTGCTCATTGTCCGTGGCGGGCGTGATTAGTCCGAGAGCCTTGCCCGCCAATTCGTTTCAGGATGTCGTATGGACAGCGTCGTAAGAACGTATTTAAGTGGAGATTGCCTATCAGCTTACTCGACATATCTCTGCTGAGCATGGAGTGCGGCCCGGTAGTTGTGTACCCGGGCTGGAGTAACACAGGGTCCGTTGCTCATTAGGTCTATCCCTCGCTGCCCCAGCCGAGGGACGAACTGATGAGTCCAAGCACGGCCGAGTGTTGGCCTGATATCCGCTTATTCTCGGCAAGGACACCTTGAAGACCAAGCAAGTCTGGGGATTGTACAACGGAAAAGAGGGAACAGCTCAATCGACGCAGCACACGGTCCAAGTGATCACAGCCGGCTGAATGCAGGCAGAAGAACCAGATCTTCCCTGCATGAACAGTGAAGATACTGTAGCTTGGGCAGATATGCGTGCGCGGCATGCCCGGGTTCCATGTGCATGTCGAATGAGAGCTGAAGGGGCTGTCTGACTGGCCAACCCCGGGTGATCGGGAGACATTGACTTCCCCAGATTTACAGGGCCGTGTTTCGTAAGCCACGACCCTTTCCTTCGGGTCCAGACTCAACCACCAGCATGGCACCCGGTCGAGGTTGAGCAGCGACGCGTACGAATCGCAGATCATTGGTGCTTATCTGTTTTCCCGCCTACCAAAAGTAGACCAAACGCTGTGGAACGGAAGTCGTGGCATCTCAGCACTTGTCGCGCCTGACGAAAAATGCCTCAAGAGATATCAGTCTTGCATCGGTCTGCAGCACCTGGATGAAGCTATGGCTTGTTAGCTGTGTATCAGGACGCATCCCGAAATGCTGTGTAAACATTGCACGGGCTGAAGGAAGCATGTGGAGGATTGTTCTGGCATTTCCCACCACTGACTTGACTGGTCGGGCACCGTCTGACCAGCTTTTACCCAATGGAAAGCCCTGGCCTAAGTCTGGAACACGGGACCATGCCGTTTTCGAAGCTCAGATTTCCTGAACAGGGCGCACCCCAAGGAATCCGTGTTGTCGGATAATAAGAATCTTCGAGGAGCTTCGAATGCATCGCGGTGACAAAGTGCAGCAGCTGCAGCAGCAGCAGAGAGTTCCGTTCGCGCAAGGAACACCCACATGTTCCTTGCCATGGATCCACGTGCCGCTGCCTGAGAAGAATGCCCCTTCTTCAAGCACAGTCAACTGCCGACCTAATGCAGAGCTGGATAATCAGGCTTGCACTTTTGACGCTGCCGTCACACAGGAATAGGATCATGGGAATCCCACAGCAAGGCGGGGACGAGTACTCGTACGGCCCAGAATGTGAAGTCACTTTCCAACTTGTCGAGCGCACGTTTCAGCCCCACCATGGATCGCCCACTACGAGTACATATCGCCTTTTCTCACATCGAGTCGGATTTCGCCGGTGACTGCTGGTTTGCTCGGGACGCTGACGGCGCGGCAAATCCAGCAAGGCTTCCGTCTCCTGTCGATCGCAGCCAGATACTGTCATCTTACGACAAGAACGGGCGGATGAAAACTTCCGGGTTGTCGACGTCCAGTCAGCATGGCCCGTCGTATGTACACAGGACTTGGTCGTCCGGGCGTGATCTCGATATACAATAGATCTCGATTTCCTCACGCGTCATACACACAGTACGAGTACAGTACTCACACCATTTGTCTCATACCGGTATCTCGTAAGAGCGACTCGCAAACACAAGAAAAATCCATCGCTTTCGTCATACAAGGGTGGCCGCCTCAAACCGCAAACCTGCTATCCCCGCTAAATTTTGGTAAAACACATGCTAGAAACCGGTGCAGTGGCAAAGTGCCAGGCGTGCACTTTTCGTCAAGACCTTCCAAGATGGAGATCCAAGCACCGCTCAACGTGCTCACACGTCAGCCACTCAGGACACGCATCAGACCACACCTGCATGCCGTGGCTGAGTCGCATTGGCACTCTTGCACCTCACCTCACCTCTCCTCCACTCCGAGTTGCACAGAGTCGCTTGAGCTTGTGCAACGGGACGCGCAACTCGCACGGCACTGCCGCTCCAAAAGTCTGGAAACACAAAAAGAATGAAGCCATCCTATCCGCATCCGCATCCTCCCCTTTGTCCCCAATTGGGTGGCCAAACCTCGCTAACCACACACACACACACACACACCCACCAAACCCTACTTGCCACACACACATACTGTGTACTCGTCCAGCTCACAGCTCACATTTCATAGCGCCTGCAGAGCCTGCACGATCCGCTCCGGGCCCAATTCGTGCGGGTGCGGGTGCGCGTGCCCAATCTGTGGTTTCACCGCGTCGGGCAGCTTCCGCACCACGCCCACCGGCGCGTTCGCACCCCAGCAGCGGTCGTCCTCTGAGAAGGACGCCTCGCTGGGTGTGGCACTCTCGCTCTCGCTCTCCATCTCGCTCTGCGACTGGTACTCGAGCACGGTGCCTTCAAAGTCCGGCAGGACGGCGTCGCGCGCGGATTGGATCCACAGCTCTTCCGCCGCGTTGAGCTGTTGCATCCACTCGGCCACGGTCATGGATTTGCCGCGGTACGTCACGGGGATGTTGGCGTATGGCGAGCTCGGCGACAGCAGGCCCGCCAGCCGGGCTTTGTGCTTCCAGTCCGGATGCGCGTCCTGTAGCAGGTAGGCCCGTTCCGCGGACACGGCGTTGATGTAGTTGAAGAAGGAGGTTTCGGAATCTGTCAACGCAGCAAAAAGTCACAAATTAGCCACCTCATGGTCATAGGCAGACGTGGTGATGATTTCCAAAAAAAAAAAAAAAATCGAGAAACAATTCTCCCCATGAACTTGTAAATCAAGATGCCGAAGATGAGCAAGAACCGGGTGAAGTAAAGTAATAGTGACGCGAAAGTGAAGTCATGAGGATAGAGAGAGAGAGAGAGAGAGTCTTACATGATCCAGGCATCCCAGGCAGAGGAGTCAGTCTGTCGAACCGCTCGTCCAGCAGGGCTTGCAGCCGGAGATACGAGGCGTACACGACCGACGTGGATTCCTGGAGTTTCCACAGTGCGTTCTGCACGGGCTCGGGCAGTTGGTTGAGCATGTCGGCCGGCAGGGCCGCCACGTGCGAGACGTTGCTTGGGTCGTGCGAGTGAGGGGGCTCCAGGAAGAGAGAGTCTGCCGTGTAGTTGAAATGCATTGTGACTATCGTTCTGTGTACTGTATAATTGCGGATTGAACTGATCTTGGTCTAGGAGGGTGGCGACGGTGCCGTGCGCCGAGGGAGAAGCAGAGGCAGAGGTAGACGGTAGTGTAGTGCAGAGAACCGACTGTGGATGGGTATGTAGGTATATATAAATATATATGTGCAATAGAGGGGCGGTTGCAGTTGGCTTCAGCGTTGGTGGAGCGAAGACATGTAGTCAGATCAGACCACGACCGTTTTTATATGTATGGCTATGGAGCATCTCGTGTTGCGAGGGCAAGATATCATGGAACAGGTGTTGGGACGGGGGCGGCCAAGCTGATTGGTACGGAACACTGCATGCCCAGTGCAGGGATGTGGAAACTCAATATCGTCAGATGGTGTCGATTCTGGAGTCGTGGTCAACAGCCGCCCACTCGCTCACTCTGCATTGGCTGGAGACAAAGAGCGAGCAAGCGAACGAACCAACGGAGCGAGCTATGTTTCTGCCGTCAGTGATACATCCTTCACCTGAATGGCAACGTTTGTTCCCTTTTGGGGCCCGATCGTGCCCAGACGGGTATTCGGTCACGGAACGAACTACTATGCAAGCCCGCGTGACTCTTTTCCATGATTTTCTGCAATCCGGCATGAACGACAGATGTCACAACATATGTGCTCGAGTCTCAACACAGTTGCGCGCGGCGGAAGTAGACAGGTGACTCGAACCGTGTAAGCCACAGGACGGCCGGGAAGAATCCCGTTGGAAAGAAAAAGAAGGGTACGTAGATGACGCCCGCTCTATTCAACCATTTTTGGCGGACAAGGAGAGCCGCTTCAATCGCAAAATTCCTGCCGAGTGAGAAGAAGAAACACTGTGCTCCGCCGTAGCCGGGCTTGCCGCGAGAAGGCCGTCACGCCGTCAGAAGGTAAAAAATGCGGCGTGTCTCCCCCATTTGCACGAGGACGTCAACCGACATGCAGAAGGGAACAGTTTTCCACCTTGGTTGCGGGGTTTACGCAATCCTGCACCCTTCGTTAGCGGCCACGCTACCTACGGGAAGAGAGACATACCGTTGAATAAGGTGTACGCCAGAGGCAGTCTCGACAATGCCACTCATTTCGCCCGGTTGCAAGGCGAATGCTGCATCTTCGAACTCTTTCTGCATCTGACCTTTGCCGAACAAGCCCAGGTCGCCGCGCTTTCGGGCACTGCTGCAGTCTGACTCGGTAGGAGCAAGGTCGCCGAGGGTGGTCTGGCCCGAGCGGATTTGTTCTTCGTGGCGTTTCAGTATCTCGATGGCCTCCTCCTTGGAACGCGTGATGGTTTGTTCCTTCCAGCTGGAAGGGCGACGGCTGTCTCGGTGCTTGATGAGGAGATGTGCGGCCCGAATCTTGCCCTCACCAGCGGCACCATCGACGCGGCCGTTCGCAGAGGAGCTGTGGTGGTTGGCCATGTAGACTTTGAGCTTGTCGGTGTCTGCATCGGCCGGCGGTTCCCATCTCGACTCGTGGGTTTTCTGGTTGAAATAGTAGGGAAGGTTCTTCGAGTTGGAGTGGCGCACCTCCCAGTCAGGAGGTAAACCCGTGTCGTCGCTCTACAAACCGCCGTCAGTAAGGGTCCTGCGCGTCGCGAGGGCGACCTCGGCAGAGTGCATCGTGCTTACCATGATTCCGCAAATAGCCGTGCCCCTTGGCGGCGGTCTAAAATGGTTCTGCTGTTAGAGATGGATGTCGACAGCGCAGAAAGAACACAGAATGCTAGCTAGGCAGGTACACAGAAGATATTGTTGGGACAATTGACCAGCGTTTGGTGTTCTGGCCTCGAAAGCCCGAGAAAGGTGGGGCAGCGAGTCTTGTTGTCAGCAGATCGATTGATCACGAATACTGAGTTACAATTGCCCGCAACACAAGGTGGCTAGGCTGGTGAAAGCGGCAAGGCAGGCAGTGGATGGATGAAAGCGGGATGGAGGACAGGAACAGGAGGGTGACTGGCTGATCCTGCCGCGGCCTGGAAGGCTATAGGTTGGCCCAGAAGCAGGAACTGCGGGTAACAAAAACAGCGAATGCACCAGTTGAGGGCTGTACGGAGTACCTGGTGGTACCTGCCTTACTCCGTCGAATGGCTGCATTGACGGACGTCCTTGATGGATCGGTTAATCGTCACTCAGAGTGCCGTTTGACCTCCATGGCAATCCACTTAGCTTATACTCGTACCTGGTAGCTCGTAGATTTGTTTGGAAGATAAACGTGAGATCGTGGTATCAAGCCCCAGCAATTGCGGGGAGCAGGGAAATCATGTGTTTCCCTTGCCTTGCAGGACACCTAAATTATTTCACCAGATGACTGCTCTTCAGACTCTGGTTGTGTCAAAGTCACTCTTATATTCAACAAGACAGAATCACTCAAGTCGAGCAAATATTGATTCTATCCTACACCACCCTCTGAAATCATCCTTCTAGTTTTGCAGCCCTTACCACGCAAAGTCCTCATCAACCAGGTCATCGTTCAAATCGACTTCGCCGCACTGCCGGTTCCATCGCTCGAAGACACCACCGCCACGCCTCGAACAGGATTTCTACTTCCGAGCTTCGCGTTGTTTCGACAGCCTCCACCTCTTACTTTCTAAATCTCAGCTACCGAATATGTCTGGTGCAGCCTCTCCTGCCCAGAGTGAGGGCGAAAACAAGCGTGGCGAAGTCTCCTACAGATTCTGTCAAGAATGGTAGGTCCATTCCCCAAATCATTCTGTCTCTCGATCGAGTCTAACACGGATCTTTATAGTTCGAATCTGCTCTATCCCAAAGAAGACCGCGCAACAGCGACCCTCCTCTACGTCTGCAAAGCCTGTCACGCCACCTCGCAACACGATTCAGCATGCACGTACCGTCAACACCTCGGAGCCAACGTTCAGGAGACAGCCGGAACCACCGCAGATGTTGCATCTGATCCAACGGTGGGTCTTACCTCTTCCGAGCTGTCCTGCACCATATATTCCGTCTGCACTCTCTGCGGAGAAGCGTTAAAATGCAGGAGTTGTGGCCAACTACCGGACTCGACAGAGTCCGAATGCTCAGAAGGGTCAGGGGACATAACATCTGACACCTGACTGCATCTACTTTCTCGCTCTGTCACAAGCCAGCCTTCAGAAACCAGAGACTGACAGGTCGCTTTTATTTGCACAGCTTCCTCGGAAAACCAAGAAGTGTCCAAAATGTGGAGAAATGGAGTCGGTGTATTTCCAGTCACAACAGCGTGCTGCGGATACGGGAATGGTGAGTGTCTCTACTGCAGTCGCTCGGTCTCATTTTTCTGACGGTGGTGACCAGAAACTGTACTATGTCTGCGTGAGCTGCAATCACGTCTACACGACCGTTTGAGCATGGTGTTCGTGGCGTAGGATGGAGTTATGATCAGGATACCCATGCATTTCGAGGCGTTTTGGGTTGATTGGCTGAGGTTACAAGAGCTTCCATATTCACAGCTGATGTCGTGGGCGTCACAAGATCCCCAGCATGGCTTGCTTAGAACCAATACAGTGGCTCTGAATTCAGACATTCCACCTTGATACTTGTACAGAAAGTTTCAATTGCGCCGAGGGTATTGGTCGCTGTCTTGCAAGCATTCTATGGTGACCTTGAGGGATCAGATGTGCATTGGTGCAAGAGACAAGATCTTCGACCACTTCTTGTCTCGTAGTTCGGCTCCTACTATGCTTGACAACCGTGTTCCGATCGGGTCGCCGTTCTTGTTGATGAGGACGCAGGCATTGTCGTCAAACCGTATCAGACCCCCATCTTTCCGGCGCTCCTCCTTCCTTGCTCTGACGACCACGGCATGTCGAATGTCTCCTCTCCGTACTTTGTTGGCGATACTCAAGCTTGATCCGCCAGGGGTTTCTGGGCCGAAGGACTTTTGTTTCTGGACGACGACGATGATTCTGTCACCTGCAAACGGGAACAAATCAGCAAAGGAGCCTCAAGGATATATCGTGGCGTCTACCTATCCTGGCAGCCTGCCTCTGTTTTCGCATAACCGCGACACATTCGACGACGGCAGCACCGGAGTTGTCGATGCAATTAAGCATCGTCTGGTATGAACAACGTCAGCGACGAGCCCGACCACCTTTGGGCAGCTGTAGAACTCACCTTTAGTTGTATCATTGTAGCAGCATCATGCGCCCTAGCTTGCGATCACCGATCACCCGTCGAGGAGGAGGTTGCAATGGTGAAGGCAGAGTCAGTTTAGCTGCAGATGAATTATTTCGTGGATATGGATTCGATTGGCCAGAATCCGGAGCGCGGGTGGGTGGCAGATGCGCGTACGCCTCTTGCGGGAATCTCGACAGGTGCCCGGCTTGATTCAGACGCGCTTAAACAGATCAGCCAAACAGAAGCCGCGGCAGCCCGTGAGCCCGCCCGTTCGCTTGCTGCTTAGGCTTGTCATGCTTCCCAAGAATGCCTGGCCTGCCACTGACCAGCCGCCGCCGACGTTCTCCCCCTCTCCACTTGCACAAGTCGAAGTCACCCTTCCGTCGCCCTTTCTTGTCTTGCTCTTGACCAAAGTGAAGCAAGCTGAAAGTCTCTCCCTATCTCCCTCAGCTTGGATTGCACCTCATGCGCAAGTGAAGTGCATAATCTACCCGATCATTATGTTACGATGTACTCGCATTCACTTTAATATTGCTCCTCTCACCGTCGCTTCGCTCAGGCAGGCCTGATCCAGACCGCGTTCCAGATACCAAGGGCCATTCGGTTCAGCCCCTTCCACTCCTTCCCAGCTGTCTGCGGTCCAGAGCCGCCACTTGCGCACAGATTCTCGTGATACAGTGTTTCCCACGTCCTAATCGGTGTGCATCCCATGCACCACCCCGAGTCTTCACCTTGAGGATTCGTACACGCGACCATGCCTCGCAAAAACTCGGCCAAGGAGCCAGACAAGGCCCAGCGACTCTCCCTCGCTGAGTTGGCCGCCCATGATGATGTATGCTCCGATGTAATGGTAGATAATGTCAGTAATCTCAGCCTGTTACGAGGACCTCTTGCGCTTACAACCGTCAGGCTTACTACAAGTCCAAAATCCGAAAGAACCGCACCAAGCACATTCCAATCCGAGGCATCAAGGAGGAAGAAATACCCAAGATCCTTTTACACAAAGTCATTGTCGACAAAGATGTCAAGGCGGCCGAGAAAGCCCTGCTCGCTCTTCCGGGGCTTAAGAGGTACAAGAAGAGTCTGCGCACCAAGGCCGAACAAGAGCATTTCTTGGAGCATTTGAGGAAGTACATCGCCATGTACCAGACCGACTGCGCGTGGGAAGTGTCCACGACGAACCGATACACCATCACCACGTATGAAGCTGCTGTGACGGCCAGGAGACGCATCCGACAAGGTGACACCATCAAATACCTCACCGGCACTCTGGTCCCGCTCACGACGGAGGAATCCGCCGAGTTGGATATGAGCAATCGCAATTTCAGCATCGTGGTCTCGGGTCGCAAGAAGAATTCTTCCATCTTCCTGGGTCCGGCACGTTTCGCGAACCATGATTGTGACGCAAACGGACGTCTGGTCCCCCATGGAGAAAATGGAATGGAAGTGGTTGCCATGAAGAATATTGAGGTCGGTGACGAGATTACCGTCTCCTATGGCGACGACTACTTCGGCCCAGGCAACATGGACTGTCTGTGCCATACTTGCGAACAGCTGGAGCGGAATGGGTGGACGTCGAAGACGGCTATTCTCGACACTCCCAGTCGTACAGACACTCCACTCCCAACCCCATTCCACGAGCCCCTGTCAGCAAGTCAACCACGAGGAATGAAGCGGAAGAGAGACTTGGATCATTCTCATTCATCCTCCGCGCCTCCTCCCTCTAAGCATGCGAAGGCTTTGCAGTCGCCCTCCAAACTGCAGCAGTCCTGGACTCCACCAGATAGTTCGGACTCGGAGATCACGCAACAGCCGCCTCGTGAGCGAAGATCAGAACCTGTTGAGACACTTCGAGAGGCAGCGTCTAGAGGATCTGTGGCTCTTTCCCCGCCCCATAGTCAGTCGCGCACCGAGAACAGCGAGTCGCCCAATCCCAGCCAACTGGGGGCAGAGTCGTCAGCACTTGTGGAAGCGGCAGATCTACCAGCAAATGGGGTGCAGCAATCTCCCGAATCTTCCACATCCCATGGAAACGATCATGAAGGCAAGATGCCTGCTAAATTGCTCGAGAAGTTGTCAACCAATGCACCGATGTCACCCGCGCCAACATCTCCCTCTAGCAACGGGTGTTCGACCGAGGGTTTACCACCTAGCCAAAATATGTCCCACGCGCAAGCGATCGATGCACCTGTAACCATCAAGGTTGAAAGCGTCGAAACTACCAAGATGGAAGTGGACGAGGATACTATCATCGTCGCTCCATATAGGCAGATCTCGTTGCCGGCTGCCGACGACCAGCAGCTCCCAAGCCAGCAGAAGCAAGGTATTTCGCTACCGGAAAGCTCGGAATTAACAGTTCCTCATGCAGTCTCTACGCTTGCTACGACGACAATCACCAAAGAAATCCACGAGCCATCAATCTCTGCAGCCACAGAAAATAGCGTCCTACCGTCGATAGAACCTACGAGCACTTCAAGAACTGTGGCTCAGCTGACGGTTCATCCAATGACTGGCACCATTCGTATTGCAGGTGACTACATCCTGACTCGAAAACTATTGGCGCAACCTCACGATCGCTGGGTACAATGCCACAACCAGAAGTGTCTCGGCTTCTTCATCCAACCCAACGGCTACCAGACCCGCCGCGAGTGTCCGCGCTGCGAGCGGCACAGCATGCTGTACGGTTTCCCGTGGCCAAAAACAGATGCCGACCCACGCAAACTGCTGGAGCGCAAACCGACGGGCAAAGGCAAGAAGGCCGGAACACCTGCCATTGAATATAGCGCATACCGACGACAAGGGAGGTCTGGCAAAGGGACCTGGGTTGAAGGTGGTGGCGATCCTGAAGAACGGGTCATGGACCACCGCACAATTCATCGATTCGTGCTACCAGAGGAAGAAAGAGAGCAAACAAGAAGGGGACTGCTGAAAGAAGCTGAAATCGCTAGAGCAGCTGGAGACCACCAGCTGGCCATCTTGGAGGCGAGGATGCGCGCTGGCTCACATTCCAGGGCACTCAACGGTCATGGTTCGGAGAGTGCAGCGCGAGACGTGAGTGAGAGTGGAAGTGCAACGCCAGATGAACTAAGACGACGGAGTAATCGATTTGTTACGAGGCCTGTGGGCGTGTACACGGACAGATTCTAGGTGGGAGTGTGGGGGACTGGCGGGCTGAGACAATAACCCCTGGACGAGTGGTTTTGAGTGCCCTGATATGTCGACAATTAATGATACAACGAACGAGTCTGGATCCGGGCTGGAGACCGTCGAGATGTGTGTTGGAAAGTTCGAAGCTCCAGCATCAGCCCCTGATCGTTGCGAGGGTCAACCTTGCAGAAGAACGGTCACACAACACCATGGGCAAATTTCCTGGCTTGTTTATCGTCTAGCATAGCGCGGTGTGCTCCTTGGCTCAGTAATGCAATTCATGGCATCAATCGAGGTAGCTTCAGGCATTCCTCACAACAGCGGTCCTTGGGTTTTCTTTTCCGGGCTGTTCCAAGAAGGATATCCCGCCAGTTGATATGTGGCTCTCATCGCTCATCGACTAGGTGAGAGAATGTATACCTAGGTAGTGTGAGCCTGGAGCTGAGATACTGTCTTTGGAGCCTCTCCCTGATCCAGCTTGATATTGCATAGCACGACATGCCAGGGTCGTATCCTTTGAGCATTAATGGTTAGAGTTGATCCCACTACACATGTATGCTCAAAAGAGCGCGCTTCCAATACTGCGAGGATACCGCCGCGTCTACATAGCTTCCGTATATGTCCTATAACACCACACCGATATTCTCGAATGTCGAAATTATCGCACTTCAATCTCCTCCTCTTTCCAATAGTCGGCCGTCAAGGCCTCGCCGTCCATGAGGCCGTGCACGTAACAAGATCCGACAATTCGATAGGAGACTCGTCCTGCTGTTGCTGTTGCTGTTGATGCTGCCCTGCCTCCTGCTCCCGCTCCTCCGCCTCCTCCGCCTCCTCCGCCTCCTCCTGCTGCCGCCGCTGTGACGACCCTACGCAGCACAAACGGCATGGGACAACCCAGAACGATGCAGACGACATCGCCGTCCTCAGCCTCACGGGGCACACAGCACGTGAACCGCCGGCGCCTGGTCACCGCCAAGCGGCGGCCAAAGGCGTACACGAAACTCTCCGAGAGGGTGTAGACGTAGGCTTCGAACCTTCCGTCCAACGGCATGGTGGAGCGGAACTCGTGCTCGACGTTCCGGCGCACGCAAGACGCGTGCCGCGCCGTGTTGTCGATGGCCTCGAGACATAATCGCGCCGTTGAGGGCGCGTGTTTGGTGGCGCGCACGTACCCGCGTCCTTCTCCCTCGGGCGGGATGATGAGGTCGGCGATGGCCGTTTGCCAGCACTGGAGGGTGAAGTCGAGAAGTGGTGGCATCGAGCCCCGGGGGGCGGCGGCTTGAGGCTGAGGCTGCAGGTGCAGCTGCGGCGGGCAGGAATGCGACGCGTGCACCGAGCACATCCACTCCCAAGCTTGGGGGAACCAGGACGAGTTGCTGGCCAGGTCGGCGTGGGTCATGGTGCTGATGTGCGGTAGGGCTGGGCCAAGGGAGGTGATTTCGTCGACGATGCAGACCTGCAGAAGGAGATGTGAGGCGGCCATCGGCTTCGTTGTCGTCGCGGTCGGTGACGCCGAGGCAGCGACGTCCTGCCATCTGCACGTGAAGCGTGTGGGCCCGCTGGCTTGGTAGACGTCGTGGTCCAGCTGGCCCGTTGGCTTGTAGAGCTCGGCGAAGCCGTCGCGGGTCGGCGCTGTGAGGACGAGTTCCCATGACGGGTGCGGTGGTTCGTTGCGCACGCCGAGGCAGTTGTACAGCAGGTACGCGCCGTTGCCTGTGCGGACGAGGTATCGTGCAACTTGGGCGCCGAGCGGGTGGGTGTCGTCGCTCTGGTAGTCGATGGGGATCTCGTCCTTGACACGGGCGGCGTCGTCGACCAGGCCAAAGACCGCGTACACTTTGTCGCGCGGGTTCGTGGCGTGGAACCGCTTCGTGCGCCACAGCAGCGTGCTCAGCGGGAGACCCTGCGGGCGTGATCGTCTCGCTTCGTCGATCAACAGGACGGCCGTGTAAGGCTGATCGACGTCCCAGACTACGCGGGCGAGCCGTGCATTGGGCTTTTCATCAACCGGGTCTCGCCGGTCCGAGTGGTACAGAAACAACATGTATTGCAGGGCGCGAAGGAAGCCCCGGGCCAGGTATGGACCTGGGCGGGTGTCGGTGCCGATCAGGAATGTCGACTGCGCGGCCAGTGCGTATTCCTGGATGATCCAGACGCGAGAGAACCAGGGCCGTTGCATGAACTCTGCAAAAGCTGGCCAGAAATCATGCTGAACACCGGGAAGATCGAACGGCGCGAGATATTGGAAGCTGGACTTGAAGTTCTCGGTCGCCACGATTCGTCGTGACTCTTCCCATCTCTCGTCGGGGATGCTGAAGAACCGATCGAGCACGGCGAGGACTTCAGGGGCTGGCGTCGAGCCGAGATCGATCATCACATGCTCGGCCTTTGAGAATGTCCTGTCCATGTTTCCGACCTGTTGTTCTTTCTCGGCCAACCCTGCTGCGTCGGGCATCTGGTCGATGCAGAGGGCGTCGGCCCAGAGGAACCGACTGCTCGAGTGGTCGCGAAGCCGCACCAGGGCTGAGTGCAGGTTTGGCGAGATCCTGGCGGGTCGTCCATCAATTGCTATCTGGAGCTTGACTGCGTCGCTGGTGTCGCCCCAGACGTAGGAAATGGCCGTGTAGGCGGTGATGGGCTGGGCGCGGCTCATGTGATGCATACGGAAGCATATCTTGTCGTCCCCTGCCAGGGACGGTAAGAGTTCCACGACACGGATCTGCTCACCACTTTCGAGCCGGGTATATACATAGCTCTTGGGTATCGGGCAGAACAGACCGCGAAATCGTCCAAAACGTGTGTTGACGAGACGGAGAAGCAAGGACGATAAGTGCAACAAGGCAGAGGGTAAGGACGCAAGACCAACAGTCGCGAGGGTTCGTAGACGATCAAGGAACGAAATCAACATAATCCACGCAGAGACACTACCTGCCTTTCACCGTGTAGGTCACTTCGCATCCTTGGTGAGAGCATCGTTGCTTGCGAGCATTGACAGTAATGCTACTTAAGCGCCCTCTCGATCATGGCAGTGCATCTGGAAGGAAGCAGGCAAGGCGGCTTCGTCGGCCCCAGCCAGGGGCACTGAGTCGGGCGTCTCATGGATCCCTGCAGGTTGCAGGCGCTTCGAGGTCCCATCTAGGCGCCTCTGTCAGGTGGTTGCCACCACGGCCGGACCAAATCACAAGGGGCTTCTGTGTCTTCAAGCGGCGAAGGATTGGATCTGATGTGGGCGGACGGCGGATGCTGAAGACGAGAGTCAATAAGTTACAGTGTGGACAGTATGAGATTGTCCCAGTCACCCACCACTGGGTCACGAACAAGGCCCTACCTCGTATGAGCCCGGGAAGATGCGCAAACAAGCCAAGACGGTTGCAAACTTCTCCATCGACACCAAGTTCGAGTGCGGTGTGCGAGGAGTATGGCATGTGTCCGAGACCGTCCTATTGGCAAGGCGTCTTCGTCGTGTACCCCTGAGTGAAGGACAAACCGCCATCCGCCATATCGTGGTACGGTACTACGTACACCTCCCGTGTACGATGGAGCTCGGTCTCCTCGTGGTGTTCGACTGACCAACTTGGAAAGGTTGGAAAGATCCCTGCCATGCCAATGTCCCCCCTGTCGAGCCTCTACGTCATACGTGGTGCGGTGCATCAGCAGGTCGAAGGCGCCCCAAGTCCCCTGCTTGCGCCACTCGAATGCATATGATGTCGATGGTGGGCAGGTAGCGAGCGACCAGTAGGTAGGGAATGAGGTTTCTCTTTTCGTCTGTTCCCTCTGCCTACAGCCCCTTTACCGTTACCATATCTGCAACCACCGACCGCATAAAGTATACTCCGAATCCCACAGTACCAAACAGCCCATACATACATACACAGCCATGTCGGACGAGAACAAGGAAAACCGGATTTCCATGGAGGACAACAGCGAGAATATCCCTCCCGAGGACACGAAGGGTAAACAGGAGGCGCAAGGTGAGTGACTTTCGCCGGCAAACCCTCATCGTCGCCCACGTTGGCTACAGCGGGGGGACGAAAGTCGCAACGCTAACGACGACATTTGCAACCGACAGGCGACTCTGGATCATGGTACACCAAGCCTGAAGAGAAGGGCAACTCCATTGGCGGCAAAATCCAAGGCGCGTTGTCCCCGGTCGGCAACGTAGCAGGCCCAGCGCTGGAGAAAGGCGCCGCTCCTGTGGGCGCCCTCCTCGGCTCGTCCGTCGGAGGCATCATGAAAGGGGGGCAGGCCTGGGGAGAGCAGCTGGGCGTAGGCTACGGCAACGCCGAAGGCGGCCCAGCCAAAGCTCAAGAGGCGGAATACCAAAGGATGAAAGAGGACTTGGGCGGGAAAGAGCAGACGGGGGATAATCCCTTGGGTCTGTGAAGGAGAAAAGCCAGTGTAAGAAAGAGGAGGGAGCATGAACAAGTGTTATATATACAGCGCGTCAAGCTGGGTACTGGCGGGCTAGCAGGAGGAGGAGGAGGAGGAGGAGGAGGAGGAGGAGTGTCTGTGCGAGATGACTTGAGGCACAGCACTCACGCACACATTCTCTCTCTCGAGCCTCGTTCTCTCTGCATCGTGACGGGGGAGACATCGTTGATGGTGACGGCATTTCCCATGTAACCGATAGGGCATCAGTTATATGTATGCATATATGCATGTTTGTACGTACGTATTATGATTCAGCGACATGAGTGAGCCGAGCCAGTCCAGCCAGACACGCATTCATCTGCCCGTCTGAACTTGCCGCCGCTTTCTTTCCTGCCGTGTCCAGACGACGAAATGGTCATTCTGATGCACGCATCACACATCACACGCATGCATGCCGAGGCTCTTTGCTCGTTGGGGTAAATGTGGCCATGTCGTGAGGAGAAAACATGAACGTGCGCCTCCGAGAGGATCGATGTGCCTGCATTGGTGATCGATATAAAGTCGGTCGTTCGTACTGAACCGTGTGGCCGTCGAGTACAGCAGAACGTGAGGAGATTTCGAGACGGATGCATCGTCGGGCACAAGACTCTCTGCGCGCGTGTGTCACAAGCATTCACTGTTCATTCACTATTCACCCATAAGCCCAGAGGAAGCAAGAAGGGTAGGAAAGAAGTGAAAGGCAAGATACATACTCCCTACTGTATCTTATAACTGCTACACTCCGCTACACTCCGCTACGCTGCGCAGGAAAAATGGTCGACTACGTCTTCCCCAAACCGCCGCGGTCGCTGGCCAACAAAGTCGCCATCATCACCGGCGCGGGCGCCCACGGCGACGGCATCGGCAACGCGCGGGCCAGCGCCATCCTCCTCGCCGACGAAGGCTGCACCGTCGTCTGCGTGGACCGGGCGCTGGCCCTCGCGGAGCGCACCGTCGAGATGATCCGCGCCGAGGGCAAAGCCGACGCCATCGCCCTGGAAGCCGACGTGACGGTCGAGGCCGACTGCAAGCGCATCGTCGACACGACCGTGGCTCGCTTCGGCAGACTGGACATCCTGTTCAACTGCGTCGGCATCGGCGGCGCGTCCGGCACGGCGCTGGACGTCGACATGGCCGCGTGGGCCACCAGCATGACCGTCAACGTCGCCAGCATGGTCATGATGGCCAAGTACGCCATCCCCGAGATGGTCAAGAACGACGACGAGTGGGGCTATCGCGGCGCGGTCATCAACATGGGCAGCGTGGCCGGCATCAAGGGCGGCACGCCGCACCTGCTGTACCCGACGAGTAAAGGCGCCGTGGTCAACATGACCAGGGCCATGGCCGTGCACCATGCCCCGCAGGGCATCAGGGTGAATTGCGTGTGTCCCGGCATGGTTTACACGCCCATGATGTACGCGGGCGGCATGTCGGACGAGGCGCGCGAGGCCAGGAAGAATCGCAGTCTGCTCAAGACCGAGGGCAATGGCTGGGATGTGGGCTGTGCCGTGAGATTCCTGGCCGGTCCGGAGAGCAGATGGATTACGGGCTTGATCTTGCCTGTCGACGCCGGGGCCACGGCCGCCGTAGGGACGGATATACCTAGGTCGGCGAGCGTCAACCCTTGATTGTCACAAAAAGTAGAAGACTCTGCTCACGGGTGAGTCGAGGACAAAGGTGGACAAGATGAAATTAACAATCTATCCTCTGCCCTCCACAACCAGCGTCAACACCATCGCTATGCTATCAATTCCAAATGCGCCATGTCGACCGGGAGAATAAACACAAGAGCTGGACTCCTCGCAAACACGGTAGCCTTCACATGCCAATCTCCCTCCTTCTCCGCTGATGCGTCCTCCCAATCTCCTTCTTGCGCTCCCTCGCCCGATCGTGCTTCCTCTTCTTGTCCCTCGCCGCCCTCTCCGGCTCAGCAACACGTTCGATCCGGCGTTTTTGTCTTCTCGCCTCCCTCCTTTCGCGTACAATCTTGCTGACCTCGGTCAAGGCTTTGACGTACTCTGTATCTCCAAGCTTCTTCTGCAGCTTGTCCATGACTTCATGGGACAGTTCGATCAGGCCCTGGTAGGTGGCCGAGAATGTGGGATCTGCTGATTGCGGTGGGATGGTGTTCGGATCCGTCATGTGTTGAAGAGGGAGCAGGATCTTGTGGATTTGCGACTTGGGGAGGTTGGCCTCCGACAAGCCAGGCAGCAAGCTGGAAAGGAGCTGCAATGCCGACTTCTTGGGGAGGAATGCTGCAGAAGATAGTCGATTGGCTTCCAGCCGCAGAATGCGTGAGAGTTGATCGAGGAGATACTGGACGCCGGAGATTGTTCGTGTCCTCGCCTTCTCGTCACTAGACTCAACCTCGGAATCCACCTCCGACTCCTCGCTCTCAGCTAGTTTCTGGTTGAGCTCCATCGACAGTCCGTTTTGGTCCAAGCACTGGCCGAGGAAGCCGAGTATCTGCACGATTTGCGCACTCAGAGTCTCGTTTCCTTCAGTACGCCGTAGAACGCGGACGCTCGCCTTCAAGACTTTGAGAAACGCGTGTGAATCCATAGACATCCCATACTCACAAGCCAGCGGAAGCTTGGAACGATCCCCCGAAAGACAGTGGCTGAAGAATTGGATGCACAGACTTGCCGAAGTGCTCTGCATCCATGCATTACTGTGACCCAAGATCGACCACACAAAGGACCACAGATGAGTCTGCTTGCGGTCCAGGACCGTTTCGGGGTGGGACTCGACCAATTTCTGCAGGAGTAGTAGCCCCTGAAATGGGAGCTCCCACTCATCCTCGTCGGACACGTCGAGGTTGTCCAGCGTGTTGGAGAGGGTGCTGCGAATCTGACCAAGTTCATCCTTGCTCAGACTGACATCTGCGTTCAAGAGGATACCATATGCCTGCAGGCTGAGTTTCTGAAGCGCCGGATTCTCGTTCTGCCCGGCCCAGGTATTGAGAGGTTGTAGTACCTCATTCAAGCGCGTACGGTCTGCCAGGCCGAAGATTCTGCCCAACAAAGCACCAGCAAGTTGTCGGCATCCCTCATTCTCATCATTAGCAACCCGGAGAAGAAGAGGAATAAAGACCGCAGATATCAACTCCTGCGCAGTATCTCCTTTCATTTTGCCGACCAAGGTGTTAATTGCTTCCAACACTGATTGCCGCCCTTCCGGATACTCGTACTCGAGGTTCTTCATAAGGAACTTTTGTTGCTTGGACCACCGAGAAGCAGTTTGTGGATACTCGAGCAGGAAGTGCACGAATACACCTCTGGCCACGTCCCTGGCCCCTTTGGTATGACTGGTCACCATCATGATGCCAATCTTGTCTGCTAGCTCGTAGACCTCTGGCGTTTGAATCTTCCTCGCCATGACGGCTCGAATGAAGTTGAACGTAACGCCTTGTCGATCGGGTTCCTCAATGTCTGGGGTGACACGATGCAGAAGCTGCGCTACATCCGAGTCTCTGAGCTTGACGTTCTTGCGTTCGCGGAGAACTGCTGCTATCAATTTCAGCGCAGCCTGTGCCCCTTCTTCGTTGGTGTCGGTCGAGTTCTTCACAACCTTGACAGCCTCGCCCAGGTACAGTGCGGCATTGTCCTCTAGTTCCTGCATTGGCAACTTGATGATCGCAGACAACAGGCGCAGAGCCGATATCTTTACGTCCTCCTGGCCCTCGACCAGAGCATCACCTATAATGGGAAGAAACCCATGCACATTCTCGGTCGTCATAACATCGGCATGTCTCTGCAGCGTAGATCGCACCAAATCCAACGCGAATCTCGCAAGCTTAAACAGCAACGTCGAGTTCTTGCTCTCACTTGTCTTGTGCAAAGACGAAATTTCGATAAGATACCTCTGCCGGTTCTTCTCTTCACTTGTCAGTGTTTGGATTCTGCCGCGGGTCTTTTGCCGATATAGATCTTGGATCAACTGGTACGCAAACGTCAAGATATCACGCTTGCTGGCCGACGGGTTTTGCGCCACACCACTGCCGATCCTTCGTAGTAGCTCTTCGATCTGTCGGACCTGTTTTGTTGCCAATGATCCCGACAGCAGTGTCTGTAACGGAGCGACCAATTTTGACACAGATGCGATGCTGACTGAACGAGCCAGAAGTTCCATGGAATCAAAGCTCTTGCTGCTTTTGACCTCCTTCATGCTGCTGATGTAGTCTTGATTGTCCTTCTCCTGCCCAACAGTGCCAAAGATATCATCCACGATGACCGGCACAAGGTCCTCGACACAATAGTCCAGATCTCCGAGTTTGCTGTGAGGAGAGAGCGCCACGAGGATTGCGTGCAGGGTATAAGAGACGACATGCAACTGATATCCCCTCGTCAGGGCTGTGCGCAGCTCCTTGACAACGAATTGTAGGCTGTTGGGACCCAGCATAAGCACGCTTTCGCAGAGCGCTTTACGTGCTGCATCTCGTGATTCTTGAGCTCTGCTTCTGAGTACATTGGCGATGTCGAGTATGATTGGTGAGGCGACAATCGGGATCTCCCCTGCTGGCAAAAGTGTGATGAGCTTGACCGTGATGACCGCAATCGGCAGTCGAAGGCTTATCTCGGCCTCATCTTTGTAATGAATGAGTTCTGTCAGTTTCGGAATGAACTGCGTCCTCAGTTCCTGCTCAACTACCCCTTTTTCTGGGAGTGCTGTTGCAAGACGAAGCTGTGGCTGCACTGGTCTTTCTTCGTTCGGGCTGGAACGACTTGCGCTGGCGGACACCAGCGCATCAGCAGCATGCCCGAGTAGTCGGCTAGCTGACTTCTGCTCGTTGTCGGTCAAGTCAAGGTCACTCTTGTACCTGCGGAACAGTGTCTTGAAATGCTTCCAGTCGAGCCAGCGGAGGACTGTGCCGATAGCGGCGATGGCTTGACCTTTAGTGCTCTGAGCTGACTCGTCGGTATTGGTTTCGTGGGCAAACATCTCCAGCAAAGGTAGGAAGATGTCCACAATGTTTTTGACACTGATTGCCCCCTTTTCAACCTCCGACACAAGCCGCCTGATCGCGCGAAGTCTGCGATGTTGCTGGATATGCAGGACGTTCAAGAAAAATGATGCTTCCTCATCATTGCCGACCAGCAGGGGTGTCATATTCGTCAAGTCTTCATTCCCCCCAGCATGCTGCACAAGCAGTCCGAGCAGACCGACAAAATCTGCGCGCACAAGCTCCGATTCGTGTCGCATGCTTTTCTTCAAGACAGGCAGGACAGAGCTGACTATCATGTTGTTGACTTCTGAGTGCTCCCTGTCACAGCACTTGGCGATGACTTGTTTGAGGCATCCCAAAGCATTTGACCTGATTGAGAAATCATCCCCCGTCCTCACGAAAAAGAGCAGGTTGTAGACAAGGGGGAGGCACATTTGACCAAAGTTGGCGAAATCCAGAGCTTGGACTGAATGGAAAGCCCGCAGACGAGTGTCGTAGTCAAGCTCGTCAAGTCGATGGGAGGACACGGCATTCAAATCTTTGCAAAGGTGTGCTACCTCAGTCAATAGCTCGTACGAACCCGCCAGCCGCTCCAAGACTTCGCACAGAATTTGTCGATTAGTCTCATCCTTGAAATAATTGAACAAGGGAGAGACTGAAGCAAGGAGCTGCTGGCGCAACTCTTCCTCCAGTGCGTCTTCAGAAGTCAAAAAAGCCTGGATGGAGCGCAAGAGTTGCCCTTTGACATTGGGAGCGACCTTGAAGCCGTCATTCGAAAGCAAACTAGTCAACAGTTTCACGGTGGATTCCCGAGATTCCAAAGACCTCGCGAACGGCGCGATTCTGGGCAAAACCGCCGTTAATGCCGCAAGGATGTCTTTCGGCGGCGTCGGTTCTAGAAGGGAAATGAGAGCTCTCAACAAGCCATCTGATTCAGTCTGAAGGAGATCATGAGCTTCGTTTGGCGTGATGGAGCTGTCTTCGGCGAGCTCAACCCAAGGGAGGATGATTTCAGTAAGAATGAAAACCTTCACCGTGTTCGGAGTGGGTTCTGCAGCTAGTGATCGCCAAAGTACATCTGGCACTCGAGCATCGTACTTTCCGAGGCAGATGACTAGGTCGTGGGAGTGCGCCCATACAGCGAACAGCCGTAGCAGGCCTGAGATGCCTTGAGTCGTCTCTGACGCGAATATGTCAAGACGTGGGCTAATTCCGCCAGCAAAAAGCACAGGCAGATAGAGCGGCCAGTCAATGTCCTGACAATGTTCGAACAGTAGCACAAGACATTGAAACGCGGTGCGTCTGATACTTCGGGCTAGCGCGGTCGTGGGAGTTGGATTGGCACCAATCTGGCTTTGGCCCTGATGGGATGCTCTGACGATACAAGAAACGACGGCGTCGACGACTTGTGCTCCATAGTCGGCGAATTGGCTTTGTGAAGTTTCTAGCATGGACAACAGTAATCGGAGGAAACCATATTGCTGATCTTCCGGGACGAAGACCTGGTCAAGCGTCGCTAGATGAGGCGAGTTTCCCTTGATATTGAGATCTCTCAGCTTCCCAAGAGCGACGTCTAAGAATAGGGCGACCTCTTGCTTCGATAGTCGGAAGAGGGAGCGCAACAATGACTTCCTCCGGGCGTCTTGTGCTCCTTGCGTACCTGCTCGGCCGACAATTGTACCATAAACCAGCCTGAGCGCAATGGGAAGGATGACTTCACGATCCTCCGATTTGACCGAGTCGGACTCTTCGTCCGAGCTCAGAAGCGTGCTGATATCAGAAGACGCTAACTTGCCCTCGGCGAGTTGCGTTAGCTTAGCCTCGTACCGTGTGACGATTGGGTCTTTCCACGTCAAGACCGCTTGGAATGCGAGTTTCCGAATGTCATCGTTTCCGTTACTGAGGAGATCGATGAGCTTGCTGTAAACTTCCAGAGACTTGAAAAGCACCCGTGGATTAACAAACTTGCTGAACAGAGTCAACAGCGCCTTACGGTCTGAGAGGGACCATGCCTGATCATCAAGCTCAGGAGTCAAAGTGTGAGAAGACACAGAAGCATCGGAGTCCGGATTTGCGGGCAACTGCGCGCGGCTGAAAGGCGCAGCCAGGAAGACGGGCACCAGCAAACGGGAACGGCGCTCTGCCATAGCTGGTATTGCTGCTAATACCTGCAAGGCTAGAGTTCGACCATTTGGTGGTAAGGCCACGTTTTCGAGTCGATGCGCAGCCTCCACCATTGTAAGAAACCTGTCGTGTGAGTTCTGAAAATCGACCAGGACCGACGAGGAAAGGGATTCCACTTGAGCGAGATGGGAGCACTCAAAGGACGATATGTGCCGCTTGGTCTGTTCTTCACCTTTCCGCTGTGGTTGGACTGGATCCACGGGTGTCTGCAGCCACTGCATGGCAACATTAACCACCACCTCTTCAGTTGATGAGGTTTCTACCAGCTGAGCCAGTGTACTACACAACTCCTTCCTCGTCTTGTCATGGAAAGCTGACAACATGCCGAGACAGTAGAAAGGAATCAGATCCTGATATGAAGACTCTGCTGGCATATTTCTGTGCAACTGGGGAAGTCTCCGGAGCAACATCGCAATCTTGCGGACTTCCGCAGGATTGTATGGCGTGTCCAGAATTTCAACCATCAGATCAGTCGTTTCCACGAGCCATGGCTTTGCGTCCGATTCCTCGACCAGGGAGAGTAAAAGCAGAGACTCTTTCTTCAACCCAGGAGAATTGGCCAGTAGGTTCTTGATAAGATGGTGTCGCAGGCTGTCAAAGGTTCGATGCTTTGAGCTCTGAGCGGGGGCATGCTTTCGAAATAGGCGAACTGTCGCATGAACGAAAGGCTCTAGGCGGAAATGGACAGAGGGAGTCTCCAGAAGAAGACCTGTAAGGCCCTCAAGTTGGTGGTCGGTGTCGGAAACAAGGTCGAGGTACGAGTCAAATCCCCAGCCCAAGATCGTACGCCGGTAGAGGTTGAGCTCGCTCCCTCCTTCGGCGAGTGCTGCGCCTAGTAGCTTGTAATAGGCATCGCGACCTCTTCCCGTGACTCCAGGGCTCCGAGAAAGACGGGAGTTCTTGGCTAGACGGAGGCGCCCAGCAAGTTGTTGTATGGTGGACGGATTCCCGGCCTCGCCCTCCGCTGCTAGCCGAAGAACAGCGAAGTCTTCATAGTCTGCAGGACAAGACAACGAGCCAGCGGCCGCTGCTCCACCAATGCGTATGTTCCCTTGTCGCAATCTTTCCAGTGTGTAGTAGAGGCTGACCTCATCATCGGACCAATGATCAACGATGTACTGTTGTAATTTTGGAAGGACAAGATCAGTGAACCTTTCTTTTCCCAACTCCGCAGTCAGTGCCGAGAAAGCAAAATACTCGCGGGCTGAAAGGTGTTCAGCTGCGGTGTCCAACAGCTTTTGTGAGAATGGCAACAGTTGGTCCATGGGAGCATACTGAAGGATCTCCGCCGTGATAGTGGCCAGGGTCGAGTGAATCAGAGGCAGCTCATCAATTAGCTGCCGCGCAGCGTCTGCCAGAGTCTGGAAAGTCTGAATAACATCAGCCCACCCAGATATCCTCGAACCTTTTCGCGTCCCCAGGAGCACTAGGACGAGTCTGACGGAGAGAGAGACATGGTTGGCCTCCTTGGATGAGGCGCAACGCTGTATAGCCTCCAGGAGCACTTCTAAGACGGGACGAAACGAGCTGCTGTCCGTCTCATGAATGAGGCCAATCATGATGCCTTCCACAGTTGGTTGGATTTGAGACGGGTCGCTCATTGCGAGAGCGGTATCCAACACACAGCGAACCAGCGATGCGGAGCACGAATGAAGCTGTCCATCGAGTCCGCGAGCACTGTCGACACAGAGACTCATGACACCCAGCTGATACGGGCTGTACGGTGGGGATGTGTTGTCCTGTGGTAATGCCTCGAGAAGGTGCTTGATGGCGACACTCAAGGGGCCTCTCTTCTTCTGATACAGGACCGCCGCTTTCCTAAGCAGAAAAGCCAGTGATTCTGCGCTGAACCGGACAATGTAATCCTTCTTGGACGAAAGGTACGGCGTCATGATATCAAGCAGAGGCCGCAGATCTCGGACAAGCAATTTCGCCAGGTACTTGAACATCCATGCCAGGCATGTAAAGCACCACTCAATGACATCTGCCTTATCCTGAGCCGCTGCGACTCGTGCGACCAACTCCACTGTCCTTGAGAAATATCGTTCGAAACCTTGACCCAAGTCATGGGCGAGATGTGCAAGGAGGCTGAGGAGCGGTTCGAGGGCAAGTTCGTCATTCTTCTCAATATGCTCGGCCAGAAGATTGAAAACAGTGTCAGCGTGGTGGAGCAATTGCGGTAGGGTTTCGGATAGAGGACTGGCTTTATTGAGGAAGCTCGTGAAGGTCTGCGACAAATTCAGCTCCGCCCACTCTTCCAAGGCTGTCCGAAAGAAACTCTGCAATATGTCGGCGTCGTCTTCTGCAGGCTTCCTTCTCTCGACAGTATGGACAGGGTCAATCTTCAACCTGGCTATGCGCCTACTGAACGATTCGTATCGATGCAGGTTTGTCGAAGTGGTCTGTTTCTTCGCCCTGCGCGAAGGCGCAAGTTGAAACCCAGGGGATATCGGGGCCATGGCTGCGATTGTCACCGTTCAGGGGTCAGTGACATTGTCCCTTCAGGGTTCAGTTGATGTGAGCGAGAAGTCTCGTCTGCGCCTGGCGTGGCTTCAGTTGTAACAAAAATCTCAGGTGCGGCAAACAGCAAAAACTTTCCCCGCACAATCAACTGTGAATCCCCATTTACGCCTCAATCAGTTAAAGATCCGCCGTAGCAGAAACCTTCCCGTCTACTGTGGATCACTTCACTTCATTTCACGGTTGACGACAGTGAAATCCACTTCACTGTCGAACCCAATCCACAGAATACAAAAAGCTGCTCCGCGCAAGTCTGGAATTCTTCTTATATATTCGTCGTCATCTCGGACCTTGGTATGCTCTTAATACAGTACTTTTCATATCTGAACGTACATCACACAGCCCAGGAGAGTCCCGATGGCAGTAGGCGATCTTGACTGAGAAGTCGGGTAACCCACTCTATCAAATCACGACGACCTCACAACCAGATCAGGAGCCCACTATGGGTACCGCAAAGATGTGAGCCAGTCTTGATGCGTGTTCAAGAGAGCAAGCTGACGCCTTCCCAGTCTCGTTGTTGGCAGTGTCCAAGGTGAATTTAAGAAGGCCTTTGAGAAGATATCAAAGCTGCAAGCCAAACAGAACTTCGCCTTGGCCATCATCGTCGGCGACGTCTTCAATCCAGACAACAATGAAAACAGCTCAAATGAACTAGACGCACTTCTCACCGGCCAGATCACTGTGCCGCTGCCGACATACTTTACAGTGGGTGACGACCCTTTCCCGGAAAATGTCAAAGCAAAGCTCGAATCGGGAACCGATCTATGTCCAAATCTCTACTACCTGGGTCGCAAGGGGATCATGACCACCACCGAAGGCGTCAGATTTGTCTCCCTCGGAGGTCGACTGATGCAGAACGAAGCCTCCTCCACTGAGAAGCCTGGAAATTGCGACCCATCCTACCTGGATACCGAGGCTCGAGGCCTGCATGGAGCTCATTCGTCTCATATCCTCATCACCAACGAATGGCCTGCCAATATCCGAAACGGGTCCAAGATCGATCTGCCTGAAGGCGTGGACGGCAGTCGCGGCACGCAGTCGATCTCGAATCTCTGCCAAGCTCTCAAGCCGTGGTATCACTTTTCCAGCAGTCCAGCCGGCCTGTGGGAGCGCGAGCCCTTCAAGCATGTCGCCGACTACAACTCTCTCGAAGAGCCAAGTGTTACTAGATTCAAAAGCCTACCCAGTGTGGCGGCGCCCACCAAGGAATGGATGACGGCGTTCACGCTGGACACATCGCGTCCGCCCGCGACTGTGGAACCACCGGCTGAATCACCGTTCGTCAGATCTTCGCCACCACGGAAGCGCCCAGCTCTGGACGACCAGGCCGCGTACCGTCGCTACGCCGACGACGGCTACGAACCACGCCACAACAAGCGTGCACGGAAAGGCCCTCGCAGCGATCCGAGCGACTGCTTCATGTGTCTCAACAAACCTGGCTCCAAGACCCACCTTGTTGTCTCCTTGGGCGAGGAAAGCATGGTCACCGTCTCGCGCGGGCCGTTGCCATTACCGACGACATTTCCTCGGCTATCCTTCACCGGCCACGTCATGATCATCCCATACTACCACGCTGCTGACGAGATGGCTCACGGGAAGCGATCATTGCAAGAAGTCGCGACCGAATTCAAGGAGATGTCCAAGTTTCGCAAGGCCCTGAGCGCCATGGTTGGCTCAAAAAGCCACGGCGAGCTCGGTACGGTTTGCTGGGAGGTCAACCGGACGGGCATACGGCATTTGCACTGGCAAGTCATTGCGTGTCCTACAGACCGCATCAAGAAGGGCATGGTAGAGGCGGCTTTCAAAGTCAAGGCAGAGCAGTACAAATATCCGACCTTCCAGCCATGTGACGCCGACAGCCAGCTCCCCGAACGATCGGACTACTTCCGCGTTTGGACCTGGATGGCAAATCCGCTGGAATTGGCCGACCATACCAACGGCCACGCGGACGCCGAAGAAGACCTCGGCGTGGCTCAGTCCATGTATTTCCCCTTGCCGACTGATCAGAAATTCAACATTTGGTTCGGCCGAGAAGTCATGGCGGGTCTCCTGCAACTGGAGAACAGAGTAAACTGGATGGATGCGCTGCTTCGCAAGGACGGGAGTGAGCAGGCAGCGGAGGAAGAAGAGGCCGACGGTCTGCGTGCCGACTTTGAAGAATTCGACTTTGCCATGAAGTGAGGAAGTGAAGGTTGGTCTGGAGCAGCATTACAGGACAATGGTACTCCGGTGGTCGAGTTTGAGCCGATCTTGGAGCAATGGATATTGGCACTGCCGACCACATTGAACAATGGAAATTGGCACAGCTCGTGGTCAAACCTGAGCCCATTTTGGAGCAATGGTTATTGCTACTACTCGTGGTCGAATTTGAACCGATTTTGGAGCAATGGGTATTAGCACTGCCGGTGGTCGGGACAGGGCCGTTTTGAACAATGGACGTCGGCACAGCTCGCGGTCGGCATTGAGCCCATCTGGGAGCAGCGGAACATTGGCTTTTCACGCATCACAATCACACATCTGAGATACCCATACAGCCAGCCTGTGCTTTTGTGCTTACTTTTGAGAGGTTTACATAGGTCTTCGGCATCACTGAACCGATGCACCAAACGCACACCACCATAGATCGATCTACAGTATCATCCTACAGTATTTAACATGCCATGCGATCGCCGAGCTAGGATTTAAAATAATTACAGAAATGTGTCCCCCAGTCATGCAGGAACAGCATCCATGTTCAACTCTAAGAAAGCTGCGAGCTCCGCATTGGTTGGGCGTAGAAAGCAGTGAGGGCCAGAACGCGCTCTCCCGTGTAACAGTACATAACATTTGACGGTTGCTGGTGTGTTCGATCTGCTCATTCGCTCCACCCTGTCCGATGCCGCACAACGTCGGGTTCGTGGCCGGAACAGACCTCAGACGGATGGCCTTGTGGTCGAATACGTCAAATAGAGGAGTCAGATTCTCACGCGAAGGTGGAGGTGGTAGAGCAGATGGAAAAGTATGTAGAAGCTGACACAATGCTGCTGCTTAAAGGGCGTGCGAAGCCATGCCCGTGAAAGCAGTAATTACATTAGTGGAGCGAAGGAACAAGGAACTCGGGTTGATCTGGACGAACTTTGGCAATCTGATCCCCGGGCAAGATGTGCATGATCATTCATGAGCCCTGAGGCCGGGGCCTTGAAACGAAGTTCTCCGTATTCAAGACGCGATGTAGGATGGAAAGCAGTTAATTCCTTGGATACTGATGCCGTAGCTTCCTCCAGATATAGTGGCACAGATCTAGATCGCCCCCCTCTCTATAACAGTCCGCGCCGCGAATATCTCGATATTCAAAACAATGCCCTGCCGAGGTATGGCTCAAGAGTAATAAGCCTGCAATGATACTCCTGGCTCCCACCCTGTACATACAAATTCATCCTCTATCGTCGCTTGAACGAGCTCATTCCAAATGAAAAAGACGAAGACGCTGTATTCGCTATTCCAGCCTCGTGAAAGGTTGTTGCAAGGTGCCAGGTCCCGCCGAATGCTTAGAAGAAATCGAGCAATATAAACAGAGATGGCCCGAGTTCGAAAATAGGTCTTGAAGGTGGCTGCCTCGCTGCAAATCGAATGAGCCATACAGAAAGGCGCAGAGCGTGCTTCGGAAGTTGTCCGATTAGCAATACTGCCAGAACGTAGGTGTCGGGTCGTGTGCCTGCGCAGGTCGGTGATGTAGGAGACGCTGCCTTTGTTCCTTGTGTCTGTAGTCCCCGTAGCAGGCTTCATCAGAGCAACGCGGCATCTCGGTAATTTCGTATATGTCCGCCCAAGGAAACATGGTATCGTCACGTCGTAAGGTGGCCAGGGCGCTCAACACTGAAGCTCAGCCGATTTGCCACGAGATTTCACCACACTCTTCTCTCGCGTTCTTGAATTCCTCGACCCGCTCAAGCATCCATCCCGAGATGTATTCTTCTTTGCCATCGACAGGGCGGCCCATTTTTATGGAATGGCTCAGCTTACAAGTCCCGGGATGCCAGGAGAACTGTACGCATTCTGGATCGGAGTCGCACACCTCACGACACTTGTCGGCCGACTCAACCGACCCCTTCTCGAGCTCGGAGAGATCATCCCACATCTTCTGTTTCTCTTCGTCATTCTTCCAGTCCCAATCAGCGTCTTCCTTGACGTGACCTTCTTTCGGCTCTGTGAATGTCTTGTCCCCGGAGCCATTGTTCCAGTCTTTCTTTTTCTCCGAGATGTGTGGCATGACGAAGTCTTCGAAGACGTCCTTGAACAGGTACGGAACCGCACCAGGGTCTTCGTCATCCCAAGTCTTGTTGAGCCACTCCTGCTCGAATTGCCAGAGGGCTTCAACCTCGTATGAGTGAACATGATGCCAGGTAATGGCCGGTGTGCACCACGTGCGATCTCCCCAGAGATAGCCTGACGGGGGGTCAACTTGGAACATCGGCCAAGCACCGCTAACTGAGACTCCGGCATGGCCCATTGCAACCCCAAGCATAACATCACCGCAGCAGATTGTGGACGTCTCCTTCTCCCAGTCAGCAATCTTCTCAGGCGTTCGGATAGCTTCAAATCGTTGAACAGCCTTGCGGGAGAGTAGGTAGCCAGTGCCGCCTTGAGCGAATGCGGTTGGGCCATGCCAATAGACACAGCCTGCGTAGAGCGGGTCCTCCGGATCCATGCGGTCGAGCAAGAGAAGTAGATTGGCCCAGCTGAGATATGTATCGGCGTCTATGGTGATGAACCATTCGGCATCGGGATATTTCAAGTACGCCTTGTGGAGCATGGGGATATTCTTCCACTTGTCCAAGGCCCAGGCTTTGTCGGATCCGAGCACACTCACATCGCCGTGTGCATGATGGGCGGCACGGATGGCGTTGTAGAATTGGAAGTCCTCGTGACTCTCCTTGTACTCTTGCCCGATCTCGTCTAAAGCGTCTTGAATGTGGAACTCTCCGATGTGTTGCTCCATGTCGGAAAAGATCATGAAGTTGGGTGCGCATTCTGCAAGGGTGACGAGTAGCTCAGGCACCCGGACAAATACTTCCGTAGCGCCAGTCTTGACCATTACCACAACTTTGTCTGCGCCTGGTAGCTGGCGACACGCTGGGATATGGGGCTCGAAAGCGTGTACAGGAGCAGAGGCGGGAGCAGAGGCGGGAGCAGGCACCGTCGGTCCCGAGGCGTAGGTTGGCCCGGTTTTCGGCTCAGGCTCAGGCTCAGGCTCTGCCTCTTCATCTGTCTTTCCTTCTGGTTCTTGCTCAAAGTCCGCCGCCACGGGACCGTCGACTGCTGAGGGGGAGGCCGGGTCGTCGTCGAATTCGTAGTAACCATCTTCGAGGTCGACGTCGGTGTCCTCAGGGAGTGTACTTGAGCTTTGGCTCCTCCACCAAGGTCCTGGCGACGAGGCCAGGCCGCTTCCAGACTCTGCGTCGGGGTCAGGGAGGTAGTAAGAGCGGAATAGCAGGAGAGAGACAAGGACGACAGAGACGATCAGGAGTCTCACTGGGCCCAGCCCGCGAGGAAGGGACAATGCCATGTTGCTCATGGCGCCCAATGCTCACGATGGCAGAAGAGGAGGAAAGCCTGCTGTGATACAGTAGACACGAGCAACAAGAGGGGGCTGCGCAGGAGCCCATATTTGCGTGCTTTGATGTCTACCCAGTATATCCCTGTCACGCTGGACACGGGCGGGATGGTCATAAAATCGGGAGCTCTGGGCGTCAGGAGAGAAGCTGATAGGCGGCGTACCTGACGATCAATTTGGTTCGGGCGACGGAGCTTATCTGACACGCCCCCCTAGCAGTGCCCCACTGCACACTGGCAAGCGTGCAAGCCCCTAGCAGCCCTCGATACGAAGCCCCTTGCCTGAAACCGCGCCTGGAAGCTTTACTCTTTACGGCCCGATGAAGTGCGCCAATCTCGACTGCCACGACGCCCAATGCTATTTTGATACATCCCACGCTGTCGCCACCGGATCTCCACCTGCCTTACGGAGGACGGAGCTGCGACTTCGTAAATTGGACTGCAACGGTCGCGAACATGCCTCCTGAAAGGAAGCGGCTCGGCCGAAGAACCGAGAGAAGCTGGGCTTGTTGCCTGTGATATTGGCTATATGATGCCATACTTCACATCGTTATCAAGGGCTGGCCGATCTCCATGCCCGCCTGTGCGTAAAGGGGTTGCACAAGCACTCGATCATGTTACGAGTACGGTTGCAGCAGTGGGACGGTGCACGACACGTCGGCTACTACATGTGCGTGAACCTCCACAGCTTCGCATGATGTGGTCCATCGAAATTCCTTCGTTTGACCTTTCACGCTGTGTGACCCGCTCTGCAACCATCGATGGCAGCTCCCGCAGGGATGAAGGAGACATCGAAGGAAGCTGAGAATATTGTACGAGTTATCCTACCTGTGCACGAAAAACGAGTTCCTTGTCATAGAACGACCAGCCCTGACTATCTGCACCGAGTCCGACACTGCTCGCGTATGACGATCACGACGATCGTTCCATTGCAATCACTCACGCCATCATAAAGCCCGGTCGATAACAGCGATCCCATGATTGCTGAGCAGCGACAACGAAGGTCATGTTTCCGCTTAAATGATCCCAGTCTTGCAATAATGAGAACGCGTCACGAACCCCACCTCTCCAAGCAAATCGACCGGGTGAAGGTATAAAACAGCCAGTATATGGAACATCTTCCATCCTAAGCCCGGTGTCGCACGGTAATGGTTTGGTCATTGAGGTTCACACTGACTCGATATACATGGCAGATTTTCATGTCTCACACAGGCCTAGCCCGCGAGGCGAGCAAACGACAGACTTTGCCAGGTGCCATGTTCCCAGGAGGAGAAAATATGAGCTGCTTCGGCTGTGGAGCTGACCTGGCAGGATGCCTGAGAAAGCAACTGCTTCTACTTTCTTGAGCGATCTGGGAACGGTAAGGGAAACATGTCGTAAAGCCTGTTGGCACGAGGCTGAGCTAAAAGCCGACAGGGTCGAGACAGTTTCGCTTCAGTCTTCTTATCTAGGCTCAGTAAACGGATAATTCCTCCGACCCCCGGATTCTGAGGGCTGAGGAAAAGAGACAGTTAGCAGGGCTTTGAATAACAGCGAAGACGCGCGATGCCGCACCACCAGCAACCGAATTCCCCAGCCGACTTTACTGCGGCCACAAGACCATCCACAATACGGTGTATCACTGGGACAAAGCCATAAATATCATCGCCTATGACCAACAGTGACAACTCTCGCTTTATGATATGGCTAACTCCAGCTCGGCCCGCTGCTCTGCCCCCAGTAAAGCGCCCGCACTGAGTATCAGATTGCTCCTCCACGCCCCTGGTGGCCGATGTGGCTCAACTCCCTGTCATAGCCTTCCTCTCCTCCATCATCTTCTGAGCATCCACCAGTCCGTTCTGCTCCTTTGTGCGCCACTGTATGGTTTTGCAGAGCCCATACAGACATTTCACTGTCGGCATTGCTACGCCGGCCTTCTCGCCTTCCCTCAGCGCCTCGCCGAGAATGTTTTCAAACTCCATGTACCTCTTCTTGCGTCGGTCCTGCTGCATACTCGGCGCGCAGAAGATCTCTATGGGATCACACTCGACCATGTCTTCAACCAGAGACTCGGGCAGCTCAACGTTTGCCGCCGCCTTTGCCGCAGCACGTATCTCGTTCATGGCGGGCCTGACGAGTAGGTTCAGAGGGCTTGCTGGATCTTGTGCTTCGGATGCAAGTCGAAACCGTGTGGTGTCCAAATCTGTGAGAGCGCAGATTGGATTCCACACGGCGTTATACATCAATTTCCTCCATCTGACAAACAGCACGTCGGGCTGGTATGAGCATTGGACCTTGCCTGAGGCGGAGTAAATTCTGACAAATTCCTCAGCGGCATCGATTTGCTTTTGCTTGTCGATGGTATCGGATAGAAACGGACCTATGTACAGCCTGTCGACATCGTTTTCCAGAATGTGACCGGGACTGAGTTCATCCGCGCCCATCAACGACACCCCTGAAAGGCAGATGTTGTCGGGAAACGCGCTCAGCAAGGGCTTCTCGATATTCAATCCGTTCTGGATGAGTATTATGACCGAGTGGCCGGGCGTCACGGCGGGCTTGATCAAGTCGACCAGAGTCGGCGGTACGTCTGGTATGTTCTTCGTCGTGCAGATGATGTAGTCCAATGGTCCTTCCGACGACTCGGGGCCCGACAGGTCAGGAATCTTATTGAGCACCTTGGTAGGTCGCCAGCCCTCGAACTTCCCGTGGTCGCAGGAGTCAATAGTGAAGCCCTTGTCCTTGACGACCGCGTAGTTCGACCTCAACACGGCCGTCACAACGGCCAATCCTCCTCGTTCGAGATTCAGGGCCGTCATCGTCCCGATGCCGCCGGCTCCCACGAGCAACACTCTAGCCTTTTGCGCCATCTCGCCGACTGTCGCTCCGCTGTGGTTACGACGCGGGTTTATTTACCTTTGCACGGAGTGATCATTGATCCGTGCAACCGGAAAGGTACTATTTATCTACCAGGCTCTCGCACATGTGACAAGGCGCATATGCAAGGTCGTGGTCTTGATTGGAGGAAGCAGCATCGAGCCTGGACGGTGTCTTCCGCATACTGGAGATGCCCGCTACAAGCTCCCGACTGTGGCCAATATTCTCCCCTTGGTTCCCGCGGCAATCTTCTTTCTTAGTCACAAGGCTATGAAGCCACGGGTCAGTGTTTATGTGGCGAGACTGGACGTCGAATGCTTTCAACACACGGAGTATCACCACAGGTAAACCCAAGCTATTAGTCCAAGCACAAACCCTGCCTTCACGCTCTTGAATGCATCGCCAGAACACCTCCCACATTGAGACAGAACCATACCTCGCGACACCTGTATGATGGATACGGTCAGCGCTCACACAGAAATATTCTGCCAACACGGCTTTCTGTTCTTCTGGTCAGTCGATCGCATGTATCAACCGATCAAGTGTGATCTCCGTAGGCACTGTGTTGTAACAACTCCCTGAATCCCTTGATTCCTGATCTCTTGAATCCCTGCAGTCCTTTCCCTCAGTGCAAGCTTTCGTTTCTACGGTCCACGAACGATGAAACAGACCTCTCGGCTCTTCTCCCTGCTGGCATCCGACCGACGCAACAATCTCATGGTCGTCCCAGCAATAATGAACCACCACGGCCCTCCTGATCAGTGCGACCTCCAAACCGGCGCTCTCTGTCTCTTCCGTCTCATTGCCCGTGATGCCCAAGCCTACCTCTCGCCCGCGTCGCCAGCACGATCAACTCTGCGACTGAAGCAGAGGTGAGGATCATCCACGCAACAGTAGCAAACAGTCCAGCCTTCGATAGGCAGACGTGAGGTTGAGATGGCGTGTCTCTGTGCAGGTGAGTACATGGCATGCTAGCAATCGTACCACTTCCAGCGGAGACAGTGTCCCTCTCCAAGCAGAGCTTCACGTGCCGCATAATTAATGCTCCGATCAAGACTCCCGCCACGACATGCATATTCGCTACTCAGAAAAGTGATCTGCATGGCGTGAAATATCTTTCTCGACTCCCACCGCACAAAGCATTCTCCGGTCGCCACCTCGACTGACGCTGCTCATACCGATTGGACACAAAACATGAACGGACTTTCTCCGACGTGACCGATCTTCAGAATCTCTCCACAAGTCAAGGGACAAGTATTCCCCGCATTTAGAATATATGTTGACGTTGACTTCTTGTCGAGCCTCCTCCCAACACAAGGAATGAAGACGACGATATAGAACTAGCATCCACCCAAGTGTACTCTTCCCTTCTTATTCTGCACTCAGCCCAAGATGGGCTCCATACCATCGGACCAAGCCGTGGCCCCTCCGCCCTCCACGACGACATACAACATCGCGTCAATCCCGGCCGACGGCATTGGCCCCGAAGTCATCACCGCGGGGATTCATGTACTGAACACGCTCTCCCGGGCCTTCTCATCCCGCTTCTCCTTCAACTTCACGCACTTCGACTGGTCAAGCGACACCTACCTAGCCACAGGCCGATACATCCCCGAGGGCGGCCTGGACACGCTGCGCACCTTCCACGCCATCCTGTTCGGGGCGGTCGGCGACCTGCGCGTCCCCGACCACATCTCCCTCTGGGGCCTGCGGCTCGCCATCTGCCAGCCCTTCCAACAGTACGCGAACGTGCGGCCCTCGCGCGTCCTGCGCGGCGTGACGTCCCCACTGGCGGCGTGCCAGGGCTCGGCCGCCAACGCCAAGAAGCTCGACTGGGTCATCATCCGTGAGAACAGCGAGGGCGAGTACGCGGGCCAGGGCGGCCGATCGCACGTCGGCCACGCCTGGGAGGTGGGCACCGAAGTCAGCGTCTTCACGCGCCACGGGTGCGAGCGCCTGCTGCGGTTCGCGTACGAGACGGCGAGGTCGCGGCCGCGGCGCAAGCTCACGTTCGTGACCAAATCCAACGCCCAGCGTAACGGCATGGTGCTGTGGGACGAGGTCAACGCCCGTGTCGCGCGCGACTACCCAGACGTCGAGGCCGACAAGATGCTCGTCGACGCCATGACGTGTCGCATGGCGCTGCAGCCGGAGACGATCGACACGGTCGTGGCCACGAACCTGCATGCCGACATCCTCTCGGACCTGGCGGCCGCGCTGGCGGGGAGCATCGGCATTGCCGCGACGAGTAACTTGGATCCCACGCGCCAGAACCCCAGCATGTTTGAGCCGATCCACGGGTCGGCGTGGGATATTGCGGGCAAGGGCGTGGCGAACCCGGTGGGTACGTTCTGGTCGTGTGCAGAGATGGTGCGCTGGCTGGGCCAGCCCGAGGCGGCGGATCTGTTGATGGAGGCCGTCGAAACGGTGCTGGAACAGGGGGTCAAGACGAGGGATCTCGGCGGGCAGGCTGGCACGGAGGAGGTCACGAATAAGGTGTGCGAGGAGATCTTGAGGTTAGGAAGTGAGAGGCAGGGTTTTGTCAAGGGTAAGGAGTCGCAGTAGACGCAGTGAGCGAGATTGTCTCTGAGGTGAGTATGGTATGATGAAGGAATGAATAAATGCGCAAGCAATAGACAAAGAAATGAAATCCGGTACCGACGAGGACTGTTCCACGCAACGCAACTCAACTGAACTCAACTCAACTGAACTGAACTCAACGCAACGCAACGCAACCGCTCCACCGGACGCAACTCAACAGGGTGCAACTCAACGAGGACGCCCGTACGAGTGAGTCGAGACCCAGCTGGACATTATGTCAAATCAGGTCAATCAAATTCCTTGATCTGCCTACCTGAGATACCTGGTATCTCCCTCTAGCCCTTCATTCTCGTTCTGACCTACCTACTCTCTCCCTTCATCGCAGGCTCAAAAACCACCGCCTCCCTCCATCCGCTCCTCTCTTTCGCCTCCCTAAATCCCACCTCCCACTCCTCCAGGTCGAACGACTTCACCTCCTCGACCTGGACTCCTGGGTCCGAGGCCGAGTTCAACTTCAACTTCAGCCTCCCGCCCTCAACCAGCCCAATCAACCTCTTCACGCCCTCCCTCTCGTACATGAATTTGCCCCGGATGATCAAGTCCCTGAACATAAGCGCCGCGTAGGGGATCTGCACCGCCTGCGTGATCCCGCCCATAAAGCACGCAGCTCCCCCCTTGCGAAGCGCCAAAATACAGCTGGCGATGTGCGTCGAAGCCGCGGCCCCCTCAGGCGAAAAGTCGATATAAGCGTCAATTCCGCCCTTCCCGCGTCCACACGCCCGAATCGCGTCCGCATCCTCCTCGACGTGCCCCTTCAGTTGCACGACTTTAATACCTCCTGCAGGATACGCGGGCTGCAACAGGGTCTTCATGCGCTCCAGCGCCTCAGGCCTTCGTCCGCAAATGACGACGTCCGCGCCCATCGCCAGCGCGACTTCCACAGCTGCGCCGCCGAACTGACCCGTCGATGGGGCGATGACGACGGTATCACCCGCGCGGATGTCCAATGCCGCCAAACCCCCCATCGGCACGAGCAGTTTGAGGAGATAGGCTAGTTCGGGCATGGTGTAGCCGAGGCTGGGGACGGTGGTGTGGCCACCGCACAACGTATCTTCGTCCAACGCATGGACATTCTCCAGCGGCCAGCGCGCATACTCGGCGTAGGACCCATCGCGCCACGTATCCTCTCCTTGCATCAACCGGGCTGCCTGGTCGGATGTCCCGCCATGGACGCCAAGCAGGATGCTCTGCGCCGGGTCGTCGCGCCCGCGGACCATCGGGTCGAGAAGCACGAGTTGGCCGGGCTCGAGAGTCGTGGCGTCGTTGGCCAGCGCCACGACCCGTCCGATGGCTCCCCCGCCGATGGTCTGCGGTGGGTGGAGCGGGTAGTTCAACACGCCAGAGTAGAGGGCCGCGGCGTAGGCGAGGATAGGCGTGCTGAGGATTTGAACGATCGCGCTCCCCGGGAGGGGCGCGGGTGTGGGCTTGGACTTCACTTCCAGGGGCGAGCCGAGCGATAGGAGGGTTAGAGCCCGGTGCGTTTCCGGGAGGGATTGCATGATGGCAGAGGTAGAGAGGGCGACGAGCAAGATCAAGATCAAGAGCAAGGGCGATGAAATGGAACGCAGCGATAGCAGTAGCACCGAAGCGACAGACCCGACCAGCAGCAAGCAGGCGCGGCAACTCTTATATACGTATGTACGTACATACATACATACGCACACATATACAGGTATACTTACAGTGGTACAATCATGCAGCATTCCCTATCTACAATCTAGTGCGCAATGAGAAAAAGGCGTCCTCGTACTGTCTGTGTACTCGGACTGTATCCTGCGCTATAGCGATGTGTGGCCCTGTGTTCGAGTACCTGTATCCATTACCGTAGCTGAATGTAGTCCTTGGAATTAGCCGACAGGGAGGTCACTCGCTAAACTCCATACCAGACTAGCCGGCGGAGATAGGCGGATTTAGCATGCGTATCTCCTGGAGGAGGAGTCAAGCGAGCGTAGCGAAGATGAAATGCAACGGACCATTCAGAGGGCGTGTTGAATGCACAGAGCGGGATGATCGATGGTCGCGATGTTCCAATACGAATACCTGATGATGAAGAAAGGGGACAAAGTTGGGTGATCGGTCGGTTAGGGAGGGATGGGTGGACAGATCTCCCCTGTCAGCGTTGGAATTGATTTTGGCCAGAATCGGAGCCCTTTGGCGTGGCAAAAACACTAAGGGAGGATGAGAGCAGCGACCATAGAAGGAAAATTGAACATCGATTCAATCTTGCTCTGTTATCGGCCCCGAAGTGCCTTTGCAATACTTGATTCTCGATTCTTGCTCCTCCTAGTATGACACTTGAGTCCCAGAGGTACCACTTCTCGGAAACGTCGTTTGGACACCGACAGTTGATATCAATGCTTGGCTTAATGGTGCAGTGTCAGCAACTCTTTGCTGAGAAGGCGCAGATACTGAACAAAGAAGAAGTCCAGCTCGATGCCGTGCGACCCATAGAAGATCTCGTGCTCGACATTTGTCGTCGGCGCATCTCGCTTGACCATAGCATCCTGAATGCGCTTTCAAAGCGCATATCCATACCGTTCCACCGGACGTGGTCCCTCTACACGCGACTACCTTTGCCACGACCGATGGCGGGCATTTCGGTTCGTCGGCACTGGATGATCTTTCGCCCGCATTGGCATATCATTGCACAGTAGGGCCAGAGGCCGTGGGAATCGACACCATCGTGTTTTTCGAGGCCCTGGTGTTCACAGTCGTTGTCTCCGCTTTCCTAAATCGAAGTACGCGTCGCGGAAGCATTGTTGGTATGCTCCACCACATCCGCAAGGCTGTCAATGCCCTTCCAGGTGATTTTCCGAACATGGCGGTCTCCATGTATAGTGGGAATGCCGCTGCTCGCATCATGGCTTGTCTTGGCTGAGGGTTTGTCGTTGCTATCGGGCGACGTTGCAGCATTCGCAGAGATGGATTGACGGACAACTGCACCTCCAGGCGTATCCTTGCCTGTCTGATCGGTCGAAGGAGCGGTAGCTGTTTGACCGATCATCACTCCGCACTTTGAAGCATGACCAGAATCATAGGCTTTCTTCGGGCGGGTCTGCGAATCGGTTGGTATCATCTCCTTGGGGGAACCATTTGCATCAGAGGTACACTCACCTGTATGGGACAGGTCATCCTCGGTCGGGGGAAAGACATGCCTAATTCCAGAAAAATCAGTACATCGCGTGGAAGATCGGATAGCGCCTGTAGAGGCACATACGGGAGACACTCAGCGTAGGCAGTAACATCCTTGTCCAAGAAGTTGCAGAAAACGACTCTGTCCAGCTTCTGACCCTCTGGTTTTGTCAGAAACCTGTAGACCTCCCTGGAGGCCGCTCTTGCTGCAGCCTTGCTGGGGTAGCCGTAGACACCTGTCGAGATAGCAGGGAAGGCAATGGTTTTGCAGTCATTCTCAACGGCAAGCTTGAGAGACGTGCGGTAAGCGCTGCGAAGGTGAGGTTCTGACTCCTCGATACTTTCGTAGACCGGACCGACCGCGTGGATGACTTTCTTGCAGGGCAAATTGTACGCATCTGTTATCTTTGCAGAGCCGGTCTCACAACCGTTTAGGGTCCTGCATTCTCGAAGAAGACCGGGGCCGGCGGTTCTGTGGATGGCACCGTCAACGCCACCTCCGCCAAGAAGTCTCCTATTGGCAGCATTTACGATCGCGTCACATTCGAGTTTAGTGATGTCGCCCTTGTAAGTGCAGACCTTGTTGTTGAGCTGTTGGTTGGGGGTGGGCAGGTCTTCTTCCGTTGAGGGTTTGAGCTCTCCTCTGCGGAAAAGCTGAGAGACGGTGGGTATCTCCGCCACGGACTTGACGGCTGAAGACATTCCGCGAATCCACGTTCGAGAGAGCATATACAAGATGACTGGAGTGGCAGAAGTTGAGAAGACTGGGGAAAGTGAGGAAGTTGTGAGAATGAAGATGTGAATTCGATCGATCAAATCTCCAATTGCGGAAACGCGGGGAAACACGCTAAGCAGGGCTCTTTCACTCTTGACACGTGACGATAAGAGGAATCCACGTCATCGATAAGCAATGATCAAGATGATGCACGGAGGAAAATAAATCTATTTCTTATCCGCAAATGATTGCGCTCGGTAGGAGATCTGATAATGCAAGCCTGAGGCTGTCGATACGGATACGTCTCAATCTCCATTACTCACGTAAATTGAATAAGTAGCTCTTTTTCGTGTGCTACAGTAAGAGCGCTGCTTGCTGTGATTAACTCTGCTCTGTCAAGCCATGACCATCACGATCCGGCCAGCAACTGAGGACGACCTACCCCAGGTCCGTGAAATCTTTGAGCACTATGTACTGAATACTGTTGTTTCATTCCTGGTGAAGAAGCCGCCTTCCGATTATATTGCATCCAGGTTCCGGGAAATCACCGCGCGCAACCTCCCTTATCTCGTTGCGGTCGACGACAATACCCAAATTGTCGGCTACTCATACGCGTCGGCTTTTCGCGGTTACATGATAGGGTATAGCCATACAGTGGAAATCAGTCTCTTCTGCCATCCCGCCCATACGAACAAAGGTATCGGCAGCCAAATGATCAAGCGGCTTATCGACTTGCTCCGCACCACCCGACATTCCACCCGAGAGATTGGCTACGACGACCACCCGCTGGAGTCCGACGTGAAGAAAGTGATGGCGATCATGGCGGTTGACGAGACGGCTCCTGGCGAGGGCCTGGCTCTACGTGACTGGTACAAGAGATGGGGTTTCGAAGAGGTCGGCAGACTAAAGGGAGTGGGATTCAAACTGGGCAGGATGTACTCAGTCCAAGTCACCAGAAGCTATCGCCGGCTAACGAAAGTGCTAACAGCATCGACACCATCTATCTCGAGCTACACCTACAGTAACCCTGGCTGTCAATCTCCCAGGTACGCAAGGCATTACTTAAGTGTGATAGGGAACCGCCGTTACAGAACCGGGAGATAACAGCTCCTTGGTCTCTGACTTGAGTTGTTATGGTCTGGATCTTGTGTAGGCTGCAGTGCTTTGTGGCGTCAAAGTTTGGGGCTGTGCGGGAAAGAGACAGTCACACGAGTCTGCCTCGTAATAGTCCGCACTAGGCTGGTTCACCACGAGCTTCAAGCAACGAATGGTTTCCCTCTTAGTCTACGCTGGTATACATTACATCTTTCACGGAGACGGACGAGGCGTTGGAGAGGAGTCATTCGTGACGGGTCTCACAGCAGCTTGCGGCAGCCTCGTCATCGCCCCCTTCGGATTAACATAAATCCGCTCCCTTTTTCCTCGTCATTTGAAAGCGGCAAGCCTGCGATTTTGTTTAACACGAGCTTAGGCTTCGATTTGCGAACTGCAATTGATCTTGCTGCCTGTTATCCTCATTACCCCGCCTATTTCTGTCATGCCTGCCTACCCTCCGCTTTGACTTGCTATCCAGAAACGCCTGATTGTGCGTGGACACTCGACCTCAGGTTCGACAGGGCTGGGAATCTGTGGTATTCTGTTACACGTGTCTCACCCAAGCGCATCACATCGCGGTCGGTACCCATTTTGTTGGCCTTGGAGCAAAATAATCTCTGTCCCTGAGTATTTCGCATTCACTTGCGGGAGGCTGAGGTGAAGTCGTGGTCACGGCGCAGCTCCTCTGCACCAAACCAGTACCGGCTGAGCGCGTGCTAGTCTGGAGTCAGGGTCAGGATAGATCCTGCTGTTCGAGGTGGGTGGCTGTTTGACTATCGTGCGTTGACCTTTGAACAGTATCGCCTTCAGCCATTTACATCTCTGTTGGTGTCAACTTGAACCTGCTCAGCCGGGACCTTTCCAGGTCGCAGGCGGTCGATTGGCGGCATTATGATTACATGTCTGACTCGTCATTTATTGTCACTTCACTTTGCGAACCAACTGCGCTGCGCCATGATTGGCTTACACGAGGCAGTGATTTCCTCATCTGGAGTGTCTGCCAAGATGGGACGGCTGCCTACTCAGTCCATCACATCTATTTAATTCAGCCTCTCCTCCTCGATACTCGCTCCTCGCTTCTTCACCACTCTACCATTCAGTCGCTGTTCCTTTCCTCTTGGCGTGCGACGGAAAATGGCCACCCTTTATTACCAACGTCACCACTTCTGCGGTTGCTGGATTCCCGTTGAAACCAGGCCCTACTCACCTGTCGAGCGGCGGTATCTTCCTCAGGTCGATCTGAACTCTTCGACCACCATCCTCGCCACCACATCCCGTACCACCCTCAAGCAGACATTTGTCAACGACCAAGACAAGAAATTGGACGAAGTTCAATATACCTTTCCCCTCTACGATGGCGTCAGTGTCGTCGGCTTCACTTGCACCGTTGGACCCAAAACCATCGTCGGGATGGTGAAGGAAAAGCAGGAAGCCAGAGTTGAGTATCAGGCAGCCGTGGCTCGAGGGGAAACCGCTGGTCTACTGGAACAATTGCCCGAGGCCTCTGATGTCTTCACCACTTCAATCGGCAATGTCCCGGCGAATGAGAAAGTTCACATTGAGATCGTCTACCTCGGCGAACTCAAGCACGACGCCGAGACCGATGGCTCACGATTCACCATCCCGACTATCATTGCCCCTCGTTATGGCGCAGTCTCTGGAGAATCTGAAAGCACCCTCTTGAACAGTGCGTCGAAAAAGGGCCGCATCTCCATCTCTGTCGACGTCACTCTCGAAGATGGAACTATCGTCCGCGGCTTGCAATCCCCCAGTCACCCTATCGCCGTTACCATGGGTCGCACTTCCCAAATGGATGAAGACGCGTTCAGTAATAATCACGCCTCAGCCACACTGACGCTTGGTTCCGCCGAACTCGACAAAGACTTTGTTGTCGTCGTCTTGGCCAGGGGCACTGACACTCCTCGTGCTCTTCTTGAGACACACCCCACCATCCCCAACCAGCGCGCTATCATGACAACCCTCGTGCCAAAATTCAATCTTCCAAATATCTCTCCCGAAATTGTCTTTGTGGTCGATCGGAGCGGCAGTATGGAGGGCAAGATCGAACTCGTCGTGTCTGCAATGAAGATCTTCCTAAAGTCACTCCCAATTGGCGTCAAGTTCAATATCTGTTCCTTTGGCTCAACCCATTCATTTCTCTTCAAGCGAAGTAAGACATATGATCAGTCGAGTCTCAAAGAAGCTTTGAGCCACTTGAACACTTTCGCGGCAAACTACGGAGGTACAGAGATGCTTCAGCCTGTCAAGGCCACTGTCGCGAACCGATTCAAGGACTTGCCTCTGGAGGTCATGCTTCTCACTGACGGCGAGATCTGGAACCAAGAGGAGCTGTTCACCTTTATCAACGAAACGTCTGACGCCCGCTTCTTCACCCTGGGTATCGGCCACGGGGCTTCTTCTGCCCTCGTCGAGGGCATCGCCCGCGCAGGCAACGGTTTCGCTCAATTCGTTGGTGACAACGAAAAGATGGACCGACGAGTCGTCCGCATGCTAAAAGGGGCACTCACACCTCACATTACCGACTATACCCTCGAAGTCACGTACGGACAAGGCGCGTCGCCTTCCGGTGATGACGATTTCGAAATGGTTGACTCTGCCAGCACTGAGACCCTGACCGTCCGGCCCGTCGCTAGCAACACCCAGGAACCAGAGCAGAAGAAGCCAATCTCCCTGTTCGACACCAGCGCCACAGAGGATCCACCCAATCCTCCTGCAGGTCGTTACGACAACTTGATCAACGTCACTGCTCCAAAGATCCTTCAGGCTCCCCACAATATTCCGACCCTGTACCCTTTCAATCGGACCACAGTTTACTTACTGCTGGGTCCTGACGCTCCCAAAAAGGCTCCCAAGTCTGTCACTCTCCGTGGCACTAGTCAACATGGTCCTCTCGAGCTTGAGATCCCCATCCAAGACGTCGGGACTGGTAAGACACTACATCAACTTGCGGCAAAGAAAGCTGTGCATGAACTCGAACATGGCCGCGGCTGGATTACCGAGGCACGCGATGGGAATGGCAAACTCATCAAGACCGCTCACGAAGGAAAGTGGGATCTGATCGTCGAGCGCGAGGCAGTTCGGCTGGGTGTCCTCTTCCAAGTGGGAGGGAAATGGTGCTCATTCGTTGCCGTCGACAAGGAAAACCAACAAGAGCATAAGCCTACTCGTATCGATACTGGATCGGCGTCGGAAACCGTGTCTAGACGACGCGGCATTTCGAGTCAGCCTCCAGGAAGGGCATTGTTCTCAGGGTATGCTGCCTCCCAGCCTGTGAGTAACCAACAGTTTGGGGGTGGCTCCAGCTCCGGCTTTGGGCTGCTCGGCGCAGGGGGGGCTGGCGCTGCTAGGGGGGTTGGGAGTGCGAGAGTAAGCAGGATCACCAGGGGCAGAGCAGTGGCTGCACCGCCTGTGGCAATGCAAATGAGTCAAACAGCAGCGGCATTTCCCGGAAGCGCTCCTGCACCAGCTTCAGCGACTCAACTTGAAGATTATCAGTCTGGCCTCATGACGCTCCACCAGGAGAACAAGGATCGCAAACGGATGGTGGCTAATTCACAAGCACAACCGCCTCCGCCGCCAGTGAATCCGGGCAGTAACTCTCTCTTTGGGAGTCCAAGTCCAGCTTTTCACTATCACTATAGTTCTAACCCTCAGCAGCACAGCAGCGGCAGTGCCTCTCCAGTTGTTTCTGCGCCTGCGGCTGCAGCTTCAGTGGCAAAGAAGAAGAAGGGAGGTTCTCGTCCGCACGGGATGGGCTTCTTTCACGGCTTTTCCCGATCTCGCGAACACGGAAACAATGACGAAGGCGGCGAGCATTCAGAAGACGAAGATGTCCGGACGTTGCCTGACACAGAGAAAATGCACAAGATCATCGCCCTGCAGGAATTTGACGGCTCATGGCAAGTCTCGGACAAGCTTCTTGAGCTCCTCGGTGTTAGTGCCGACCAGTTTACCGGCTTGGATGTGGGTATCTATTCGGCAGTGGGAAACAAGACACACAGAGCCACCGCTCTGGCGATTGCCTGGCTGAAGGTCAAGGTTCCATCCGAGGAGGATGTCTGGGAAATGGTGGTCGACAAGGCAATGGGCTGGCTCTCAGCGCAAACCGAAGATGGCAATGCCGACGAGGCCGTCAAGCTGGCCGGTAAAGTCTTCTAGGGGGAATGATACTATGAGAGCTGGGGAATGGTACCATGAGAGCTGGGGAATTGTCCTAACTGGTCGTGGTCTCAGTGTGAGATCTTGGATATGCGCTGGTCTGGATAGCTTTGCGATGTGGGAACCAAGGTATATGACCAATGGCAATATAGCAGAGTGGCAGGATGACATTTGATGAATGTGTGAATCGGTCTGGTCTCGCCGTCTTCCAATGCTTAATAGGACGCGAGATATAGTTGGATACTACCTTATCATTCAACCCTCGGTGAGGCGCGCAGGTAGCTTGATGAAAAGAAACAATAAAAGTATCTCAAAGTCAAAGTTAAGACAGTCTTTCTGTTCCCTTCCTTGCTTGCCTCGTGTTCTTCCCAGTATATGTATGTAATTATTTCATGGTCCAAGTTTCACGCTCCCTCCCGCCCTTGGTATGTACATTTCTCGACGGCGGTCTTGCACTCGATCTCGATGGCTCCAGTCTGGCTGCTCCATCCTTCGTTGTACCTTTTACGGAATACAGCAATAATATATCGCGTGCCCTCGTGCTCTTACACCACCTTTGTTTCCTATTACTCCACACAGCGCTGGCTGGAGGGAAGTTACTGCCGGGTACGGTGTCACGTACTGTACTGGATCTATATATCCCTATATCCCTATATCTGATGCACTTATTTCTATATCTATACCTATATCCAACGTATCTGACCTGACTAAGTTGACAGGCAGTCTTGCACTGGTAAAGCGCGAGTGGACGTCATCTACAATACAATGCGAATAGGGCATACTCCGTACAGCGGAAACAAACATACCTGACCATGGACGGTGTACGCTTGAAGTCGTTGTCGTCTATCGAAAACATGCATGCCTTGTAGTTTCCTCGCCGCTTCACACAGCCAATACAACCCATTACAATTACCATGTTTTCTCATGTGGATGCTCATAAACAGGCTAGTAGGTTCCATGTGGTGTGCGAACAGAGAGTGCCGCCGCTTGCAGCTTGCAACCTTGCATTAGATCCACGGAGTGTTACATTCATCAGACGACTTTCTTGGGCACAGTTATAATAGAACGCGGTTTGCACCAAATGAAGAAGAAAAGGGGCTTTGGTGAGAAGGGATGGATGGGATCATCATCTAACTACGCAATATGAACGAGAACAGCCTTCTACTCCGTACAGTATCGGTTGATGATGTGCGTATGCAATATTGCCTAATTACCACATTGCTGCCGCCTTGCTGCCGCCAATATCAGTACATATTCTGCACGATACCCTGCACGACACCCCGAGAGCCAGGACAGCACCACGGTATACTTATGTAATTGATACTGTAAAACACTTTCTACCATGTCTAATATGTCCCTCGCTGTGATATACAGAAGGGCTTCCCCTTTGATGCTCCTTTGAACCCCACGGCTCGCTCCTTCATTTGTCAAAGCGGAACTCGCTCTCGTTTCCCGCCTTTTCAGCCTCCTGCTCAACAACCCTCTCAATCTCACTCGCTACGCTCAAGACCCAATGATCCCGCTCTGCGCGACTGCGGCACTTGAAGACCATGCCTCTGCCCGGGACGCCGAGTTGGCCTACTCTCTTGAGCCTCGCTCTCGTTCGGCCTGTTGATTTTCCCTCGTCGGCTCCAGCGCCGGTCGCGGCCTCATCCGAACCGGCCGTCTTGAACCAGCCTTTCTTCCTGTTCATCCAGACGACGAAACAGGTCATGAAGTCGACATCGGCACTGGTCCAGCCGTCTTCGAGGTAGACTCGCGGTAGACTGGCCAGCCCTGGATGGTTTGCGTCGAAAGTCCGGTTCTGGTATAGCAGATCGTCTTCGACAAGGAGACCACTGTAGACGTAGCAGTCCTTCAAGTCGACCTCCTCCTGCTTCTCTTGATGGATGAACCGTACCTGTTCGCCAGTGGTCTTCCTCAGGGCCGACTGGAAGATGAGCAGTTTGCCACCGCTAAGTATGACCTGACACCTGCGGAAAGTGGCCCGTCGACGCTTTTTCAGGAAGAGGGAGCCGGACATAGTGATAGTTCGGCAGCTGCTGATGCCGCACATGTTGTACAGCTCGGGGCTTGCCTCACTACGACTGACTTCCCACTTCTTCGCAAATTGGCCGATAATGGCTTCCATTTCCTCGTCGACGTTCAGCTGCTCCAGATTGGCCTTTCTGATCGACTTGAACGTGTCCATTTCCGCAGCCACGCGCAACTTCCAGTATTTCACCAACTTCTTCAGCCGGCCGATCCACTCGTCACGTGTCTGCTTGGAATATGCCTGGAGCCGAATCACCAGTCCATTGTCCAGGAGAAGCTCGAAGACGCGGTCATCGTCGATTTCCTTCGTGGAGCCATCTTCTTCCCTAGTGTCAGAGACGTCCTGGTGGAAGTCGACGTCGGAGCTCGAGCCGGTCTCCAGTGATTCGTCGATGGGAGAAGCACCCCATTTGATGGTGCGAACCTTCCGGATGTTGCACATATTGACGTATCCGTCAGCGTCTCCTATGTTCGCAACATTACGCCGAGCTTCCTCCACAGCATCTCGATCATGCTGCTGTAGGGAATCCGGGTTTCCAGATGACAGCCATGAAATCACGCCGTTCTGCAACTTGTAAGGCTCAATCTCATACATCAGCGGCGTCTTTTCCACTATCTCGTGGGCCGAAGGGACGTTGCTTCCACCGATCGTCGCAAGCCGGGGTGGATGAGGCGGTGTCGCCTTTGCTGGTCGATTAAACACCAAAAATTGATTATGTGTTGAAAAGTACAGTCGCTTGAAGAAGGCCTTTCCCATTCTCTTGTGGACACCCTTTTGAGAGGTAAGGCGAATCAGGAAGCCCTCAATAGGTGCAGGCTCGACGTGTGATACACCTTTTCTGCCGTACGACGTGGTAGGGTAGTGTTGTTTTGGTCGCAGTTCCAGGTTGTGTGATCGCGTCATTGCCATCGTGCCATACATCTTCTGCTCGTTGGCACCATAGACCCATTCAAGTCGGTCATATCTCTTCCAGGCGAGACCCATCTTGGCAGCCTCGCGCCAGACTTGCAGAACATTTGACCACTCGGGATCGCGTTCGAGCATTTCCAGGCACCGGGAAATGATTTTGCCAGAAACAGCTTTCTCTGCAGCGACGGTTCGAGCAAGGGCGGTCTCTTCGTCTGCGGCTTCCAGCCCGGCTGCCTCGAGTCCTTCGAACGGCCTGTCCAGCCTGAGCGTCAGGTCCAGGTCTGGGACATTGACCTGCAACGTCGTGGGCCTTTCCAAGCCGAGGGCGTCTCTGAGGAAAGTATACCACTCGACAGAGTGGGCCATTGAAATCGGTCGCATCACCATAATACGGGTGCCCTTTTTGTATGGGTGCCAGACGACCACTGTTTTGTCCAAGGCGGAATACAGATTGACTCTCGTCGTCTTAGGATCGAGCCTTATTTCGTGAGTAGGCTTCTTTCTCGTCTTCTCGTCATCGATTTCCGGGATCACACGCGTCTTGTAGATTTGCAGCCGGAAATCGTCAATATCTTGCTTCTTGCTCTTTCTGGCGACGACCATGAATTCTCGCCACTTGTCGAGCATCCTTGTCTCGATCTTGACACTCTCGTTTTCGTCAAAGTCGTCCAGAACTTGTTGCAGGGTCATGTCGACTCTGACCAGCATTCTTTCCATCTTGACAATCGTCCCCTCACGAAGAGTATTCCGCCTCAGCCTTCTGTTCGCCACACGATCCTGAGCACGGACGGCTTTGTTTACCATCTTGTGCTGACCCTTGTGGACTCCTTCGGAGACCTTAAACCTAACCCCAGTGTGACTCCGCACCAGTTGATAGTTTTGGTCGTTAACCAAAGGAGTCGGCTCGTGTTGTTGGAGTGATTTGCCGGCGGCGCTGGTGGCTTTGACGGGTAGTAGAGGGGACCTTGTGTCGGCAGTGTCCTGAGTTAGTGTTGACGGCTGCAAGGAGACCCTATTGGCGGGCTCATCAGGCGCATCATCCTGATCACCTGTGTCATGTGCCGACTGTTGCGGTGCGAGTACTGGCGTAGTAGCCTTGGAATCGGAGAAGGGATTCTCTTGAGCAGTCCTGTAGGACTCGGCTTCCGCAGACCGAGCAGTCCCCGTCTTGCTTGGACCCGGTTTCAACAAGTCATTGGTCCCGTCGAGACCTTTGTCTTGCGGAACAGGTATTGACTTGGAGCCTTTTCGACCTTGGACGTCCTCATCCTCCTCCTCCTCCTCCTCGATTCCTAAAATGCGAGGCAAATCTGTTGTAGCCACGGGTTCAATGTTCCTTGGCTCGCCTTGTTCCTCTTCCCCTTCTTGTGTTCCTTGCTCTTCAACGTCTGTGGCATCGCCGGCACTTGAAGCTTCGTCGTAGACGTCTTCCGGCTGAGGGAAACTGAAACTCATACGCGCAGCAGTAGACGGACCATCGAGACCTGTCAACGTTCTATGGTGGGGCCCACGGTCGGTAGTAGCACGAAAGCTCTGTCGCCTCGAGGAATACGTGCTCAGCTCGACTCGTCGTCTGTACCATGACTTCCTGTGACTGTTCAGCCATCCCTCCGGGGTGGGACCGATGAAGAAGCGACGGGAAGTGAGGTGCAGGTGCTCGGCAGAGGCATGCTTCAGACGATGGGCGGTGTACGAGTCTGGATCGAGAGCGTCGAAATCGTGTTGGCTCGTCGTGCTGCCCAGCGGCATGACCTGCGAAGTGGACATGGTTCACCCAAGTATATGCAGAGTCATGACCTGAGTGTGTATAGACAACTCATCGTGTATACTCGCAGCTGGTATGATTAGGCTTCTGAAGACTGTACCCCGTACAAATGAATAGACTTCGTGCCTTTGCCAGACCCCATGTCCGCCAGTCGATCGCCGCCTGTCAAACTCTCCGAGCTTGTTCATAGATGCGCGTCCGGCAGCGAGCGACTCGAACGCGATGACGTCAGCACCACCCCGGGTGTTTGTACTGTTTGCAGTGTTTGCATCCACCACCGCGAAGGTGCATCGAGGGGGCGGTCAATGCCATGTGTTTACCCCTCGATGATTAGCAGCGCTCAGTTACACGTACACAACTTCACGCCCTTTGGACTTACTTTCACCTTTGACTTTTACCTTGCTTAAACCTCTCTGCCCCTCCGTCAGCCATGTCCGCCGCGAAGATCCCAGCAGGCAAGACCTGGTTCGACACGCACAAAGTGCACTTCGAAGACGTGCCCACTACAGCCGACGACGGCATCTCGACGACCGAGTTCCTCGACGCCTCCGAAGCCACGACCACGCTGTTCGACCTGCTCGGCTCCGTGGCCTTCACGCCGGTCAAGAACGACATGCTAGGCAACATCAACAAACTCCGAGAAAGACAGAGAGCCGCCCCCGAGGGCTCGGCCACCGTCCAACAACTGGTCAAGACGGAGCTGGCCTCGAAGTCACACAAAGCGACCGAGGGTCTCCTGTGGTTGACGCGTGGGTTGGACTTCACGGCCCAGGCGCTCCGATCCGATCTCACGACCAACGGCTCGGTCAAGGTCACCGAGCAAAAGCCGGCCAAGGAGCTCGCGGACGGCTTTCGGGCCAGCTACAAGAACACGTTGGCGCCTCATCACGGACTGCTCATCAAACCGATCTTCAGTGCCGCCATGAGCGCGACGCCGTACAGGAAGGATTTCTACGCGAGGCTGAGCGGAGAGGGCACAGATCCCGAGACGACGCGGCAGGAGTTGGAGAGGTGGGTGGCCGCATTGGAGAAGCGGGTTAATATTCTCAAGGCTTTTCTGGCCACCAAGGAGGCTAAATGGTAAAGATTCGCTGTTGGTGTTGTCGCGGGCTGTGGTCAGGTGTGCTTGGGGGAGAGGTGGCCGAGTCTACAGACGTGAGCCTGCGCAATCGATCCCTTCACCTGGGCAAGCAGGAGTTGAAAGTGCCCTCCTAGCAGAAATGCCTCAATATATACATTGATTGCCGACTGGGCCATTCAATGAGCAGTATTGGGACAGAGTCATTCATGAAGCTTATGCTTGAATCACGTTCATGCAAAGATCCAAGGGACCAGGCATTGGAAGACCGCAACTCCAATGACAAACGTAGGTAGTCATACTCCGTACACTTGAATCGGATATCCACCCCAAGTCACATCGCTATACAGTGCGCTGCCGCGCGAGATATTCCTGGAGCTTCCGCTCCTTGTCCGCAGTGCTCTCTCCCTCCTCCCCGGCTTGCCACCGTGGCTTGACCACGGGGGCCACCCGACCGCCATCCTTGTTGAGCCCGACGCTTTCAAACGCAATCTCCAGCTCCTCAACCAACCCCTGGGCCACGCTCCTCGTGCTCGCATCTCCAGTCGCAACTTCTGCCCTCGCCAACGCATGCATCCGTCTGTACCTCTCGAGCATGCCCTTTGCGCGCAGCTTCGCCGGCATAAGCTCCCTGTTCCTCCTGATCATGGCCAATTCCAAAGCAGCACTGCCGCTCCTAAACGGATCCTCGCCCTGCGTCGCTTGTTCATCGGGGTCGAGCCTCGCGCTTCCGACCACATCCTCCTCCACCCTCCCGTCTTTCTTCGCCGGGGTATCATCTCCCGCACTGTCGAGCCACACCGGCCAATTCAACCCTGGCACATACACGGCGAGCACGAATCCACAGACCAAGTTCTGGCTGATGGGGCCGAAATGGTTCGAATCGATGGACTTGTCGCGGTTGTTCGCATCCCCTTCCACCCAGATGTGGTTATAAGGAATGATCACGGGGGAGCTGTCCCAACCGTCGTATCCAGGCAGGGGTGTCACTTTGTCACCCGGCAGGCCGACCACTCTCTTCACGGCAATCGTGTTGGGATCATGGGGCGTGTAGTACACGACGACCTGGCCGCGGTGGAGTTTGAACCTCGGTAGCCGGAACAGAGGGGACACCTCGCCGAGACTGTGCACGGTTTGGACAAGGATCAGGTCCGGTGGCGCGGGGGGCAGATCTGGCGAGGAGTTAGGGTTGAAGAAGGGAGCCATGGAGACGCCGTGGACGCGCATGATCGTCCATGGAAAGGACATGTAGATGACTGCGATAGGCGGGCCGAGGAAGAAGAGGCGCCATGTCCACCGTCGCAGCCAGGAAGGGGGCTGTAGCCTCTGGACGAGCCGGCGCACCACAGCAACGGCGAGAGAAGGACGTGAAAAGAGTGTACCGCTCCACCTTTTCTTCAGCTGCTGCTCCGTCTGGGCTTTCGGAGCTTGCTGACTCCTGACATTTTGTGCTAAAGTCGTCTTAACTGCGCTCGCCGGCGGAAGAGTAGGCTTGAGGGAAAGCCTAGCGACAGAGCGCTCCTGGCGATGTATTCGGTAGCCGGTACGGAATGCGCTGAATGTAGAGCCTCTGGAGGCGGGAGGCATCTGTGGTTAAGATCCGCGCCGCCGGCGACACGTTGTTCGGCCGAAGGATTTCTCGAAGGAGGTCGTCATCATGACGAATGAGCCATGCTCTATGAGCAAGCTACCTATCTTGACCAGAGCAAAGGATTAACACTGTTACTCTGTGCTGTATCACTAAGTAGGACTTCGTGATCGGGAGACAGCGCTGGCAGGTCTGCCGAAACGAGGCTGTCGCTCAGCCTTGCGAGTACTCCGTACGGAGTACTCCGTACATATTCCCGAATCTAACCAACATCCATCAGTCAACAGCTATCCAACCCTTCAGGTGATCGCTGATATTTGCTGATACAACATCCTATGATTTCTGTTGTACAAGCTTCTCTAGAGCTATTGGGTCCTCCTGCTAGCATCGCCCTTTCCCGCCTTCGGCACCTGGCCCAGATCCAAGTCCGACGACATTTCATTGTATGCATCCACCACGTGGAAAGTCGACATTGCAAGCCCGCAAAAGAGTACCCTCATGGTCTGGCCAACGATCTCCTGGCGTCTTCTTCTCCAGGCCCTGGCATAAAGCCCGGGACATGATGAAAAGAATTGCTTCGACACCTGCTTCCCCAGAAATCAAGGCGTCAGTCATCTGTTCCACGGCTCTGATGGGAGTCAGGGTTAGAGGACAGTGATCACATACCTCTGCCATGGACGACAGTGAGACTGTATCAAAACTCTCACTTGAGGCATGGGGAGGTGGTGGTCGAGGCTCATAACCTGACTTTTGATTTTTGGGCTCATAACCTATTTTTGCTTGGGCTCATAACCTGATTATGTTTTGGAGGTTCTTGTGTGGGCTCCCAGTATTCACGGAGGTTCTTGTGTAGACTCCGCGTTATTGACAGAGGTTCTTGTGTAACTCCGCAGTATTGTAGGAGGTTCTTGTGTAGACTCCTTTGGTATTTCTTTTCGATGTACCTGCACCGGCCTTTTTCTGAGGCGGTGATAGCGAGAGGTGTTCTTGTGGGAACCTCCGCGCGAGTGTCCAGTTGCTCCTTCATCCGAATCCTATCAACTAGTCATTGCTGTGTATCATTTTGCCTTGCTTTTGTACATTTTTCATTCATTCATCAATCATATATCGTGAAGGTGGCGGCCGCGAGGTGCGCTGTGGAAAAGCACCTCAGCGGACCGGTAGCACGCTGCTTATGGACAGCATGAGCGCGCTTTGTGGGCAGGCAGCCACAAGCTATGTTTTGCGAGGGCGGGCTGCCTGAAAGTGGTCGCTGCGTAAGCGGCAGCAAGAGAATCATTGTGTGTTGTACAGCATCATTTGGATGGAGTGCCTGCGATGAGGCAAACGGCAGTTTGCCGTTTCGAAGGAGATGTTAGAAGGTAGATTTGGTTTGGTGGCAGGTGCCTCTCGGAGATAGTTGAGAGGCACCGTAAGATTATTTTTGGGGGCAGCGCCGGTGAAGACTGGGCTGCTACCCCCCAAAAGATGCTCAAAGGCATCGAAGTTGTGGTTGAGTTTCGTGGGCTCTTTACCCCCTAGAAGTGGTTGGGGTCGCCGCCATAGAGCTGATTTTAGTGGGGAGGTGCCTCTCACAGGTAGTCGAGAGGCACAGCCGAAGGCGGAATTTAAGCAGGCTGGTGCCCCTGAAGGTATTTAGGGGCACTGCCGATGTAGTGAAATTCGTAGGTAGCTACCTAGGTGCCCCCTAGAAATGATTTAGGGGGCACAGCTGTGCAGCTGAATTTGATAGGCTGGTGCCCCCGAAAGTAGTTGGGGGCACCAGCGATAGGTCGAGATTGGTGGATAGCTAGTGCCCCCAGGAACAGTTTTGGGGGGCACAGCCGTGCAGGTAGTTTTGGTGGGCTGGTACCCCCTTGAAGGTGGTTAGGGGGCACCGCCAGTAGGTACCTGCTAGTGCCCCCTAGGAGTGGTTTAGGGGGCACAGCTGCGCAGCTGATTTTGGTGCGGTGGTGCCCCCTAAATGTGGTTGGGGGCACCCCCGTAGGGTTGGATTTAGTGGGCGGTGCCCCAAGAAAATATTTAGGGGCACCGCCACATGGTGGAAATAGGCGCCGTTGCCCCTAGAGTGATTTGATCTTTGGTCACTCTAGGGGGCAGCAACTTGATGTGGCCGTAGCCTTTGCGAGAAGAGCGAGGCGGTGAAATTGAGTGCCTGTAGCTCCGCGTTGCTGATGAGCTCGAAGTAGATAAATGTGCCATTATATGTAGGCTGCACTTGCGTGCTTCAAGAACCGTAGATGAATGTAGATTGCATTCGTGGATGGCGCCCTCCCAAGCACCCAGAAGCGAACGTTGAAGGGTGGAACAGATGCCCCCTAGGCATCTGTCCCGATAGATTGTAGTTTGCGTAAATTGCAATGAGGTAGATTTCGGTGGAATAGATTGTTCAGATGATGGTCTCCCAAGCACCGGCTGAACGAGTGATGGTATGTTGGCGGTGTCTCTCAGCACCGTAGATTGTAGTAGATGGTAGTGTCAAATGGTATCCCCTCAAGCACCAAGTGAACGAGTGTGATCGTAGATTTGCACATGCCGCAGTGTCCTTTCAAACACCAAGTAACGAGTGTGATTGGGTAATGATACATGCCGATGGTGATCTCCCAAGCACCCTCGACAGCAGAAGTGGCTGGAGCCCACGACATCCGCCTGAGACCAATTGCTTATCATGTGGTCATTGTTGCTGGAGGTGGCGCGGTTGCCAAAGGTTGACTTGGTGCACTGCCGGCAAAGGGAAAGACAGTATCCGAATCCCCCGAGGGGACCGGTAGAGGCCAGACCCAGTGCCAACAGTGCACCGTTGAGTTTTGTCCAGGGTGCCCTCCTGGCTGGGAAGCTCGCTGGAAGTGTCTGACTGTTGGCTGGCCATTCCGATCCCCACCGGTGTTGTATGACTATTGACTTGCATACGCACGGCGATTACAGGATGAATGGCGAGTCAGCCGGATGTGTGTTTGTGCCCAGGGTGCCCGCCTGGCTGGGACGCTCGCTGGGATGGTCTGGGTTTTGAACTCGGGGCGCCCGCCTGGCTGGGAAGCTCGCCGAGATTGTCTCTGTGCTGGCTGGCCAATCCGCTCCCCACCAATATTGCATCGTGGCATGCTCATGGTGATTCCAGGATTGGAAGGCGGCCGTCCGATCCCCACCTTTATCGTATGTGGCAACACGCAACACACTTAGGGCGATTGCAGGATCGGGACGGTTTATCAGCCTGGTCCGCAGACCGCTGCTAAAAGCAGAGAAGGGAGAGGAGAGACAGAGAGAGAGAAGAGAGAAGAAGGGGGAGTGTGTGTGTGCCGGGAAAGGAATTCCGAGAACCATACCATACTTGCCATTGAGCCCTCAAGGACACCCCAGACCGTTCCCAATGACAGTACTAGCACCTGGGGACCTATGTTGAAGCTTACTGGCGAAGCAGAGGGTTTGCTCAACGGCTGCGATAGACAGTCCGGTCCCGACCACGGTGCCGACGGCACCCTGGCCAGCACCGGCGGAGCCGCTCGTCGTAGGCGCTATCGCACCCCTCCCGAACGATACCGTTGGCCCTGTCAATGGCCTTCGGGTCGACGAGATTGGATGCGAAGCCGACTCGCTGCCATCGCTCCTTCACCTGCCCGTTGGCAAGACGAAAGCGCAGCAACTTGCGCTCCGCTCGCACCGCGGGAGGCGCCTGTCACAGTACGTTAGCAATGCAATAAGGCAGGGACGGCGTGATACTTACCGGCACACAACACCCACAAGTGGGTGGACATGCCGTCCCGTCTTCCTCCTAGGAAGACGAGGACGGCTGCCACTCGAGATCCTCGTCGGTCTCGGCGGCGAAGTCCGACCCATACCCCCTCTGGGTGAGGCGGCGGTAGAGGGTGCGGAGGGAGTGAGGGATGAGGAGACGAGCCACCTTGGATGGCATGGTGGCTGTGAGAGAGGGGAGGGTTTCAAAGAGAAGTGGTCCTTGAAAATGGTTGTGTATGGGAGGACAACAACCTGCACTGGTGCAGGAGTTTTCTGTTCGTGAGTGTATGAAGAGGAAGAAGAAGAAAAGAGCAGCAGCTTGGGGGGAAGCCTGCCTTATGAGGGCGCGCCAGAGGCTGAGTGCTTCGCCGGACGTCTCCCAGCCCTCTCCCAGCCTTCGAAGGCCTCTGACGAGTGAGAGAAGCGTCCTGGTGTGCATGTGAGTGCCATGGCCAATCCCAGGCTCATCCATGAAGAGTGCGTTGACGCAGCCGACAAATGCTCCAACGCAGTGGAGAGAGACCCGCCATCCAGCCATGCCAAGGCTGATACGAGGTACTCGCCACGTAGTAGATACGGGGTACGTACGCGGTAGTGGTGGAGCGACCCACAGAATCTTTCAGCTCGTTGGGGCACGAGCGTCGTCCACCTTCCGCAGAGCCGGCTGTCTCAGCAGTTGCCGGTGTCGTTGTAACTCAAGGACATCCTCTCCAGCTGCCTCTTACCTGTGATAACCTCTTTGGCAACCAGAGCTGGAGCGGCAGCGTGAAAGTACTTACTTGCAGCACATGCCTTGGGTCATGGGAAGGCTGTAGATAAGCGAGAAACACTAGCGCCGATGCGAAGTTCGGTTGGCGGTTCCGATCGTCTCCACTAACTGCCAGCCACCCGCCCAACGTGCATGACAATTCTCCGACCCACAGACAGCGGCACCGAGTGGGCATCGCCACTTGACCATGAGCGCGGGACATCAGATCCGTGGTGCCTGTTGTCTGCTCTTCGACATGCACTGATACCCTCGCATGGTACCTCATAGGAGTATCGATACCTTACCTTCATGTTCTCGTCTGCAGCAAAAAGCATCTCGCAACACCCACAATAATCCGTACTCTTGATGGTCACAATGCTCGCATTGCATCCCAAGGGGGCTTTGCAGCCAAGGACCGCGGACAGGAATTCCCTCAGGTGGGCCTGAGGTGTGATCGACTGAGGCAATAGCTGCATTGGGAGGGAGGCAGGAAAGTACTGAAAAGTGCACAGTTCTTGCGAATGGTTCACAACCCAAGTGCACGGCCGTGGCGACTACTTGGCGGAATGGGTACTCCTGTGGGGGCCAGAAGCGACACTGTAGCAAGCAAATTTGTATGTGCTGCTCTTGGAGGTTGTAGCTAACGCGGCATATCGCGAGAGGGCGTAGGGAAAGAAATTGTGGTAGAGTAAGGGAGGAGGAGGAAGAAGGAGAAGGAATCCAGGAGGGATAGAGGGATGTGCTGATATATATACTTTGTGTGAGGTACTGCGGCAAGGGGTGACAGCTGGGTGATCAGGGGGTGGTCTGTGTGCTTGACTGTAGACATCGTGTATTGCACTCCGACGTACCGTAGAGGCCTTTGCAGCCAAAGGCTTTTGTTTGCAGTGCGAGGGTGGAATCATAGTAAGTAGGACAGTCTTCGAGGGCTTGAGCGACGAGACTCGCTTCAATAGGATGATATGATCATGCAAGACGTTACCCGCCTGATTCGTATGTTACTCTTTGATACCCGTCAACCCGCGCCACCTATTTCCTGAGCTCACTGGCCTTTGGCAAGATGCCCTGCTCCTCCAACTCGGTCAGAGTCTCATCAAATGCCGTCCAAGTATCCCGATAACCCTTCCATCCCAACCCTCTGGCTTTGCTCATGGTAGTCACGCAGGAATAACACCTGCCCAGCAAAAAGCCGATGAATACCCAGGTCGCATTATCCCATGTTTTCTGGTCCAAGCCAAACTTGTCTCGCAGCTCCTCCCATTTTTTCACGACTTCAGGTCTCTCTGCCCACTTGGCTATATCGATCTGCTGATGCAGATAGCTATGGTCATTCTTGATTTCCTCTGGGTCCAAACCGATTTTCTCCGCGTGATACCAGAGCGGTGGTGGCGTCGGCATGTCGACGTGTGAGGACTCGAAGTCCTTGTACTTGCCCTCCTTTGGAAACATGTTTTGGGGGATTTTGGCGCCGTATCGCTCAGCTAATCTTGGCCACAAGTTCTGCCAGCTCTCGGTGTCGCCGTTCACCACGTTGAAAGCTTGATTCCCGGCTTTGGGTTCCAACGCAGCCCATTCGACGAACTCTGCGTGGAGCTTCGCCGAGGTCCAGTTGTTGAACGCCATGTAGTTCTCTTTGCAGCCGGGAAACGCGAGTTCGTGGTCTGGGGACACTGATGAGTACACGCTGGCGTACAATCCCAGGGCAGTTGCCAGGTTCATGAAATTAGCTTGAGCGACCCCGATCACATCTTGAGGGTACGTCACCGCCCAGGTCCACATGTTCGCATCTGCTGCCGCAGCGGCGGACAAGCCCCGTTGTTGCTCATAGTAGAAGTTCGGTGGCCAGGGGTCACCTTCAAGCCAGGTATCTGTCTCGACCATTGGCATCTTCGGCACGCCAAGGTGGACGCCGTACTGCTTCAGCCCATTCACAAGAATGAATCGCTTCAGGTTCTTCAAGTACCCCAGGTCTCGCAAGGCGCCGATGAAGTTCTTGAGCATGGTTCCATTGATCTCCAGTGCCTTTCCTTCATCAGGGTCTGCTAGATACGCGCAAAAGAAGACATAGTCGACCTGGCCAACGTCCTTGAGATGAGACGCCATGTCTTTCGTACCGCCTTGGAGATCAATTGTTGCATGTTGGATCTTGGGATCATCGTGCGATGATTTCTGACTTCGGGAAAGGGTAATGATTCTGCTCCATTGGTCAGATTTGAGAAGTTGTTGCACGGTGGCTCGGCCTGTGATCCCCGAGGCGCCGGTGATGAGTGCTGTCGGCATGTTTAACTCGGTCCTTGTGCACCGTAGGAAAGCTAGTGTTATACGACGTGGGCAGGTGACTGTATTTATTGGTCGTGGTCGCTGGCTGCGTGCACTCTCGCGTTGGTCTTAGCTCTTGACTGAATTGAGCTGGTCTTACAGGCCGAGAATTGATGCCTGAAACCTCTCCAAGAGACGGCACTTTATGGAGGAATCACAGGGCTTGTAGATGCTTGAATGGCAATGACGTCCGCTCTAACGTCACGACCGGGAAAGGATATCCGGGGACAATCAGCGAGTGGAGAAGTTACCCACGATCAACCAGCCACACAGTATCTGTTGGCGTCGACAGAGAAGGGTGACATGACGAGATTTGGACAGTATTGGAACTCGAGATTGGAGCTCGATCTTGCCAATGGCCACGGCGGCTGTTTTGGTGGAAGCTGCCGCGGGCTGCGCGGAGGGAAGAAGTAGGCGTCAGCAAAAGCGGGCAGGACACCAGTTCCAATCCCCTGGGAGGAGTACGCAGGATATCCCATGAACTGGGCGCAATGATCAAGTACCGTAGCATTGCTTGGTATGTCGACGGCTCTCACCTCATACATCAAAAATCTCCCCGAATCCAACACCAACACCGGCCCGCCTCGCATCGACCAGATCTAATCGCCAGCCTGCCCATTGCTTCAAGCCCCTCTTGACCTCTCTGACATGCTCGACCATCTTGCGCGCTTCTTCTTCTCGCTGGGCGTGCGCAAAGGCGTTCTCATCGAAAGTATCATCATCGTCGAACTCCTGTAGCAAGGAATCGTTTCTCGGTCGATTCTGTTGCGTGCCCGGAGATGTCGTGCTCGCCCTGAACGCTGCAAGACCCGAATTCAGCACCTGCGCAAAGTTGGAATGTCTCTGCTGTGCATGCTGGTTTGCGAAGCTCCGTCGTCGACTGCTGGCGTTCCCGGAGCCTGTGAGGTCCACTTCGTCAAAGTCCTCTGCACCTGCTGGTTCAAGGGAAGTCCTCGACTCGCCTTCGTCGCCGCGAGGTTGCATTGCGATCCTCCTATCTCTCCACACACCCCGTCTCAGGTCGAATACTTCGCCTTCAAGCTCTCGGATCCGGCGTTCGAGCTTCTGTCGCTCTTCGTCTTCGAGTTCGTCAAGGCCGTCTCCGCCGGCGTCTCCACTCATGGCCCGTTTGTGCTTTTCTCTCAACCGCGCGTTCTCGCTTTCGGCCCTTTCGATCTTGGCACGAAGAGCGGGAACTTCTCTGGCAGACGCCTCAGCAGCGGCCAATTTGCTGGCATGCCTCGACTCGGCTTCTCTATGCAGCTTGTTCATCGCTTCGACCTTCTTATCCAGTTGTTCTGCTTTCTTCGCAAGCTCGTCTCTCTGTGCGGCAGCCTCTTGTAATTCTCGCTCGAGAGTCCGAATCTTGGTGTCCTTGCTTGTCCGCTCCGTGCCATCCAGCACCGCCTTTTCACTGGCTTTGGAGAGTGCCTTCTTGGTGTCTGACAGTTCGGTCTCCAGCCTGCCCAGTTTGGCTTCTGCGGAAGATAGAGAGGCTTGTAAAGCAGCAATCTGCTCGCCGTGCGTCTCACAGCCCTCTGTCTGGCTTGATAGCTGACTTCTCAACCGTGAAATCTCAAGCTGCATATCTGCAATAGTCGAGTCCTTCCGCTCCAGCTCACCCTTCAGCGTCCCAAGGTTGGCGTCATCCCCCGAGCTCTCCCTTCGTGACACCGTAGCCGTAGTGCTGGTCCGTCTCCGTAAGGTCTCAATCTCAGCCCTCAGCCGTCGAATCTCACCATCAGCGTCATTCCCTACAGACTTTGTAGCATTCTCTTCTCTCAGCTCCTCCAGCTCCTCTTCTACCCTCCGCCATCGCTTCTCATGTTCTTCGGACTCTCTTGCCAGCCGTTTGTTCTCTCTTTCCAGCTCTTCAATCCTGCTCATCGGGTTGCCTGACAGGGCAGCCGGACTCAGCGGGCCACTGTCTCGGAAACTCGTGCTGCGGATCTTACTCTGGAGGGACACGCTAGGTTGACGGCCCAGATGCCGGGCGCCCACGCCCTTTGTAGTGGAGGATTGTTCTTGGTCCGTCGCTGCAGGAGAGGTCGTCGTAGGGGAGAGAACGGTCTCCGACATCGCAGCGTTGGATACTTCTTCTTCATCAGCATCGAGTGGTGCTGCGGTTCCCTCGTTCCCATCGTGCTCTTTCGAGTCTGCTTCGGTTGCGTCAACTGCGCCTGCTGCGCCTGAGGCGTCCTCTCTTGAAGCGTCCTTATCATCAGGCTCAACCTGGGCTTCGGCTTCTGTCCCATCCTCGCCATCATAATCCTTTTTGGGCGCATCCTTTCCTTTGTTGACAGCAGTGGATTTCTCCCCAGCACCTCCGGCGGCCGCTTTCTTCTTTTTCTGTAACGCCGCGACCTGTCGCGTACGGAACATACCAGTTAGCAGGGTGATTTCTAAATGATTCTCTGAAGCACGGGGCACGGTAAAGGCTGTATAATAGTCTGCGCCGGAGTAATTGGCTTACCCTCTTCTTTGCGGCCGCGAGCTTCTCGGCTTTCTCTCTGTCCTCCTTTTCACCCATATTGGGTTCCTCTGTTACAACGCTCGACGAGATATGAGGAGTCTGTCGTGGAATGGAATAGCTGACGGAGGTAGGGAAGACCTGCAAGTGGGATGACGGGTGTCGGTGGTTACACAGTGATGTTGGATGGTGAGCCTGCCCATTGAGCGTCGATGGGGAGACGTGGTGCGTATTGACGCGACTCTAGCGGCTGGACGGAGGATGCTGGGGTCTCCCCATAGGGGTCCGGTCAGCACCAGGAGGATTACAGATTATTAGTCGTGGAACCGGGCGATGGTACCAACGAGGCTTCAACGAAAATGATTTCTAGCTTCATACAGAGTGAAGGCTGCCTACTGAGTATGAACTGGTATTTTCTGTTGGTTGCATTGACAACCGCCACCATACTTGGTCAAACGTGATCACAAACACCCTCCGGAGTAGCCAGGAGGACTACCCAATGCCCGACTCCCCTGCTTTCCCTCTCGAGGCCTGGTACGCCCAAAAGCAGCATTATTCCAGTCGCTATCCCAGCAGGCTTTCGTCAGAGGCCGCTCCCACCGGCCTTGCTGAAAACGCCATGCTCTGTAGGGGTATCATTAGTAGTACAAACACCATCATTGCCCCTTGATCATTCTCATCCCGTTCAAAAATCCATCGTCAAACTCATACATAACTAAAGGAGTGTACGTTCCAAGGCAGTACAGTGGTTTTGGGCGAAGAGGTAGCGAGGTTTCCGCAAGAGAAGAACGTCTCAAACTTCCAGAGGACCTACTACCTCTTCGCTTAGACCCCGCGCAGTGCTTTTACTCTGACTTCTTGCACTGCGTACATCCTCGTCACTCAGAATGTAATTGTCGTGCTCGTCAACGACCGGCCGTGCAGGTGGCCCAAACTGCTCGTCATCAGTCCGAGACTCTTGCTCTTCGGATGAGCTCTTCAACTCCAGCGGCTGAATTTTCATCGCCACCTCGTCGGTTTCAACCGAGACCATAGGCGTGTCCATGGGGTCGTACTCGGGGTCACCCCGGACCTCGACGTCGTCTCGATCACCGAGCCAGTATTTTGCCCTCTTGGAAGCGCCCAAGTCTGGTGTAAGCCAGCCATCAGCATCCTCGTCCGCGAATCGCTTGGATTTGATTGGTGTCTTGAGGGCATCGATCGTCGGCACGGCCAACACACTGATGCCTCTTAGGTACAAGTAGCAGACTCTCTTCCTCGCTTTGTTGAAGAAGAAGTAGTTCATCGACCATATCGAGCCTTCATCGTCGTCCTCGAATGGGTCGATATCTTCAGGTGCATAGCGGTACACTGCGCATTCACGCAAGCTCATCTGCTGGTCAATAAGTCTCCACATCGCAGGGCCCCAATAAGGCTGTTCAGCTGAGACCCCACCAGAGTCCTTCGCAAAAGTGCTGGAAGGCCTCGGGCGGAGATTGTACATTGTCGTGTCAATCGTGTTCAAGACATGCCGTAAGCTCTTTTCCCGTTTGAAATCCGTCGGTCGCAGCACATGTGAGAAGTCATAATGCGGGTGACTGGCGTTCAGGGTCGCAATGAGATACGCATATGTTCTTCTCGAGCTGATCATTCCCAGATTCCCGAACGGACTGCTTCGGCTCAAGTTCAGGGACGAGGCCACCATGTGCTTCTGTGGCGGTGAAAGGGACTTGGAGAATTGGAGGTTGGACTTGTATTGCGCTTCAAGGCCATTCTCAATGTTCTTGTATAGTTTTTTATCCCCTCCTGCTGCCTTGGTGGTGTATAGATCGCACCCTCCGACAACGTGCAGGTCCGGAGTACTGAAATTCAGGGAGGAAGTGACAGTGTCAAGATCGCGATTCGGCATAAACTGAAGAGGAGAATTAGAACCGCCCAAGGAAAATGATGGTTGGAGATGATGGTGGCTTACCTTCATATTGACGGTCTCGGGTTGGGCGGGTGTCAGACTGACTGTCGCATTGGAAGTAGGGTCGATCTGGATCGGTAGTGATGGTTCGTCCGAGGACTTAATATGACACGATTTTGCGACGAGCGCAGCGCGTTGACGACCGAGACCACCGGCTTCGGCGTGAGTGATGGGTGTCAAGTGAGGTTGTCGACCTGATCGGACTATGCGACCGCAAAACAAGAGATGATCCGGGCTGGCTGCAGAGACAGCTCTCGGCGATGCGAATAGCTAGACGATAATCGCCTAGCAGGTCAGAGTATAGTGATACGTTTCCATTGTATAGTTGTTGATGAGCGATGCGAGATGAAGTGAGGTGATGTTGGAAGTTGGACGACGTGGAGGCCGCGAGCGGAGAACAACAGGAATCCGGAGCGCAAGTTGCCAGCTGCGGCGCGGGCTGAGCATCACGTGCACCATGTAAATCGACCAATCTCAGCTGACCCCACCAGCACATGCGCAAGCGAGAGCAGACACTCGTTTCGCCGGCAGACTTACAGCGGTTCGAAGTAGGCGACAAGGTATAGCAATGAAGTCAACTGTAGCTTAGACGTCTGAACCATGTGCGAGAGACTCCCGTTCTGAGACGACCACGGACGGCATGAGGTAATTGCTGTGTGTGTTAGCCAGTCAGTCGGGGACATTGGTCTTAACTGTTTCCATTGCTCATCACCTGGTGCTCCATACATGATACGCTTCTGTTGCACATGGCAGCCAGAACACGAGAGACCTTGTTTGCAAGGTCCATGCATCCTCCATTGGGTATCACTGACCCTGACGCCTCCAACTCCATGCTCCAGAAAAATACGTGTTGGGTGCGCTCAAACCAGGCCGCCCCTTTTCAGTGCTTCTTCGGTGCTCTGCAAAAGACAAGTTCGTTAATCAAGCTGTGATCTCACGGTCTGGGTGAAGTTCTAGAAGCAAATCGCGGCACAGTGCTTGCTTCGGTCGACATTCCTCCGCAAATGGATGTGGATGAACAGCGCCTAGAACGTCTCCGCCTTCGGCATCATGTTCTACATGATTTTGGTGACTTCATCCTCAACCTAGACCGACGTCGGACAAGACTATTAGCGTCGAGTGACAAGAGAGGAAAACGAGATGAGGGCATCCCAGAGGGCATGACATACAAATGGGCCTGGGATTGCAGCACGGAAGGCTGGCTGGTTCTGTGCCTCATCCCGGTGAAAGGGAGGGAATCACGGAAGAGGAGGAATGGAAATTGATCAAGCACGACTTACCTCCATCTCTTCGAGGCTGTCTTCCTGGCTTATGCATCTCAGGACGTTTTTCTTACTGCTCTCTTGCAGCTCGCCAGCCAGTAGTAGTTCGTCCAGTATAAAATACGCCTTTTGGAAGTTGAAGATGATATCTAACTCGCACACATTCCCGTAGTATTTGTCCATTTGTTCGACGTAACGATGTACGATCTCGAGGGTGATCAACTCGTTGTCAGTGGAGTCGCAACCAGCAATGAAGAAGAGAGATGCATAGCGGCGGTAGACGATCTTGGTGTCTGCTCGGTTGTAGAGCCCATGTCAGCGCAAGAGTAACAATGAAGAATGCGAAGGACGATAGGCGAGAGCTGAGCAGCCAGGTAGTTGACTGCGATGGGGACGTCCGCACCCTTGTATTCGAGAAAGTTGCACATTCGAGTTCGACGAGCGAGCACAAGTTGAGTAACATCTTTAATGATTTTCGCCTTCTCTTTGGGCGAAAGGGTGGAGAACCATTTTGCTAGTCTCTGAAACAATATACAGGTCGAGGTCAGCGCAATGGAACATGGTGCGGCCTGTCGGAGAGGTTGAGCATACCACTTTGCCCTGACGGGAGAGCAAGACGAGGTATCTATCACAAGTCAGTGCATCGACTCAAAGCATGTTCCGCTCTAGGCTCACTTGATGGCCATCTTGCGAATGTCAGATCATTATGGGCGCGAAGACTGTCAACCTGCGGATCGGAAATTGTTCAAATGGGCCTCGCAGGAAAATTGGTGTTCAATTCATCGCCCGCCGCTTTAGAAGCCCTCCCACAATGCCAAGCCGGAGCGCATCATCTTCCACTCACTTGCGGTTTGGGTGTCTGCCCCTCGTTGGCAACAATACACTCGACTCACATTGCGACCGCACGCGCTTCCGGAAGAGAAACCATATCGCTGATCGCTTGGACTTATTGATGGCCTCTCCTGTGTCACATATTCGATAATTGAAACGAACATTCTCCAACATGAAGTTGGTATTATCAACGTCGTATGCATTGCTCTGGAGAACCATCTCACATGACCAGTGATTGCTGATCTCGTTCAGCAACTTAATGTGCTCGGGACAATCAGTCGTACGGCGGCCACTATTCTCAAAGTCCAATGTCGAACTCATAAACTCTCTCCGCGCCAACTTTGCTTCCTTCCAACACCATTCCTCCAGTAGCACGACCCCCGAGTCCCCATACCCTGTATGGACGACGCAAGAAGGCGACACCCTCTACGTGCCCTCATGGCGTCCGACACCGCTCACAGAGCCGCGAGAGTCGTACGATGTGACCTGCAAACTGTTCTTCCTGCCTGGCATTCCGAGTAACCGCCGGTGTCGGCATACCAAAGAGGCGATCGATCTAGTGTTAAAAGAGCTGGGCATCGACCGCATCGACCTGTTGATCGTGTCCTACCCGGGAGTGAGTTTTGACGCTGATGACGAAGAAGATATGTCTGCGGACGAAGACGAGAGCGCGGCCAGCGACGAGTCCGAAGGACTGGATGCACAAGTCAAGACCTGGCAAGTGCTGGAATCGTTGCATGAGCAGGGTATCATCTCACAACTCGGCCTTTCTGAGTTCAGCTCTGACCGACTGGCCAAATTCTTGCCGGAGGTCAAGGTTCGTCCGTCGGTCGATCAGATCAATGTCAAGGACTGTTGTGTCGTGCCCAAATCACTCATCATGTATGCCAAGGAGAACAAGATCGAGCTTCTTACGCATGCAGACTGTATGGACATCCTGCCACCTGGAACGACGCGAGAGTTGCTAGGCGCCGGAAAGGATGGTGCTGGCATCATTGCTGCCACGGCGGACGCTGGCTCTGAGGACCCCGGTCTGAAGGGTGACATCGAGCCCCAGTGGGTGATCAAGTATACCGCCGTGGTTAAGAACCGGGGCGTCATCGAGAACAAAGGCTACTTTGCCGTTGCACAGTTAGGTAGCTGCATCGAAGAGAAGCCAGTCGACGGAGGAGCGTCGTGACAACCGGCATTGCCAAGTATGATCTCTCACAGACTCAGCATGGCGTTTGGTCGGCTTAGCCAGGTATCTTTTCCTGGTCGCTGTATCCTTCCATGAAGCATCGTCGGAGCCGCGTGTAGTATTGTTCGGAGCGACACATTTGGCGTGGACTTCTCCCGGAAATCCTTCTTCTGATCCCTTCATCCAACCATACTTCTCTTTCTCCCTCTCAATCTGACCTCGTCCAGCCTCTTCAGCACAACATTGCTCCCCTTGAAACTGCCCCGATACCCCTCCTGGCCTTGTAGCACTTCAGCATCAAACCACCCTTCCTGTCGGGGATGTGTGGACCCAAACGCTCGTTCCAGAACATACAGATCCACGGCTCGGTCTTCGTCTTGCACGGACTGTGTGGCCAACCCAAAGTCGATGAGCACAATTTTGCCCGCCAGGTCCGGCGGTTCTGGCGTCGGCTCTGCATCTGCCTCCTCTCCTTTCGCGTGCTTGCCGTTGGTGAGTCCATTCTGCTGGTGGCCCTCGGCAAACGGTCGAATCATGATATTACTGCTCGTCAAATCCCCATGCACGACACCCCCCTTGGCGTGCATCGCGCCCACAGCCCGTCCGATCCGTCGTAGCAGCTTCTTCACCTCCTCCTCTTGCGTGGCAATGTCTTCCCGCACGCCCGGTGCGTCGTGATCCAGACTCTTGAACCACGCATCCCACTCCCTCAATAGCTCCTTCACGCTCTTGCCCTCGATCCACTCCATGAGTAACCATGCGCCCTGGCCTGCGCCCTGGCCGGCATCGCTCCTGGCGCCCCTCTGCTCGCCGCTCAGGCCTTTGACTTTCCTTGCCACATCCCATTCTAGGCTCAACACGGCGGGCACGGTAACTCCGCTGCCTGGGCCCAAGGCGCTCAACTTGACCAGGACCCTCGCTTCAGCAAGGACACGCTGCTTGGTCAGTCGCGCGTCGAGAGTCGGGTGACGATAGGCCTTTGAGGGACGGAACTTCAGCGCCGCGGGCGTGGAGGGGGAGAGGAAATGGGTGTGGTAAAGAAGGGCTTCGGCGCCCTGGGTGATCAGACTTGGTGGGGGTGATGTGTTTGTGAAGGGAGCGGGGAGGACGGTCCGCTGTTCTTGCAGGGCTGCGGACCGAAGGGGGAGGACATTTTCAGAATGTTGTGTATTCTGGGTGGTGACCGGAGGAGGGTCGCTTGGAGTCGATTGCGAGTTGGTGGTTAGCATTGTCGAATCGAGCCGCTTGCTGTGCACACTGGGCAAAGTTGAGCAGTCATAATCCGACCATGAGATACCCAAGCGTTTTTAAGACCGATCGATCATTACACCTGCGTCTGTCGTAGGCCACTCAGATTCCGGAAAGTCGTTATTTCACAAAGCATGTCTGCTCATGAGCGCCAAGCAGCCCAAATGCAACTGTGGTTCTTGTAACCGAGACTTATCCGGCGATCTTGTAAATCCTGCCTGAGGTTGCCCAGAGTGTGATTCTTGTTTTTGGAGAAGACGGTGGTTCTGCACAATCCCCGAGCACGGCGTGCGTTCTGGGCAGACAATTGAATGGCAACTAAATGGCTATGGCTGCTACTATTGTGGACTTGCGTTTGAGAAGGGGCCTCCATGTTTGATAACCACCAGGGAAGAATCGCATTCTGCGGATGCCTGGGTCAGTCGTTACGACCTCTCTCCTCCATCTGCCTCTGGACTAAGCGCTCTCACGAGGCGGTGCAACTCATCAATCTGCTCCTTGAGCTGCCTGATCTCCACCACATCGGCGTCCACCTCGACTATAGGCCTGGTGGACTGGACCTTCTTATTCCAGCCTTCCGACTCAAAATCCAGGTCGCCAGCCATTTCCTCCCACTCTTCGATGGTATCGTCGTCCTCCTCGCCCCTCGAACGATTGCTTCTGACAGAGCGGGCGTCGATGGCTTCCAAAGCAGCTGTGACCAGAAGCACAGGGAAGTAGATGACACCCATGACATAGTTGTTCAACCTCTCGTAGCGATGAGAGTCCATCCACCACTCGAACGGTACGATCAGGAACAATAGTTCGATCAGGTTGAATGGCGCGATGAAGACATTCTCGTCAGGTGCACGGACAAACTGTAATGTCTTTTGGGCGAACATGGCCATGTACTCATCGATGGCATTCTCCGTGACATCCTCGTATGCACTGTTGTATAGCGCAATCAGGATGTTGAGGAGGATAACCATGACCACAAACGTGAAGAGGTAGTACAGAATGAGACCAAAGGGGTGGGCGTAGTTGTCGAAGCCGTCAAATTCAGGGGATTGCATGACGGCATTGGCCATTGCGGTAATGATGAAGGAGGTGATGCTAGCGTTTCCTTCCACCTGGTTCAGGCCGATGAAGGCTTGGAGGAAGCCGACGCAGACAACAACTAGGAGGGCGAAGAAGATGAGCGATTCCCGCATCATGACCTTCAAGACCACGAGCATGGCGCCGAAGAAGCGGAAAGTGTCCAGATACAAGAGAAGTCGGCCCCAGAACATAGGCGCAGCGACACAGAAAAGATGGTATCCCAAAGCGTTGAGTTTGCGGCGTTTCTCGTCGTCTTCGTCGGGAGAGTGCGCGAGAGCAGTCATACGAATGACGAAGGAGGCTGTCAACAGAGCGTACAGACAGTTGTTGAAGGCATTCCAGAACCCAAGATACCAGATGCCGACTTTCCAGAACTTGGCAACTTCGTCACAGATAAAGCCCAAGGTCATCAGGTAGAGAATCCCTTCGACAACGTCCAAGTCGCCGTCTTCGTTGACGGTGTTAACGGCGGCGGTGTACAGGGCCAGGTAAATGACGGAGATGGAGATCTGGACAACGTTCTGATACAGAGGTGTACGCATTCGATCGGGATTTAGATGAGCCCAGTAGTTGGTGTTGTCTCGCTCCTTGTAAAAAATGAAGCTTCCCGGGTCGAGATCGTCTTGGTGAATCCAGCCTCTCCAGAGATACTTGATGCATTTCTGATAACCTGAAGAGCCGATGACGATCAGACAATGTAAGTCGACTGCTCTTTCAATCGCGTTGGCCGGCACGGTTTCCTCATCTTTCCGTACGACTGAGTAGCGCTTGAGCAGGACCTCTTGCATAAGATATTCCTGATCTTCCTCGCCCTCAATGATGTGCTTGGCGATCATCTCGCATGCCGTTGCCCGGACATTGTGTAAGTCGGCGTCCCATAGCTCCAGATTGGCTTGTCTGTTGAACCATCTCTTGCAGACCAACAAGCAGTACACCACACATGACGCGTAGTCCTTTCCTCCTGCTTCTTTTGCGGTCCGCACAACCTTCTGGGTAATGACGGGACTGTTGGCGGCGATGACCTTGTCTTCAGGTATCTCAAAGGGAATGACTTCTTCGATCTGATACTTCAATCGAAGGGCGACTTTGGTAACCTCCTTTGCGGGGAAGGCAGATGGTGGGATTTCATGGGTATGAGACGGAAGCACTATTCGTCGTTAGAAGCATCTGGAAAAAGCCAAGGGGCGTGTGGTGTACATCTGCGCATCTCATCGCGAAAGTGAGGCGCATCTCTCTCACGCGTCGCTCCCCAGAGCTTCGTCCATTTGACCATTGTTGATATGACGTAAGCGGTCGCCGATTCCTAGCTGGAGAGTTTCCAGCAAGCAAGCAGCCAGTGTCGACAGATCGACGAGGGAATGTCGAGGTCTTGGCCCAATAACTAGGAGATGAACAACCGACAAAAGAGATGGTGAGAAACAGAAGAGAAGCTAATAGCTGCAAGGTCTCAAGTAGCTTTTCCTCTTCTTGTGATGTATTGAGTTTCTGTCTGGAGCTCAAAATCAGGTTCTCAGCAAACCCCCGCATCAAGCTAAGCGAGGAGTTTTTTAGGCGCTTGCTTAATTTCGCAGTGTGCGTTCCTCGAACCCTGGCTGCACCAGCCTCACTAATGCCTGGAAAACCCCCCGCTTCAAAGCCAGTTCTCACGACTGGCGTCGTAACAGCCCCGGGGATTCCGCTGGAGCTGATGGAAGGGCCGATAACCAGTCGCTCTGATCGCAGGAGGCGCAGACAAAGGCCCGCTTCTGAGCGTTGTCGTTCCGGGTATGAGACCAAGGCCGCGACTGAGTAGAATCCACCTGGTGCTCTTGTAAGCATCTAAAACAATGTTCCCAGGGATGTTCCTCCGTGGACAAGGATATCTGATGATCAACACACGGCTTTCGCGATCTTTGCAGATGTGCTTCTATGCAACTTCCGGGCCTTCGTCACTCTCGCTGATGTCCTCGTCGCCGCTGACCTCCTCATTCTCCTTCGCTCTTTTATCCATGAGAGCTTGCAGTTCGGCATCATCATGCTCGGTTACGGCTTTCGGTGGCATCTTGACCACACAGCCGCCTCCTGCCGCCTTGATGCTCTCGTCGATGTCTTGGATCGCTTGCTCCAGTAGCTGGATGCCCATCCCCTTGTCCAGACACTGGCTGGTTAAGACGTAGTGAGGTGGAGATACCAGCTTGACCTTGACTTGTGTATCCGGGGTATTCTTCGCCTCTGCTTTCCTCAGTGCTTCCTTCACAGCATCAATGCCGTCATACTTGAAGCATGTCACCTCGACGTCAGCTCGAACCTTTGTCGGATGAGGCATCAGCTTTTTGCTGATATACGATTGGAACTCCTCCTTGACAACCTCATTGGGGAATGTGACGTCGTTCCAAACGTCGGGATTCGTGATGGAAAGTTTGAACGCATCGTTTGCGTGGCCATATTTCCGGTTCAAAGGCCAACCGATATCTTCGTACAACTTGAGAATGGGTGTTTTCGTCTTTTCTGCCACGTGTCGCATGATCGAATGTACCGACTTGCTCTTATTGTACCGCTCTTCGCATCGCACAATGTCTTCTGCTGACACTCTCCGCTTGGACAGATCGATGTAGCCCTTCTCCTTGTCCACTCTCAGCACGACCACTACTTCATTGCGACCGATCCGGATGAGCTTCTGTATCGATCTGATACGTCTTCGGGAGAGTTCGGAGAGAAGAATCATGCCGTCGATGTTGTCGTATTCTAGCAGCTTGACGTAGGCGCCCATCTCTGCTATCTGTTTTGAGAACGGTCAGTCATTTCTTATGGACTTACTTCACCATGCCTAGAGTCGTCTCCTCACCTGCTTGACGTTCACCATGACAAAACTCTCAATCTCTGGATACTTCTCCTCATAGAACCGACAATTCGTCAAAGAATCTGGGTCCGACATCGTGGCAATGGTGATGCTGAGAGTCGACGGCGAATATCAATGACTTGAAATTTGCAAGCGCCCGGAACGTGAGCAGTTCGTGCGAGAACAAGGCAGAATGATAAGTGACTCAGTGCCACTTTCGGTCGCATGTGCAGTGGAGGGGATATTTCGCCCTCTGCGACGAACTTTTGGCGCCAAGCCGAGAAAGGATTAACTATCTTCCGATCTCCTCCCTAGGCTTAGTCATTCCTGCGAGATCCCTCATCAGCGGCTTTCCCGTGCCTGACCCGTCTCCGGTGTTAGCTCAATACATACAGCTACCGAGCTGCTGGAAATGGGTCAATGCAGCTAGACCAAGACGTGGTGGCCTTCAATGGAAAAAGAAGGTAGCATTCGCAGACAGCGGGATGCCGTTTGTCCGTGTTGAGATTGAGTCTATAAAGCGCTGAATGTTGGACTTCGAGCTTGTGAGTCCTGGACCCTTTCGTAATTACATTCAACCAGAATCATGGGCCAATCTCAAAGTCTATCTACAGAAGTCGAGATTCAGGCGACGCCGGACGTTGTTCGGACCATAGTACGTAGACACTCACCCATCCCCAAGAAGCCAACCGTGTCGCTAAGCAATTTACAGTTCTCTGACTTCCCTCGATACAAGGAGTGGTGCAAATGGACCATTGAACCCGTTGCATCAGGCAAGAAGGCATCCGAATTGAGGGCAAATGATCGCATCAAGGTCAATTTGGACGGAATGGCCTTCAGTCCGGTGGTGAAAGTGAGTCGCCAATGACTCCATTTATCCAACTCTTCTGAGCGTGTCAAGCAAAATTCAACAGACTGTTTCTCGTGGGAGGGATCACTGTATGGAATGTTCACAGGAAAGCATCAGTTCCATTTCTCTCCGAGCACGAAGAACCCAGGAGGTACAACGGCAGTGCAGGTAGAGGACTTCCAAGGACTATTGGCCTTTCTAATGGCACCAGGGTGGAGTTTCAGACAGAAGACTCTGGATAACTGGGATGCTTTCTTTGGGGATCTGAAAAAGGAAGCCGAGCAGACCTCACGATGAAACTGCATTCCCGGCTTGATACCTGTTATGCTAGACAGAACAAGCAGATGTGATTGAACTGTGACGTCCCTGGTGAGAACTTGTCAAGTAGAGAGGAGTATTAGGCACAAATGTAGCTGCTTAAATTACCGTCCTTTAATGGAAGGGTGGACGAAGTGCAGAGCTGCTGATTGTCGCTGGCCGGACACAGCGTATCTCGGCCGCGAGCACGTGGATGTAGCATTACCCCTTCCGAAGCGAATGGAAAGCTTTTGAGGAGACATAGGTATGTACTGTTAGGTGATTGTGGTAGTTATTTTTCGCGCCTGAAGGTTCCAAGCATTTGCTAAGCACTGCCTTGCACGTAGGTGGCACGCACCTTGAGGTGAGCCCGCGTCATTTGAAGTACTGTAAACCCCAGCGCCCTCGGTCATTCCATGACCAACCTGACGCAGCTGATTGGGATGTTCACGGGGAGATGCCGATGTACCGGAGCGGCGACGCTTTACATAAACGAACGGCTTCACACGCTTGCAGCCAGAGATTTCATTCGCGTGGGAGAGCCTCCCTAGTTTCTTCTACTTGTTCACATGGCCAGGGTCTTCCGGGCGTGCTAGAACTTTACACCTGCAGCAAGCTCTGTCTCTCTCGAACCTACTAGAGGTCGACGCTTTGGGACGGACTGAGCTGGAAAAACATCATGGAATTAAGATAGTGTCAATTATACTACTTGTCTTCACTACGCCCACGAACACTGGCCACGATGTCGGAACGACTGCCCTCTTCCAATGAGTCGCTAGATCCGCCGCCTAATCCTCGACGCCCCTCCCACCAGCGCAACCGATCCACGACTCAGCATGTGCCTATCAATCCCAGCCGGTTGCGGGAGACCACAATCATGTCTCCAGAGGAACGCATGGCAAGATCAAAATCGAGTGAAGAGGTGGACGAGAGGAATAGGCCCAAGCTCCCTCAGCCGGCAATGATAATGGACGAAAACACACCTCTCATTGCAGAGCCCGAACCGGTGCTGGACGAACAGGGGCATACCGTTCAAGGGCAGATCGATGAGCCATCCAACGACGGGGCTAATGCCCGGACTAGCTTGTTGGGCAATTACCACCACAGTCGCATTTGCGGGCGAAGCAACTGCAACCATGGCACCTTCTCTCCCCGAGCCCCTTCAATCGACAGCGAAAGAAGCACCATCAACTCGTTTGCCGCACCATACGCAGATGGTGTCGCCGAAGATGAAAGCACACAGGATCCAGTCCGTGGTTTACTGGGTGAGGCTATCACCGATTCCTTGACAAACAGCAAGAGCTTGAGCACTACACGATGGCTGGCCCGGAGGCACGGAATCAGAAGCCACAGATGGATGTACTTCTCCTATTATTTCCCCGTTATCAAGTGGGTTCCTCAGTACCGTTGGAGCTGGTTTCAGGGTGATCTGATCGCGGCCCTTACTATGGCCTCCTTCTATATTCCCATGTCACTGTCATATGCGTCGAATCTCGCCCACGTACCTCCCATCAACGGACTATATTCATTCGTCTTCAATCCGCTGATTTACGCTCTTCTTGGTTCTTGCCCACGGATGGTTGTGGGTCCGGAAGCAGCTGGCTCTCTGCTGGTCGGCCAAGTCGTGAAGACATGTATAGCGAAAGGAGAAGCTGGGGATGACGATGCCAAACTGAACGCTGAGATTGGCGGCGTCGTCACTGCGATAGCCGGAGCTGTCATTTTCACGGCGGGTCTCGCACGTCTCGGCTTTCTCGACAGTGTCCTCAGCCGACCCTTTCTACGGGGTTTTATTAGTGCTATCGGGTTTGTGATAATTGTTGACCAGTTGATTCCGGAATTGGGACTCTCTGAGGTTGCTAAAGAAAAGGGAGGAGTTGCACACGGCAGCAGTGCTCAAAAGATCATGTTTCTCTTCAAGAACATCCAGGAAACCCACACGTTGACGGCCGCAGTATCCCTGGGAGCATTTGTTGTCATCATGATATTCAGGTAAGCTGAGGATACGCCGTCGGGTTGGATCAAGCTGACGACCAAGATTTATGAAACAGCGACTGCAACCCAGGTACCCTTCGGTAGCATACTTTCCGGATCGCTTCATTATCGTTGCGCTTTCCGCGGTGTTTGCTTGGAGATTTAACTGGGACAGAAAAGGCCTCGACGTTCTCGGAGAGGTCAAGTCAGCAACTGGTGGCACTGGCATTCCGTTCCACTGGCCATTCCAATTTCGACACATGAAACATATCGACACCGCCTTGAGCACTTCGTTCTTGATTGCATTACTAGGGTTTTTTGAATCTTCCGTGGCAGCAAAAAGCTTGGGTGAAGGGGGTGGGCTGAAGCATATGAACCTGAGCGCCAACCGCGAATTGATCGCGCTGGGCACAGCGAATATTGTGGGCGGGTTCTTCATGGCTCTACCTGCATTTGGAGGCTATGGAAGAAGCAAAGTCAACGCTTCCACCGGTGGCACGACGCCAATGAGCAGCATTCTGTTGAGTCTTATCACGCTGCTATGCGTGCTCTTTGTGGTACCGTATTTCTACTACCTACCAAAAGGGGTTCTGTCAGCGATGGTCTCAGTCGTTGCGTATTCTCTCATTGAGGAATGCCCTCATGATATCAGGTTCTTCTTGAAAATCCGGGGTTGGACCGAGTTGTCATTGATGATCATTATCTTTGTGGCGACGGTGTTCTATTCCCTGTCAGTTGGAATGGCATTGGGTATCGGCCTCTCACTGTTAGCATTGATTCGGCACGCCACCAAACCCAGGATACAAATCCTCGGCAAAGTACCTGGCACGACAAACCAATTCGAAAACGCGGAGCTTACGCCAGAGAACATCGAGTATATCGAAGGTTGTCTGATCGTCAAGATACCAGAGCCGCTCACCTTTGCGAACACTGGCGAGCTGAAGAATCGTCTGAGACGGCTGGAGCAGTATGGCACGAACGCGGCCCATCCATCCTTACCGCGAGTGCGACACGAAGATAGTAACCGAAACATCATTTTCGACGTCCATGGAGTTACAACCATTGACGGCTCGGGAACCCAAGTCTTCACGGAAATCGTGCAGGAGTATGTGCAACGGGGCATCCGGGTCATCTTTTGCCGTCTCCCCCAGAGGAGAAGCAAGGTATTCAAGAGCTTCGAACGAAGTGGAATTGTAGAGTTGTGTGGTGGGAGAAGACATTTCGTGGGTAGCGTTGAGGAGGCGTTAAGATTGAGCGAGGCCGAGGACGTTGAAGAGTATTTCGACGACAGGCTGAATGGCCATCATCACCAGCATTGAGTCCGGCTGGAAGCTGTGCTGCTCTCAAGGTCAACAGGTGTTTTCAGCCAAAGCATCAATTGTTACAGCTTGAGACGCGGTCTTTCTTCACCACAACGACTGCACCGCAATTGCAATGATGAAAGGTTGGGATCCGTCTCAATGTCCTGCACGCTAGAACTTCACAGCAGCCGTAAGGGTGTCGGCTCGAGTAAGTGCAATTTCTCGAGGGTGGTGTGCGTGTCAACCGAAGAGGAAATTGAACGAAGCTGAGTCAAAGATGATCATGACTTGGATGTATTCTACCACTTTGTCTGGGCGTCCGACTTCTCATGAGCACGGCCGTGTCCCAACTTACAGCGATAGTCGAGTAAAACTGAAGGCGAAATAACGCTAGCTATAACATCAACAGAATATCTCTCGCCGTCAGAGCTTAAAGTGCCAGGCAAACATTGCCCTGGACCTTTCTACTTGATCAGTACTGAGGGTGGAATTACGTAGGCGAGCACTTCACTATTGCATCTGAAGTGCCCGACACCCCGCAGAGGCGCTCGAGGCTTTGCCCTGCCCGCCCCCGCCGCCTCGCTTCTTCGGTTAAACCATGCAAGTTCGGACTGGACGCTCGTGTCGAAAAGCTAAGGACCCATATCGGCTATCGTTCATTAATTTGTCCCACATGGCCTCAGTCGCCACAGCAGCGATCCTGTGTTGGAGTCTCATCACGACTTGCCTTTCGCAGCACACGTCTCCTGGCATTCATCTTCCGCTGTTCCGACGCGGCGGTCGATTCTCTCGCCATGAGCCCGCGAACCTCACTTACCTCACTCAGATCCTCAATGATGTCGAGGCGAAGTACGCGCGCACTTATCGTGCAGTGGAGGGAAATCGCCTTGTGCGCAGGTGGCGGCAGAGTACAGAGAAAGACGAGAATGATCCAGAGGTAATTGATGTTGCGGGACATGAGAACCGATGGTAAGCCACCTTTCCGCTCAAACACTCTTCACATCCTGCATGAGGAAGTGGCTGGATAGATGCGAATAGCGGCATAGGTTCACAATACTCGAGGTGGCCAATCCGAAGCAGACACTCGAGGTGGCCAATCCGAAGCAGACACTCGAGGTTGATATCGACATGCTGTCGCCGGATTTTTACACGGTCGTCACCTCGAGCGCGATGGGCATGGGCTATAATGCCTCTGCATCAGACAGTCACGGTTGGACCTGCACCGGTTTGTGAGTAATTGCAGAAAGTTTGACGCACAAGGTAGGTTTCAGTGACGATCGCGTGCACGCCATCTGCAAACGCTCCAGCGAAGAGTTCCATTTCTCCGGGATGTTCCCAGTCCGGCTCAACATGCCAATATGCGCGCCTTCGAAGTCGTCTCGACAGACACTGGCAATGTCGGGTACACTGCTCGGGCTTGGACCACATACAGAGTCCCTGGCTCGCCTGGCCTCGACTCCGTTCCTGACACAGTTGAAAGAGCGAGACCTGGCCGAAAACAGAATATGGTCTGCGACCCTGCTGGATTCTGAGACCGGGGTTCTTAGCCTCGGTGGCACCATCGCGAAGGAATTCGAGGAGGCCAAATTACGAGGGGAGATCGAGCTGAAGCACCTCGGAGACCCGCTGGCCACATCGCATTGGGTGGACGAGCAGGTGGACGCCCAATTGACGTTTCTTATACCGCCTGACGCCTCATGGGACAAACATTTCAAGTGGACTGAGGTGCAGGGGGCGGCGGGATGGTGGACAGCTCTGATGAAGGGTGTCTGGATCAACGGTGCAAAGGTATTACGGACGGCGTTTCTTGCAAATACCTCCTAACCTGGTTTATATTCAGGTCCTCAAAAATCAACCCTCCATCTTCGATCTCAACACGCCCTTTATCCTCGCACCACCAATCGCAGCCAAACGTTTCTACGATTCCATTGGAGGCACAAAGCGATTACCACCACCTTACGACAACTTCTTTGCCTTTCCGTGTCTGAACCGAGCAAATATCGCGCTTGAGATCGGTGGTTGGAACTTTCCTACTATGCATGGCGAGAGCACGTCGGCGGATGCACTGTACGGGCCTGCAGGCGGGAGGTTCAGCCTAGGCAAAGTGGCCGACGGGACAGGCTATTGCGTGGGCAGCCTGGTGGAAACGAGGATGGGGTTGAAAAAGCAATGGATGGAGAGCGGGATGAAGGATATGTGGGTGCTTGGAGAGCCTTTTTTCAGGGGTTTGGGAGTGGTGTTTGATGCGGACGAAGGGAGGGTGGGTGTACGGACTTATTGATGACATGCGGTCTGTATCCATCATGAGCGGCACGGAGGACATAGACAGAAGATGCACGGTTAAATGAACACTCTTAGGAAAGTGGACAACTGGCACGTGAGCGAAGAGCGTCTTCACATTCCACTCGCAATTACGGAGTAGACTCCTGCCCTTCCCACAATCTTGCTTACACAAGTCACTTACTCTCCTTGACAATTTGCTTCAACGTCTTCTCATATTCCTCGACCTCTTTGGCGCCGACAAGTGTAATGTCTCGCCTTTTCCCTTCAAACATGATGGTCGGGACGGCATCAACTCCGTTCCCGGCTTGCTGCCGAACCATATTCTTCACGTCCAACAGGCCGTCGGTCTTGTCTTCGATGAACGGCCTCGCTTCGCTTTCAGGGATTCCAGCGTCTGCGGTGGCTTTGAGTAGGGTCTCATCGGCCGACGGGTGTTTCTCGTTCTCGAAATATTGCGAGTACAGAGCTGAGCCGGATTTCGACAGACATGGTAAGCATATGTGCCAAAGACGATGCACTTGTTGTCGTGACGGCCGGACGAAGGCAGACGGCTTTGCACTTACAGTTTATAATCTTGTCGGCAACTTCCGGGCCTTTCTCTTCCTGGAAATGCTGGATGACACGGTGTGCGTCCATTGTGCTGGCCACAGTACCTCCAAACTTGAAGTTGATGCCAGCACTAGCACCATATGCAGACATCAATGCTATATACTACGGTGTGCTTAGCTCTTCGAGATGTATGTCTTGGATTGCCGGGACCGAAACAGTTGCAGAAAAGGCTGCCTTCGTGGAAAGTGCCTTACCATTTTCATCTTCTCCTCGGAGTCGCCATAGCGACTCTTCTTGTACCAGTCATACTTGCTTTCACCCTCTTTCGTGGCCTCGGGATACAGCTGGTATGGGAAGTACTTCACTGTGAAGGTGACATCTTTTGCTTCATCGCTTTCTCGAAACCGTCGGAGCGCTGTCAATGGTCAGGTGGACACTCATGTCAGACAACTGACGGAACGTTTCCCAGCAGCGATCCACTGCGGATCGCAAAGGGCAACAAACCTTCATCAAGGCTGCAGGCTCGTGGTTTTGCACGTCAGTTCCCACCTCAGCAGATGCTTTGCCAGGGCTGGGCTAGAGCAGCAAGGAGAACACTACCGTCTTTTCGCCAGGTATGTCTGTAATACTATCAGCTCGGTTGCCAACATGAACGACCAGCGCATTGCAATGCCAACTGAAATTCCAGGACCACGGTCGACGGATGTCTTACCCAAGGACAAATTGTATCCAAGGTGAAGGATATTTGTGCTTCGTACGTCATGGTCCGGTCGGCTCGCTTTCTGCAGGCTTCCGGCGGCTAGGGAGCAACAATCGGTGAACCAGAATACAACTGCAGCAGAGTTTTCAAAACGTGCACTTGAAAGAAACGACGGCAGCGACAGGTCCGCGCTATCGCCTTGAGCCCAGTCCGACGATGCCACAGAATTGTCTTCGGTGATGGCAGGCCTGTGCAGTCAGCGGTGTTGCAAACCATCTGACAGGCAACGGACTCGACGTCTAATTCTCGACCGAAGTGCAACCCCGCGATTTGGCTCAATCGACGCTCACTGGTCTGTCACCGATGGCTCACTTCAAGCTGACTGGTCTTTCATCCATCCGCGGTTTCAGCGATGCGGAGACTCAACAGTCACCACCGGGATCGCAGTCCGACTCCTGCAATCAACTGACCTCGCGAACCAGCTATCAAGTCGACAGCGCATGTGCAGCTTCCACCTGAAAAGATACTCCGTATTCAGCCAGAAAAAGTGTCGGCTCAAGGCTATTGGCTGCGCCACCAACGAAGCTCCCGGTCAGCCTCCTGATCGCCGGCGTTAGGCGACGGTGGCGGCGAGGCGGGTCGCTAAGCACCACCGAGACCTGCCTCCCACGCGAGGAATCGGCCGGGCTGGTTCGTCCATCGCCCTCTCGCTAACCCTGTCCCCTGCACCGTTGACCCCCAGCGTTACCGTGGTCACTAACCCCCATCCAGCCTCCAAAACATCCTTGGCGGGCCACCACCATGTTTCACATTGAACCAGCCCACTTTCTATTCGCTTTCCACCAACGACAACCGGCCCGTCAACGTCTTCCTGCCCAGCTCTTTTGGGCTCGCCTTCCCGATTCTTGTTCAACCACCGAGTTTTCCATGGAATCCTTGTGCGAAGTCTATAGAAAAGTGGATCGGAATGCCGGCTGGACGCAGGAGAACAGTCGTTGGCGGCTGCGATTCCCTTGCCAGTCCATCCCAGCCCGCCTTGTTCCCCTTTTCAATGCTCCACTTGCAGGTCATCCTCAACACGATGACGCCCTGATGGAGCTACAACGTTTGTCGATACGGACACCGATGGAGCCTTTTTGCACACATTCAGGCTGAGCCTGCCTCCTGGATTGAGCAGTAGCTTGACCGGTAGCCCAATTGAGTTTCCCAGTCACATCGTACACCGCGAAAACTGTCAACGTGCCCCTGCCGTGCATGACGTGCCTCTGGCTCCTCACAAAGTATATGAAGTCCCTCCTTGGCCTCGTCCTGTTTTCGCTCTTCATACATCCTTCACTCAATAAGACATTCACTCCTGTCACAGACACAGTCCTTCGTTCACAAGGTCGATCGTTCAAAACAAGACCTCAAGACACAATTTGATCCACTCGCACACTCCATACATTAATCTCATACGGAGTAACCCGTCCACATCCAACACCATGAGATCAGCGCTCGTCCTATCGGCGCTCGCAGCGCTTGCCGTCGCTGCTCCTGGCGGTGGCCAAGGAGGATTCGGCGGCGGTGATCAAGGCTCGTGGGGTCAAGGCGGGCAAGGAGGCCAAGGGGGTCAAGGAGGCTCCGGGGGCCAAGGTGGCCAAGGCGGCCCAGGAAGCAAGGGCGGCGAGAGCGGCGGCAATGGCGGAAGCTGGGGCGACTGGTCTGGTCAAGGCGGTCAGGGCGGTCAAGGCGGCCAAGGAGGGCACAACGGCGGCGGTGCTCCCCAAGGCGGCGACAAAGGAGGTCAGTGGGGTGATTGGTCTTCCAGCGTTCCCGCTCCCGCTCCCCCTCCGCAGCCTACTACCACAACTCCCGCACCCCCTACACAATCAAGTTGGTCAGACTGGGTATCAACGACGACAACACCCCCTCCTCCGCCCCCTCCCCCAGCTCCCACCACAACCCACTGGCAAGACTGGTCGGAAAGCTCATCATCAACACCCCCTCCGCCCCCTCCCCCAGCTCCCACCACATCGCACTGGCAAGATTGGTCCAGCTCATTGTCAACCACCACCACTCCCAAGCCTACCCCGATCCCCGAGACGACGACTCACTGGCAAGATTGGTCGAGTACTAACGTCGTTCCTCCAGCCCCTGAATCGTCATGGGGAGATTGGTCCAGCTCTGCGCCGCCTGTTCCCGTCGAGACGACCTCGTGGGCAGACTGGACTAGCTCCGCACCGCCAGCTCCCGTCGAGACGACCTCGTGGGCAGATTGGTCCAGCACACCCGTCGTCCCAGGAGTTCCCACCACAACTTGGGGCGATTGGACCTCCTCAACCCCTGTTGTTCCTACTGTCCCAACGACGACGTGGGGAGACTGGACTTCTGCTACCCCTGTCGCTCCCGTCCCCGTCCCAGAGACAAGCCACTGGGCCGACTGGTCTAGCGCTCCCGCTCCCGCACCTCCGGCTCCTGCTCCTGCCAGCAGCCAGTGGAACGACTGGTCCTCGAGTGCGCCTGCGCCGGTGGTTACTACTCCCACGCCCACGCCCGTTGCTCCCACCTCGTCTGTTTGGGCTACATCGGTCGTTCAATCTACAACTCCAGTTGCTCCTGTCGCCAGCGAGTTCACCGGCGCCGCCGCTCCAGTCGCCACTGGTGGAGCCAAGATCGCTGGCGCTGCCGCGGCCATCATGATCGCAGCCATGCTGTAGATCGGTATTGGCCGAACCCGTCTTCTCGGACAACATCTTTCGCTTCGGCGTCCACTTCCTAGGCTACACGGAAGTGATCGCAGACAAAATCATCATCTTCGGGGTTTTGTTTTATTCTCCACCATCGACTTGCCCTCTGGGCTTAATGACTCTAATGAGAAACACGTCCACGACACTCATGATCACTCCTTTAGCATGAGATGAGATCCGCTGGACTGGATCAGGAAATCAGGAAAAGAAAACGGCTTCTCACATGTGATATGTACGGAATAGACTTTGAACAGACCGGCATTTTTGGATATATTCAACGGGGGAGGAGGCTTCGATGTATTCAGAGGCATCCATGTACTCCGCGGTGCGCAAGCACATTAGCATAGCAGAAAAGCTGTAGCGTATTATTCAGCCGTCAAAAAGGCAATGGCATTTCAAGAGGAATGCAAGAACATGAAGCCAAAGTCGCGATTCCAAGTCTCGGCACTCTTACTTGCTCACCACTGTCCTTGTTGCCCCTGTTTGCCTGGAAACGAATACAAATCCACGTCCACGCAAGAATAGACAGGACGTCAGGCTCTGCAAACCCTGATTCCAACTCGACCAATCATAATTTCGCCCATCGGAAGGTCTGCAGGCCGGACTGGATGTCTCAGTCGGGTAGGACAGCATGAGCGTGGGTGTATGTACTCCGTACTGCGTATGTGGATCCCAGTCGTGGGCAGGCATCTCCTCCTCACGTACACAGGATGAAGGCACGGTAGGAGCACTCGAAGGAGCTACAGCATATGCATGCAATGACAGCACAGGATTCGAATGTGGACAAGGAACGACGCTTGTAGGCTCTGCTCACCGTCCTCGGTCGTCGAGCTCAGCTCTCGTTCAAGACGGAGATGCCGACGTGTCAAAATCCTGCCCCCCTCCCAAGGCCCCCCCGTTCCCCCTGTTACAGGACGCAGAGTGACTGGTAGTGCTACTCGTGTGAAATATCACGTGAGCGTCTCCCAAGCTTGGCAGACTGATGCCGCACGTGCCGCCAGTTCTTCATCTGCTTGTTTCACATCCGATAACTTAAGGTGGGTATGAACAACAACTGTAATCGACCACTGTAGTTCTCTATAGTTCTGCAGTGACATGTAGACAACCTTAGAAGGCATGGTAGCAATGGAAGTCTAGATAGTGTTGGGTTCATTGTGCTACATTCCACTACAGGACCGATAGGTCGATATGCCTTAAGTGCTAGGTACTGTGTAAGGCTTCGGTACTCTCGGATCTTTAGCGTGCTTCAATTGTCGCTGACGCTTAGCCACCGCACTTCTTCCTGTCACCTTAGCTCTGTCAGGTATTTTTCATACAGTATGCATTGGCTTGTTCTGTTGTCTCAGTAGGGAAAGTAGCCGGCGCAAAAGGGCGGCACAAGGAAGACGACATCGCTGTTATGGGCAGGCGACTGGAACTGCCGAAGCAATGGTACTTCCGAATTATTGTCTTCTGCAGTCTTCTGCGTCTTAGCCTGAACGCTCAAATCAGTCAGTATGCTGTCGACCATGCCCCGCTGATCTGGCTGCATTCCGATGATCCATACATGCCCAGCGACATCAAGGAGCATGTTCTGCGCACGGCTCCCAGGATCGACTTCCAACGAATAGCAGATGCCCTGCCGCGGTTGGATCTCGACAACCTATCGCTGTTGAACGGATACGGCAAAAATGGCACAGACGTCTTCCTCACGGCGGTCGAGGATGTCACCACGTTCCCAGACTGGGTTCTCGGAGAGACGCCCGATGCCGACGGCGCTCTGCACAATTCCACGGCGTGTGCCGTGGTCGCTGTGGAGCATGAGCTTCCCGGCAAGCAGACGGTCGTTGACGTGTTCTACTTCTACTTCTATTCCTGGAACGAAGGCGGGGATATCACACAGGTGGTGCCGCCGCTGAACAGGCTGTTCCCGGACAGCAAGCCTGGCGATCATTTCGGAAACCACCTGGGCGACTGGGAGCACAATATGGTCCGATTCGTGAACGCAAAGCCTGTGGGCATCTACTTCAGCCACCATACCGGCGGCGAGATGTGTGCTTGGGATGACGAGTCGTGTCTCTCGAAACAGGGTCAGCGGCCGGTCGTCTTTAGTGCTCGAGGATCGCACGCGAATTACCCGACCGAAGGAAACCACATACACGACGATGCGCTGATAGACATTGCGGATCAAGGCCGGCTCTGGGATCCCGTCAAGCTTGCCTACTTCTATACCTACGATCCGGCGACCGAGACCTTCACGGCTGCGGAGCCAGGAACGGCGCCGACCGACTGGCTCTATTTCAATGGAAACTGGGGCGACCAGCAGTACCCGGACTCGGATCCTCGACAACAAACGGTCACATACTTTGGCCTCAAGAAGTTTTACGGCGGCCCCAATGGGCCCAAGTTCAAGCATCTTGTGCGGACAGGTCTGTTGCCCGACGTGAAGGAGAAATCCAATATCATAAAGACCTTGGTGCACTGGTACATGGGATGGTATGGTTGCTGCTTGAAGGGCATCAATCCCTGGGTGGTTGTCGTTCGCCTCTTGATTTCTCTCGCTGCAGTCATTGCCTTGAGCGTGCTCACTGTGAGGGTGGCGGGACCAGCAATAAAGGCATGGGTCCTGACTAGGAAGGATGGACAAACGAAAGAAGAGACGTCGGAGGTGCAGCTCCGACTCCTTGATCCTGAGAGGGCCGACGCCGACGACGAGGCATAAGCCATCGGACCCAACGCGAGGGTTTTAAGCCTTCTCGGTACCAAGGCACTTGAGCAGATCTCGAGCGACAGCGCTCATGACGACGGAGTATTGCGAAGCATGCCTCCTCTTTCGCCAGGAAGACGCCATAATCCAGTGAAGACTGCGTGCCTGATGGGATGACTTGCGCATGCGCCACCTCCGCTGCCGTAGGTCGACGGCATTCGAAGGTGCTCTTATATCTGGCAGCCCATGTCCTTTGCTGAGATGGACGTTGCAATCTCGGACCTGGACGACTTCTTTGTTGGAAACTGGCATTTCTTAAGGAAGAGCCGTAGGTCATCCACGACCTGAAGAGGCTGCAAGGAATCTTCGAAGGTTCTATTGTGGCCCAACATGCGAGTCCAGCGATCTCCTCTATCAGGTGCTGAATTACAAGAGAAGGCCTGCAAGACTCGGAAAGCACTGAACGCCAGTCTTCGTGAACGACCACGGTCGACTTCATGGACCCGCAACCAGCGCAGCTTGTTACCGACCATTTTCTTCCTAGCCTTATCGTCCGGATGTTCAACATTCCCTTCAACCGCAGCCAACCGGGGCGTTTGGTGGACGGGACGGGCATCCAACGAGTGAGCCTTGCGGTGGTGATGGAATAGGTGCTCTGACACATCTGATGGGCAAAATCTCCCGCCTGGCCACGAAAGCTTGCCCTATCTACCGACCATGCCCGGCATCAGGGAGCTGTTCATGCAGTTCGACATCTTGCGCGCCTACCTGATGTTGTTGGGATCTCTGACAACCCAAGCGGATCAGACTGATTTCACTCCCCAGTTGCACGATCTGTGTCCCTCAAACGACAGGATCGATTCCAGGATTCGGACAGCGAGGGAAGTTGTTGCGAAGGAGCGTCCTTGCCGACATAATGGCTCCCCTTTTGGATTGAGTGGAACTTCAGCACAGGACGAAATGGACCTCGGAACGGATACTCGTCTGTCAAGTCAGGCGGACTGAGGTATGGCTGCTGGCGGACGCTCTGCACTCACCTCTCACGCGGTCGTCAAAGGCCTGTTACCGCTTCTTGAGCGAGACGTACGTGTGCATTATGGAGATTCCCGAGCAAGTTCACGAGGCTGGCGAGAATGCATGGGACGATGCTGTACGCCGTAGTCGGTTCGGGTTCTTTTCTCGCTGGCGGTTTCGTGGTCGTTGTGTCATTCCCATTGCATGTTGGTCCACTCCCGGTATCGACAATTTGATCAGCATCTGGTGACATCCATTGATGCTGTACCAGAGGGAGTGAGATGGCACCAGCTGTGGCCTGATTAGTGGACATTAGTGAGACACTCAGCCTCTGCCGGGGTATTCGGGGCTGTCAGACAGCGCAATCTTCATTTGCGGGCAAAGCCAATGGAGCCGCTTAGTTGGCAATGGCAAGCAATGGCTGGCGGCCAGACGCCCCAGAGTTTAGGGCCCGAGATTTGCGGAGCGGCGACCGATTTTCGTCATACTGTGCACTATTTTTGCCCTCGCGAAACATTGACGGCGCAGTTAAAGAACAGACTGGCCACATTCCTCACACATACTCGGGTGCGCTGCCGTGGCTTTTCTTGTTCCCTTTTCTCTTGTACATATTGCTCGTCCCAATCGAATGTCAATTGGCTTGTCTCCGGCGTCAACATGAGGGTCAGTGCCTCACATTTCTTTCTCGCCTTCTACGTCCTTCTACGCCCTCACTGCGTGCGCGGAGGCCGCCAAACCCAACAATGCGCCATAGACCCAGAGTCGATCGTTACAGACGCATGTACCTCGTATTCAGATCTTGAGCGGCTGAACGCCGACCTCTCGCCTTCGTTAGACGATCTGACGCAAAAGACCGACTTCTTCGCCTACTACCGACTGAACCTCTACAACAAAGTGTGCCCCTTCTGGAACGATGAGAATTCCATGTGTGGGAACCGCGCGTGTGCGGTCGAGACGATTGAAGACGAGAGTGATATCCCGTCAATCTGGCGGGCGGAAGAGTTGAGCAAACTCGAGGGCGCCAGGGCGAAACACCCGGGCCTCGCCCAGCAACGCGAACGGCCGAAGGACCGACCGCTGCAATACCAACTGGGCGAGAATGTGGACGAGAGCTGTGTGCTCGAAGACGACGACGAGTGTGATCAGAGAGACTACTGTGTGCCCGAGGACGAGGGCGCAGCCGCGAAGGGAGACTACGTCAGTCTGGTGAACAACACGGAACGATACACCGGATACTCCGGCCTGGGGGCTAAGCAAGTCTGGGACGCCATCTACAAGGAGAACTGCTTCACACCGCAACCGGCGAGACATGCCTCCCTGAAGCCCAAGCCCCAACAAGCGGCGGCGAGTCTGAAGAACATATTCCAAGAGTACGGACGGCAGCACGTGGACGACTCGGACGACCAGTACCCTCTTGACGACGAGTGTCTGGAACAGCGAGCCTTCTACCGAATAGTGAGCGGTATGCACGCCTCCATCTCCGCCCACATCTGCTGGGATTATTTCAACCAGACGACGGGAGAGTGGGTGCGCAACCTCGAGTGCTACAAGGAACGCCTGCACAAGCACCCCGAGCGCATCTCGAACCTGTACTTCAACTACGCCATCCTCACGCGCGCGATTGCCAAGTTGCGCAAACACCTCGAGTCGTACACGTTCTGTTCCGGCGACACGCAACAAGACTTCCAGACCAAGCAAAAAGTGCTGGAACTGGCGGACCGAGCAGCGGCGGGTCCGCACACCTTTGACGAGTCCGTCATGTTTCAGGATCCCTCGGTCATGGATCTCAAGGACGACTTCCGCAACCGGTTCCGCAACGTGTCGAGACTGATGGACTGCGTGGGCTGCGACAAATGCCGGCTCTGGGGAAAAGTGCAGACGGCGGGATACGGCGCTGCGCTCAAAGTGCTGTTCGAATACGACGAGACCAAGAATGGCGAAAACCCTCACCTCAGACGGACCGAGTTGGTGGCCCTCGTGAACACCCTGGGCCGCGTCAGCCACAGCCTCGATACGATCCAGAAGTTCCGCCACGCAGTCAACACGGGCGATATGAGCGTGCTCGACATGGCTGGCCCACTCCCGCTGTCGCAGAAGCTGTCTGTGGATCACGAGCAGCGGGAGTCCGCCGATGCGAGCCCCGTGGCGGGCTTTGACGAGGTCATCGAGGGCTCGGCAGCCACCGCTGTGCCCGAGCCTGAATCCGATGACCTCTGGGAAGACCCCGAGACGAAACCTCGCTCCCCGACCATTGCGGATGAATTCTGGGCGGAACTCGACCTGGTGTGGAGGACTTACAAAATGGTGCTACGTTCGTGGGTCGAGCTGCCGTTCAAATTCTTCGCCATCCTCGTCATGGAGTTGCAGAGGCTGTGGAACTATTGGCTGGGATTGCCCGTGCCGGCGAGGAGTTGGGACTTTCACTTTCCGAGTCGGGATGAATTGTGAGGTGCTTTATCCCTGGGTTTGCACACCGTCATGTTGGCGGGTGTGAAGGACATGATGACAAGAATGGCGTTGAAATGGAATGAGTGCACTCACTCCCCTGCACACACTGCAGTGCACGAACGAAGCACTCGCTTCGCTTGCAAAATCGTCGGCATGGCGATTTGGGGAACACATACGAAGTACGGCATGATTGGGGAACGCATTGCCACTGATGGCATAGCATTGCATAGCATACATGGCATGGGAAATTAGCATAGCGTCGGCGTTGGGGATGCAAGTTGCACCATTGTACCGTGTATAGACATGGGAGACTTTACTTAGATACTGGTATGTACTTACTTACACGAATGAGTAGAGGGTAGTGGCCAAAGGGGTCGAAAGTGACCCGTCGTCTGCGTCTGCGTCTGTCTTGAAGCAAGCATGTGCGAAAACAAGATACTTGATCGATCAACCACGTTTGTGTCCAGATCAATCGGCCGAGTGCTGTACGTCGTGCGTAGTACACGACCTGATGGTTGTACAGAGTCCCTATCTGGGCCAAGCGACTCCTGATACCTACACAGTACGTATTCACAGGTTTGCGCGAAGTCAACGGCCGCCGTTGTCCCGACAACCACGCGTAAATAAATCCCCCACAACGGCCCGGCGCTGCCTCCCTTTCGCGGCGCTGTACTGCACTGCACTGCACTGCACCAACCTTACCTAATACTTAGACAGCACAGGACACAGGACGCGAGAAAGGACGCGTTGAACTTTTGGCAGTCGAGGCAGAACCCTCGACATCACATCGCACCGCATCACACTCCATCAACTCACTCATGGATCCGAGGTCTGAGGGAAATTAATCAATCAATCAATCAAAAGCGATATTAATCGTTGTCATCATACGAGGTACACTACAGTACTGGATAATTTAGCCAGCGCGCGCGCACGCTCATGCCACCGTACCCGCAATAGGTACATACCGTGACATACAACACGACACGACACGACACGACACGACACGACACGACAGCCCATCGAGAGCCATCGACAAATGTCGCGCCACGGTATTATCACCGCGACACCATGTCCTGCGCCGGCCTTGGCGTATCCCAGCAAGCATGATGACTCGATAGCGAGGGGTACAAGTACGGGGACGGGGCCGAGTATGTTCTGCGACGACAAAGACGACGACGACAACGACGACAACGACGACAACGACGACAACGACGACAACGACGACGGAGGAGATACAGCAAACATCGAGTTCACGGCCGCGTTTCCGAGGCATAACATGGGACTTGGACTTGGACTTGGACATGGACATGGACTTGGTAATGGACCTGGACCTACGGCCGGATTGAGAAATGCGAGGCCGCGCAGACGACGCGCCGCTGACGTGCTGGGGTTTGCGATTCACGACGATGGAGCAGGTGCTGGAGCAGGTGCTGGTGCTGGGGCTGGGGCTGGAGCGGGCGCCTTGATGAAGGCGGTTCGACGGAACGCTGGTGCTGGTGTTGGTGCTGGTCCGACCGCCAGTGCAATCGCTCAACCGCCTCAGCGACCGAAGAGGGGTGTCAATTTCGTGGGTCATGTGGCTTCAACTTCAGCTTCAACTTCAACGTCAACTTCAACGGGCGCAACATCCTCGGTTCACCACGCTCACGACGCTCATGACGTTCATGACGCTGTCTATCAGCACAATTTTGTGGAAAAGGCAAACACACGCACGGACGCCACGTCGCGCAGACTGTCGCAAGCGCCGAGACGACCGGTCGTCAACAAGGTTGACAGCGCGACGGTTGTGGCACCACCCTCTCCTCCACTGGTGCCGGAACAGCCGATCTCGATGCCGACTTTGACCGCTACAACGGTAGTACTCAAACCCACGGCCGCACGGCGAGGCACCATCTATATCCCCTCCGAGGACACGACCATGCCGAGCATGTACATGGGGATGTTCAGCCCGATCAAGGATCTCGACGCCGCGAAAGCGGCATCCATGTCCGCGATTGCCGAGGATGTCGAAATCACGGGGATTGCGGCGCAAATGCTGGCGAAGAAGCAGCGCGGCCGCGGGCGGAAGTCGATGATTGCCATGTCTCCTAAGAGAGGGGCCTTGCAGGTCTCATCGCGGAACCTCCAGGATAGTGCCCTTGTGGAGGACCGCTGGGGTCAGGGCGGTGGGAAGGAGAACGTGCCTCCTGGTCAAGCGGAGGTGGGCGACAAGAAAACCAAGTTGATAAAGCGTACGTCGGTGGTTGATGTAAGAGGCACTGGTGGCGAGGCTACATCACGTCGACCTCAACCGCAGGCCACGAGAGTATCCCGGGTCTATGAATCTACGGCGAGCGCGAGGACCAGAGCCAACGACAAGAAGATCGCTCAGCGTACCATTACGAAGCCCGGCTGGAATGCCGGCCCACGGCTGAAGACGAGTCAACCGGTGCCAGTACGATCACAATCGCCAGAGCCAAGGTCAGACTCTGTGACACCACACGAGGACGTAGCGCAAAACAGGAAGCCGTCGATTCCCAGTCGCTTCGTCATGCCCCGGCTCGGGCTTCAGCAGCGCATTAGAGAGATATACCCTGTGCTCAGTGACGATCTTGCCGACCTCTCCATGTACGAGGACAATTGGCTAAACCATCAGGAGATAGCAATCACCCAGCTCCTCAACAACCTCTTCGGAGCGTCCACGACGATTCACTCACCGGCTGATTCAGAGATGTTAAGAATCCGACTGCTGGAGAGATACGGCGGCGGAGAAAATGCCCTGCTGTACAAGCGACTGCAGGGAGCACTGCTTTATGGTTCCCTCTGTGTTCCCTCCGAGATCCTGCAGGGAGCGGGCCGCTTAAGTAGCGATCTCGGGAGACGCAAGGCATACACGGATCTCTGGCTTGAGACGTACGATCTCTCTTGTCTTCAGTCAGCTGTCGAGGTTGTTATTGGGCGACAGTGCACAAAGTCGAGGACTTCATCGTCGAGCCACAGAAGTAGCGATGGACAAAGTGTCAGTCGCCGCGCTTTACAAGAGTTCATCGAGACGTTCATGATCAGAAACGAAGATGGGACACCAGATGAGCTCTGCACAGACCGTGCTGCTTGGTCTTATCAACGCACCTTACTTCGGAGCCTGATGCTCATCAAGCTTTTGGACAGCACGAAGGCTCCACAGCAAAGACTCTTTCGTGGCTGTCTCTTCCAGCCTTCCTCACAGTACAAGTCATCTGCGAGTGTTGCCAGGGCTCTTTTTCAGCTGCTGAATCCGAGTGCTGGGGATCCGATTCGAGCCTTGAGTCATGTCGCATACACCGTCAGTCACTCACAATATCCTCTCGAAGAATACTCGTACCGGGTCGAGAACATTGCAGTCGATCTGCGCGATGGGGTGCGTCTGACGAGGCTTGTGGAACTCCTCCTGTACCCGTCGGCATCCAACTCGCTCGAACATGTGCATGACCCAGAGTCTAGCACGACTGTTGTTCTACCAGACGGAGAGCTGTTGTTGCTGACAGATGGAGAACGCGATTGGCCTCTGTCCCAGCATCTCAAGTTCCCCTGTCATGGCCGAGCAACCAAACTGTACAATGCTCAGATCGCGCTCAGTGCGCTCCATGGTGTCAAGGGCATGTCTGCACTAGTCCAAGACATTAGAGCTGAAGACATCGTCGATGGCTATCGGGAAAAGACGGTCAAGCTGCTTTGGGGTCTGACCAGTAAATGGGGACTCAGTGGCCTGATCGACTGGGACGACGTCCAGCTTGAAATCAAGAGACTCTGCCGGATAGGCAACAGCAGCCAAGACAACGACTTCTATGACATGGTGGAGGAGAAAGAAGGTTATCCTCGCCACAAAGTGCTGCTCAAGTCATGGGCTCAAGCGATTGCTAGCAAGAAAGGCATCGTGGTGAAGAACTTGACGACCAGCTTCGCCAACGGACGAATCTTCGAAGCCATCGTGGACGAGTATGAAGGATACGTCGCCGGCAATGACAAGGACAAAGACTCGTCCTCTCAAAGTCGACCACTCTCCGCACGACTTCGTGGCCTCGGTTGTAGCGAGCAATTTGCCATGCTCTTCTCGCCCACGTCCCCGGGATCGCCAAACCGCACTCACCTCTTCGACCGAGACTTTGTGTTAGCCGCGCTAGCGTTTCTCTGCTCGAGGTTGCTTGGCCCAACAAAAGGTGTCAGGTCGGCCGTGACGATCCAAAAGGCGTGGCGTTCATATTGGGCGCGAGTGCTCGATGGGCGCAAGGTCATGGTCAAGGCACTGGCGGAACGATGTGCCCAGTCTGTCCGAGACAGGGGCTGCAGGCGGACGGCAGAAGCGAGTAACGGTGGTCCTAGCATGGGTTTGGGCAAGGACCGTGGGGTGGCTGAAGGAAGAGACCAGGCTGAGTCGGGCAGCAACATCCACGCCGGGATTGCATTTCCTGCGGAGACAGAGGAAGAAGACATCTGGCTCAACATATGAGCGGTGAACAGGGTGACAGGTGACAGAGAAGATGCAGCTGCAAGATATGTCAAGAACGTTGTGTTGAGGTGCCACGACATTCTGCAAGGCGACACGAGGCATTGAATTGCATCGGCAAGGCAACAGGATGGATTTCTTTGGTAGCGACCCGAATTGGGCCGCTGCTCCGAAGGATGAATGATCCCTTGAGCAGGGTACGGGTACTGTAGGTACTTGATCGTCCTGCTAGTGGATACTGGGTAGATGGACTGAATGAATGAATGAATGACTTGTGACGAGGCACTGAGTGAGTGGTGATGACCAAGTGAGCGGTATGTGATCGACGCTGAAATGGCGTGCAGTGGGTGAAGGGTCACATCGGTGCCAGTCGCTCCTGCCTCGTAGCCCGGATCCACGCCGCGGATGCCGCCGTCGATCTAATGAGGGGCACCTACTGGGTAATTAGCACTTGGTGACCCTGCCGTGCCTGCCTGCGCCCTCACTTCTTCCTCATGCGCCCACCTCGCTTCCGTCGACAAACACCATGGTGATCACTTTCGTGTCGTCTCCACGGATGCCGAAGCATCGACCTGTCCTCGCACACGCCAGGTACCTAGGTATTCTGCCAACCTGTGGTGTCAAACTGACTGTCTGGCCTCTGCCGTCTACTGGGTAGGGCTGCTGCGTCCTCGTCTTGGATTCGTCTTCCTCCGTTCAGCCACTACCGAGATATCTCACTGTCCAGTTCTTTTGCCGTTGAATCGTATCGTCAACCCCTCACACGTTCGCTCCGATTGCACGCACGTCTGGCGCCAGAAAATCTCAAGCCCACCGTCCCGAAACAATGCCTTCCCGTGCATCGATGCCGTGGGCCCCGGTGCCAGTCATGCAAATCTGACTGCAGCTAACGCCATTCTCTTCCCTGCTGTTCCAGGGAGGCAGAGCGCCTAGCCTTTTCCTCACAAGCCTCTTCCTCTTAAGCATTCGGCCGAGGGCACTGCATCTAAGCGATCCGGGTAGCTGGGCTTCTTCAATCAGGCTTCCTAAATTCGGATGCCGCCAGTCTTTTTGAGGCCAGACCACTGCAAAATGCCGAATGCCGTTTCCGTAGGAGGAGGACAAGGATACCCGTGTCTCCAGCACACAACCATAAGAAGACTGCCATCGTGATTCGGCCTGGTCCACGGCGGCATGCCCCCATGAACTTCCCCATCCATCGCACGATCCAGATTTCATCCACCCGTCACAGCGCCGTCACCCGGCGTCCCGGGGCGGTCAGCGCGACAGGACCACATTCCCCTCGTCAGGATCTGCTGCTTGGAATCCCCGCTCCGTCCTTGCCATTCGGTACATTCTACCCACTTTGCCGGGCTCAACCACTGTCGTCGAGTCCCGACATTCTGGTTCAGCCGACTCACAGGTGCATTTTCTGTCAACTTCGCCGTCGACGTGAAGCCAGCGCTGATACCGGGCTTCTGATTCGTGGTACTCTGCCTGCTGCCATTTTCCAGCTCGTGTATGCACGCTTCAATCGCTGCATCATTGACCGAGGCACGGTGAGTGGCCTGATGGATCGGTAGATTTGTCGCCCTTTGCCTTCTTCAAATGCTTCCTCTCGCCTCCATCAACCTCACGGGAGTCGATTCGACAATTGTCTTGCCTAGCTAGACCGTCGGCGCCTACAAATGGGCACCTCACCCATATCAACCCTTCCACCGGAAGTCCTGCACCAAGTGCTCAAATATCTACCTATCGCAACACTCCTCAAATTCGGTCGGACGTCGAAAAGTAACTACTCAGCCGCTATATTGGCCCTGCAAAACTTACGCCTGGCGATTCTTCCACGCCATATTCATGGCGTCTTGGCCTTTCTCAGCTCCTCCACCTTCGATGGCGTCGAGTCGGACCTAGGGGATACGTTCTTCGACGACCCCGCCCGAAACCAAGTCATCATCACGTCTGCTCTACCACCCGTCGACAGTCTACAAAGATCACGGACGAGATGTCCATCGCAACCTGCTGTCACGCCGGCTCAATACCGTGAGAAGCTGTTGCAACTTCAGAACGCGTTGGCGTGCTCCATCCTCTCGACTCCCACTCTCGTGAGGCTGAGTTCCTTGACACTGCACATCTATCACATCGTCTCCCCGTCCTTGACCGAAATCCTGGCCACCCTTCTCCCCTGCTTACGAGATCTGCGCCTCAACTTCTGCCACCCGTATCTCCACGACACTTGTCTACCAGCACATTATTGGACTAATCCTGTCTTCCTTGAGTCCAGTCCTATATGGAACTCTTTGGCCGGAGTGGGTGGCGAAAGCGGCACGCATCTGAGATTGAGAAAATTGGAGAAGCTGACGGTCGAGCGCGCCGGCATCACCAGCTTCCAATTACGCAAGTGGATCGAGTGTAACCCCAATCTACGAGAGCTGAGATTGCGGAATGTCGCTGGGGTCGACGCCGAGTTCGTGCAATGGCTAGGACAGTACTATGGTGCCGGCGACCCCGAGACCGAGGCGCCCAGACCAACGAGGATGAAGATACTGGCTTTGGAAAGTTGTTCATCGTTGGTTGCAGACTCTGTCGAGCAGCTGACCTGGCTGGACTCGTTATTCGGTGTCGGCGCCAAAGCAGGAGTCTGCGACCAGGAGGAGGACGACGCAGCACTCCAGGTTTTCTCCCTGCGGTACTCGATGTCAGTCCAGACGCGGGCCCTGTGCGCATATCTGGAGTCGCGCCGCCCAGGCGTCCAACAAATCACCTTGCCAGACGGCCGCAGTCTGGCCACCAAGGCTCGCCACAAAAGGTCAAGTCCAAAGGAGCCTTCTAAGGAGGTAGGTCCCTCGCGTACCTGCAGCCACGACAGACGGCACCGACGCAGAACTATGCAGTTGGTATCTCAGGGGGAGAGACAGGGCGAGGACGACAACAATGCCGAATCAGCCGCAATCAACGTTGGCGTCCAAACTCTTACCATGGACGAAAGCCAAAGTCGACCCGACGAGGACGAGAATGATGCGAGCGAAGATGATGATTCGACGTCCTCGTCACCTGTCTCGTACCTCCAACTGATTAATCGTCGTCCACCAAGGAAAGGCTGCAAATTCATGCCTAGTGATATTATCGAGCCGGATCCCGATGTAACTTGATGGGGTATACCGTGATGCGGACTACTGGTTGGATGGCGCCAGAATAGATCAAATCAAGGGAATGAGTTGAAGTCTGTTGAAATGAAACGAGACGAGATAAGATGAGACGAGACGTTACGACACGAGATGCTGTTATGACATGACAACAAAAACGATGTTAGATCTTCGACTAGGTCTTCCCATAACATGAAAGAGAAACACAGTAGCAAATGGAGATTTGGATACGTCTATATCTATCTGCAACGATACATTAGGTAGGCATGAAACAGACGTCCATTCAGCCCATCTCATTCTGAAGCGAGGAAATCCATCTCGTCAATCGTTTATCTATTCATCAGTTCGTAGGATCATCTCGATCGTATGTCTCGCATATTGTGTGCTCGCACGCCGAAGGTCAAAGGCCCATGCTCATGGTTACCGCCAGCGTCACGCTCGGGGTAATACGGCTTGGGTCGTTCAAGCGAGACAATTCATGTGTTTGTCAATCCTTGCAAGCTGACTTTTACCTTACTATCCTTTCCTTTCCAGCGTTCCCAGGTCATTGTCTATTCTATCCCGCTCGACCTTTATCCATCCTGGCCCTGTCCTAGCTTTACTCACCGACGCGCGTCTCTCTCTACAACCTCCAACACCAACTTCTCCCCACTAACACCGCCCTTCAAGATATCCAAAGCTGCATCCACCGCGCCCAAGCCCCCGTCCACCACGCGTGCCTTCGGCGCAGGCACAAAGGTTCCCGCCTGCAACCTCGGGGCCAACCACTCGTGGAGCACGAATTCGAGATGTCTCGCCACGGCGGTGGGCTCCTGCGGACCCATCACGAACTTGACTTTTACGGTCTCGTGCTGGGACGTGTTCTCGTTGACTTGTGGCGCGGACGCGACTTTGCCGCCCCCGAACGTGGCCACCACGTCGACCACGGGCTGTAGGTCGCCGATGGCGCGGTACGCGGTCGTCAAGGCCACGGTGTCGGAATTCGCGGCCGCGATGATCTCCTCGACCACATCGGCGGAGGTATAGTCGAAGGCGCGGGCCGCACCGAGGGCGAGCAGTTGGGCGTGGTGCTGAGGGCGGGAGGTCGCGTAGATGGCTGGGAAGCCTAGGTGCGTGGCGACCTGGATTGCGGACATGCCGACGGAGGAGGAGGCGCCCCAGACTAGGAGCCCCGGTTTGGCGCCCTCACTGCCGCTGTCTCCTTCATGTGGTGTCGAATATAGCGAGGTGGTCGTCATGGGGATGCCGATCGTGGTGAAGCCAGTCCAGGCTGTGAGCACGGCCATGGGTAGGGTTGCTGCGCTGGTGAAGGGGAGGGTTGGAGGGATGGGGCACGCCCATTCGATGGGGAGGACGACTTTCTTTTGGAAACCACCGTACTTCTACCATTAGAGGCGGTGTTAGTGGCGCCAGTCTTTAGCACAGCTGACGACGAGGCATGAGGCGAGAAGGAGGACGGGGGGAAAGGGATACGTATATGACTTACCGGCTTGCCGCCCTGGACAAATGCTGGGGCAAAGCCGAGGACGTGGGCGCCGGGCTTGAATGGTGAGGAGGCAGGGATGTCGCTGCCGAGGGCTTCGACTGTGCCGGCGATGTCGGATCCAAGGATCGCCGGGTATGCCGTAACCATGAAGCCCAGGTCTCTCATGAAGAAATCAACAGGGTTGAGGGCAATGGCGTGGACTGAGATGAGAAGTTCGCGAGGCCCGGGCTTTGGAGTCTCCACGTCCTGGACAATCAGATGTTCGCCCTTTCCCGGGAGGACTGCGGCTTGGTGGGTTGAAGACATGATGCAGGTTGGAGGAGGCAGTGCGGGCTGAGAGTCTGTCTGTTAGTCGTGATAGATAGAGGATATCCTGGACTGATTGATTGACTGAGTGAGTGATCCAACGCGCAGAAGTATATGCAGATGCAATGCCAATCCGCTGGAAAGAGTCGAAAGGAGGGATCGGTTGACAGGGAACATCTCAGGAGATCGAATCAAACCTCTTTATATACCTTCTTCCACCAGTTCAGTACCGTGGCATACTGAGCATCGCTGCCAGAGTCACGCAGTGATCCTTTACTTGATCGCGACTCTTTCGCCTGAAACGACCTCCCATTTCACTTCCCACCCTTCCCGCTTACCGCCTCATGCATTAGCCCAGCCTCAGCTGCTCATGAGAAGACCACGCCGCTCGACGGATCGCCTAGCAAACATCGAGGCCGTTCGGCAGAATAGATGATGCCGACTCCATCCCGATTGTGTGGGGTATCCCGATCTTGACCATGCTTGATAGTAGACCATGGGCATATCGAACGTGAGCCTCCCTCGACATGCGGACTTCGGAGTTACCAACGGAGGTTAGATCTCAAATCATTGCTCCCGTTCCTCAGAGGAGGGACTCCCTGACCAGGGGTAAGCATTGCTGATCAGTCTGGGAGAGTTCTTGCCACTTCTTGAAACCGCTGTGGCGTCTTTGCTGCCGTCGTGCGTAGACTTGCCAAAGCATGATCAAGCACTGGGTCGTGTCACCGAAGTGGGAGAAGCTTGAACACAGGCACCCATGGCATAATGTTGCTCCGGGGCCAACGCCGCCTTAAGTTTCATCAGCACACTTAGATGAGCAACCAACCCAGTGGCCATCGTTATCCCTTGCCACAGTCACCGATCCGCTGAAGGGGACTCGATTTACCGAGTTGACAGCATCATTTGGTGGTCTTCCCGTGTGTGGTGTTGTGCTAAAGAACAGACGGCCAGACGCGGTAGAACCGAGGAAATGACATGACCACGTGATGTCGCGTCGTCCCTCACTTTGACGCGTTCCTCCATCCATCTCCCCGCCTGCGACATCAACAATTCAACACACGCCCGAGTTGCTCCTATGCGCAGACGACGTACAGGATGAAGGCCTCACTCTATGACTCGTCATGGACCGTGTACAGCATACCGCAAATAACACCTTCGCTCTCGAAACTTGTCTCAGCGCCTGCCACAACCCTGCAAGCACACGAGAAGCGCCGTGAGCAGCTTGCTTCGCACGCCGAGTCTTTTCGAGAATACCTTGACGAAAGCCGGCCGCGGCACGAGCGCGACGATGAGAAAACGTCTTTAGGCGGACTAAAGCACTCTCTATGGACCCGACTCGACAACATGCTCGACCAAGATGAGCATCCCCATTCCCCTGTGCTGCATGCTGGGAAGAAGCGACCGAGACAGCAACTGGAACAAGAAAACGAACGGACTCAAAGCAACGCTCTAGTTGTGTGTCTCGCCTACGAAAAGGAAACCTACAAATTTATTATCTACACAACCTCAGCCTCGAGTGCCAGGTCGTCAAAACGCCGTCGTACGGCCTCTCCAACATCCCAAAGTACCTCAGCACCCTCTACCGACGCCACGGCGATTCTCCTTGCGAAGTCCTCGCCCGCTACCTTGAAACGATTCACTACCTACCTTTCTGACCGATTCTCCGTGGACGCAATCCGTCCGCTCTCCCTTTCCTCGCTGTTCCTCCAGTCCAGCTTGGAACGCTACGTTTCCACCGTCCCGTCCGCTCTTCTGGGCCAGATAAGGCTCACTCTCCCGTTCGCCAGGCCCATCGCTCCTGATCTTAAGAGCCTCGAGATTGCAGTCCCGAGGGAGACGACCGAGTCGTTCACCAAGGTCCGTGCATCCCAGCAAAGGAGATCTGGTCCTCGACAGACGCGTGGCGAGAAACTCTTCATGCACCATCTCGCCAACTCCATCCTCAACAAAACCGGACTGTCCATTCCGGTGATCTGCAATGTTCATGGTGGGGAAGACTCACCGGTCGTGGATCCGCAGCGCGATACCAACCCAGCGAGAATCTCGAAAGTCTCGACCGTGTGTTTCGCCCTTTCGGCCGAGTGTCGCCTCAAGTTTGAGAGAAAGGCCGTGGAGGCTGCGGAGGGTGTGAAGGGCGTGCATGACGAGGGTAAAGGCGAGGACGCCGGCGAGGACGACACCGACCCCGACCCTGACGGCGCAGAAAACTGCGTCAAACGTGCGAATCGCGAATTACTCGCGGCATTGGTGGACGAGGCGCGCCGGCAAGTAAGGGACGAAAGTAACCCTTCTGACAGTGGTGGCTAGGCAGATGCTCAGCTACTGCTCAGACTTGGCCTTTCCTGGGCGTGGAGACATGTTCGGCCATGAAGCCCACCGTACTGTACTGTACTTTGTACGCCCTTGATGAAGATACGACACGCGATACGAACAGTTCCTGTACACTGCCTGCGATGGAGTTTGAGGGGCAGTAGCGCTAGTAGGGCTAAAGATTGCTCTGGTGCTGTGATGGGTGGTGTCCTTGGATAATCGAACCATAACACTTGATACCTGATACCCACTTTATACGAGCATTCAATACCCAGTTCTGCAAGATACATGGTAACACGGACTATCCTCGCAAGGCTACACGATCAAGGTCCTGGATGCTTTACATCACAGTTCAGTACTCTTCAAATACAGTATGTGCCACTAAAAGTCTCTTCCCGCTCGAATCATAACTTGGATTTCTCATTCTCATTTTCATTCTCATTCTCATTCTCATTCTCATTCTCATTTTCATTCTCATTCTCATTCTCATTCTCATTCAGACTCAGATGCCGACCGTGCGACTAGGATTCCAGATCTATAGGACTCGTACTCGTACTCGTACTCGTACCCATGGTTCAGGGCCTCATTGACTCTGTAAATATCAATGCTCGCTCGCTGTGTAAGACAGATAACCAAAACAGCACGCGCTATGAGATACGTGATATAAATGCGAGCCAGTGTGACTGACTGACTGATTCGCTCTGTTCCCTGCCGTGGGACTGCAATCCCAACGGGCTAGGGGATGCCGACTCCAAGTCTCTTCGACTCTTCTAACATCTACACTCCTCAGTTGTTCAACGCTCGTCCAGGGTCCGTCTACCCATTCTCTGTATTCTTGCCCTTTCCGAGATCCGACCCCCTCCTCTGCGGAGTGTTCATGCCCGATCCGCCGTACAGGCCTTCAAATTCCCCGCGCACCCCCTCGACAAGTTTGGTGACGCCATCGATTTCCGCGGTGAGATCTTCGACGTTCCCGGCCAAGGCAGCGACTTCGTCAAACTTGCGTCGTCGATTGGCGTCCGCGATCATCTCCTGGACCAAGAACTTCTGCTCCTCCAGCACGATCAGCCGTTCTCGTAACGACTTCTCCTCCACTTCGAGCTCGGATATCCGTTGCGAATTTTGCGATGTGAAACTCGCGACGCTGAGGGCCGATGACGAGTTCTGGCGCACATGTCCGGAATCCGGGGCGTTGAGAATGCTGAGCGAGGCTCGCAGGTTGGGATTGCCGTGTATGTCTGGCTTTTGTGACGAGCCGTGTGGCGTAGCGTGCTTGAGGACCTTGGGCAGTGATTTGAGCGGGAGCATGTGAAGATGGAGGAATTGCGTGGCGTTTTGGTAGATTGCTTTCTGCAGTTTTAGCTGTGTGGGTGACTGGGATGGCATGTCTCGTATTCGGCGTGCGGCCGTGTCGTACTGGGTGAACGAGTCCATTAGTCGCTTCCGAGTGCGACTTGCGTCGGTGATCTGTTGCGATGACGGGGGGCGGTCAGGGTCTTGGAGTGCTTGGAGAAGCTTTTGAAACTTGGGCATCAAGAGGCGGATGCCACGTTCGAACTGGAGGAGATTGGTGTAGGCACGGGTGAAGGCTTCGATTTGGGGCGAGGTCAGTGAGGCTTGGAAGTCACGGCTGGAGAAGATCGTGTGGTTGCACTCTTTGCACAAGCGGATGTCGAGAGCGATGGTATCGTTTGGCGGTGGCTTTTCTGTGATGGAGAGGTGAGTGTTAGCTGTCACGACATGATCAGTAAAGGAACAAAGTGACGTCGAACGAGGTACATACTAGTAGCGACGTTGAGGCCGATGACAGTTGAGCAACCAGTCGCCGGATCGCCACAGACAACCTTTCCACACGTCCTGCAATGGTGCCTGCGGAAGGTGTACTGTGTGAAGTCTTGTTGGCAATAAGGACATCGAGGGGCCTCAGCATCGTTCTGCCACGAGACTATGCTCTGCTCGAGTGCCTTTCGAGGATCGTTCTGAACCCAGTTAAGGGACCACCTCTTGTTAGGAGTCGGCTGAGGAATCTCATCTGGGGGGTTTGCAAGGAGTTGAGTTAATCTCGACAGTCTCTTCTCCAGCCTCGACACCTCCATCTCCCTGTGGCTCAGCTTACTCCGCCTTACAGACTCAAAGTCACTCATCCGATCTCTTTCGAGGCCGTGTCTGTCTGTGTAACCCTCACGACTCTTGTAGCATGTCTCACACACTCGATACCATAAACCTCGAACGGGCTCATGCTGAGCCGACCTTGACAGCTTCATTTGATACATGGTATGTTCGTCACAGAAGAGCTTCCCGCAGTGCCGACAGTTTACCACGCCTGTAGTAGCACCCAGCCTTTTCCCACACGCTGGGTCCGAGCAGCTGTCATAACCAGTTCTCTTCTGCCAATGTTGCCTCGTGATGATGTCGTCTGGGTCGATAATGGTCTGAGCTGGCTTCGGAGGTGGCGGCGGAGGAGCAACATGGTCTCTTGAAACAGAGTTCTGCCTTGGAATAGGAGTGGTGGTTCTAGAAATGTCGTTGTTGGACTCGAAGACATCCAGACCCTTGAGTTTCTGATTCAGGACGGCCAGAGGTTGAAACTTCTTGGCCTTGACCATCTGTTGCTTGAACCAGTCCTTCACTTCATCCTGCTGCTCCTCTTCTATCTCCTTATGTGCGTCGTCAAGATGTCTATTCAACTGTAGCAGAGTGACCATTTCCTCGTTGCAGATCGGGCAGACCAGGCGGTCTGTTGCAGCGGCCGCCAGTGACAAATCTGGCGCTCCATGGTCGAGGGAAACTCGAGACGCAATGTCCTGGGGGTCAGAGGAGGGCGGAGTGGACGTGCCACTCTCGGAGGTATTGAGGGAGAGAGTCGACGCTGCAGGGCTGAGGACGTGAGTGGGGAGGGGTGAGGGTGAGGTCGGCTTCAGTGGTGGTAGCGGCGGCCCGAGTGTCCTACCGCTTCCCAAGACTCTTCCGCCGCCGATTGTGCGCCGGGACATTGCGGCGAGATGAGGCTTCCATGAAGCCTACTTGTGCAGAGGAGGACGTTGGTCAGGCGCCGCAGTACGGAGTAGAGGGATGGAAATGAAACGACTCGGCGGAGGAAGGCGGAGCGTCAGTGGCACTTCAAACACCGCCGGGCTGCTTAGTCACCGCGAGGAGGCACAAAGCATACACACAGCACCAAGTAAGGTATACCTCACTTTCATCCATTTGCTCATCGTCTATCATAATCTGCTGTTAACACAGTGAGAGTCTACCGTGGCGGCTCAACTTCAACTTCGGCATGTCTTGTCACTTCTCCCATCAAGCACTCTTTCCAGCGTCCTCTTTCAGACTGACGATCCGGTTCAGCACAATCTTCCCAGCCGCGTCATCCGTATCCTTGTCAACACAGAAGTAGCCAGTTCTCATGGCCTGGAATCTCACCGACTCAGGTCCACATTTCTCCTTTTTCTCCCCTGCTTCTTCTGGCCAGGGCGCTCGCGCCCGTATCTCCTTCAATCCTACTTCAGCCAGTGCATTGGGATACACTTTCAGGCTGTCTTCTCGGATATCCGCCAGGAAGCTTGGCTCAACGGCATCTGGGTTGTCCGACTTGAAAAGAGGGTTGAACACGCGGACTTCACACTTTATCGGTGAGCCGTGCTCGGGCGCGTCGGCAACCCAGTGAATGTAGGCCTTTGGCTTCTTGGGCTTTTCTCCCTCTGCTGGCCTGTCATACTTGGCATGAATCTCTGTCACCAAGCCAGTGGTCTCATCCTTCTTGAAGCTGGTGGCGATGACGGGATAAGGGACCTTTAGTAGACCCACGGGTTTTCCCGGGGCCATGCGGAAGAAGTCTTTGCTATCCACCTCTCGAAAATCGTCCCGCTCGATGTACACCTTCTTGGTGAACGGCAATTTGTGAACGCCCATGTCAACGTCTTTGGGACCGAAGGCGTTTTCGAGCTCTTCGTAGTGATCGTCGGGTAGATCATCGATGATGACGGGTACAGGGTCCAGCACAAGCATGAGACGAGGGACAGTCATCTCCAAGTACTTGCGGATTGACTGTTCGAACCGTACAATCTGGATGTTGATGGTGGCTGTTGTGACCCCGAGCTCGCTGACGAATGACAGGATTGCGCCGGGCGGTACACCCCTTCGCCTCAGGGCAACAAGTGTGTATAGTCTGGGGTCGTCCCAACCGTTGACGATCTTCTCATCCACCAATTTCTTGATCTTCCGCTTGGAGAGCACTGTTCCGGTGACGTTCAGCCGGCCATATTCTCTCTGCATGGGCTTGTGGGGGACGTCAACTTTGTTGTTCAGCCACTCGTATGAGACCCTCGACAATATGAACTCGGTCGTGCATAGTGAGTGGGTGATGCCTTCAAAGCTATCACACAAGCAGTGGGTGAAGTCGTACGTAGGATAGATTCTCCATTTGTCACCAGTACGGTGATGGGGTTTCTCGAGGACGCGGTAGGCCACAAGATCCCACATTTGTGGGTTACCGTCGGTTAAGTCCTGCTTCATCCGCAAAAAGGCCTCTTTGGGCTTGTACTTGCCATCTTTCATGGCTCTGAACTCAGCTAGTGACTCTTCGATCGGTCGATCGCGGTGTTTGCAGGCGTATCTCTCATGCTTGTTCTTCAGGTCCGTACCTCCGCGCTGATCCTTGAGCTCCTCATCCGTGCAATGACACACATAGGCACCGTCTAGTGTGATTAGCTTCTCCGCCAGATCGTACAGCCTGTCGAAGAAGTCGCTGGAATAAGTGATCAGGGCAGGGTCAAAGCCGAGCCATCGCACGATATCTTCGATGGCGATGAAGTAGATCTCTTCTTCGGCCTCGGGATTCGTGTCGTCGTAGCGAAGATTGCACTTGCCACCATGAAATTTGGCAAACCCAAAGTTGATTGCTATAGCTTTGCTGTGGCCAATATGAAGATATCCGTTGGGCTCGGGCGGGAATCGTGTCACCACCGGTTCATCTGCTGGCCTTTCCTTCCGCACTGCTGCCAACCAGCCTTCCTTGAACATCGCCTCCGGATCAGTCGGGGCCGAAGGTGCTGCATTTGCGGGTTTGGCAGGTTTCGCTGCTGGCGGCTTCGGCTCCTTGGGCTGCTTTGGCGGTTTGGGGGCTTTTTCTTTCTTGGGCTTTTTCTCTTTATTCTCTGTTATCGCAGTCTCGATATTCTCCTTCGTACGCTCCGGCAGGTCCAGGCTTGCCTCTGCGGGCTGAGCCATATTTCCCTAGCACGCACGCACGCACTTCTCTGTCCCCCCGGCCCTTGTTAGACAAGGAAGCAAACACTGAAAAGTCCTCTTCGGATTTCAAGACTATGGCACTGCTGTCAAACCGTCCCTGAAAAGTCCTTCGATCACCAAATGTAGAAATTAATTGAGTGGTGGAGCTCTGGTCTGTCAATGCTGACTGACTCTTATTGTATCGTGGACAGTGTGAGTGAATGAGTCAAGGGAAGGATGACAAACATGCCAAGCCAAGCAGCGACAAACTTTCAAGCGGCGACGATTCCTCCGTCGCCCGCTGGACGAGATGCCTGCGCCTTCTCGAATGTGCCATCTTTTTTACGAGGACACCCTGTTCCAAGGTCTTCGTCCGCCGCCACGAGGGAGGATCTCCTCTCCAGAACCAATCTCCAACAGACGAGCTCTTGATTGACGCTCGCCATGGCAGCAAAATCGTAAGTACATGTCCGTGACCGGCCATCAATGGCGCCCTCTGATGTATCACAGATCTAAACTGGTAGACAATGACCAGATCGAGTCGGCCAGCCTCCACAATCCCTTACCCGTCTTCCTCAAGGCTTATATCTGGCCCTTCACCATCTTGTGGCCTATATTCTTCGCTCTCTACCTCAACGAGGATCTCTACGACGACTATATTGACGGCCAGGAATGGACGTTCGTCTACGTTGCAACCATCGTTACGCTCCAGTCCCTGACCTGGCTTTCGACTAAATGGAGTGTCCACTTGCGAACTGCTTTTACTACCACGAAGGCGACGCAAGTCGCGGACGCTCAGCTCATCAAGGTCATTCCCGTGGCCAACTCGGGCGCATCGGGGATTTGCAAACTGGAAAGAGAGCGGGATGGGAGAACTTCGTTCCTGTTCCAGAAGAGGCGCTTCGTCTACTCGCCTGAGACAGGTGCATTTGCGCCGTTGAAATATGCTCTTGATGCCGACCAGAAGCCGTTACTTCGCGACTTCCAACTGTCCAAAGGGCTGACCTCCGCCGCAGAGATTGAACAAGTCCAGAAGCACTATGGTGACAATACCTTCGACATTCCTGTGCCCACGTTTGTTGAGCTGTGGAAGGAACATGCCGTCGCGCCCTTCTTCATCTTCCAGGTCTTCTGTGTGGGTTTGTGGTTGCTTGACGACTACTGGTACTATTCCCTGTTTACACTTTTCATGCTTGTCGCCTTCGAGAGCACCGTTGTGTGGCAGAGGCAGCGCACACTGAACGAGTTCCGAGGTATGAGCATCAAACCGTACGACATTTGGGTATATCGCGCCCTCCAGTGGGTCGAGATCAAGAGCGATAAGCTATTGCCTGGCGATCTGGTGTCTGTTGGACGGACCCAGGAGGACTCTGGCGTTGCCTGCGATATGCTTCTGATCGAAGGGACTGCCATTGTCAACGAAGCCATGCTTTCCGGAGAGAGCACTCCGCTCTTGAAAGAATCCATCTTACTCCGCCCGGGAGATGCGACCATCGAGCCGGAGGGTTTGGACAAAAATGCGTTTTTGTGGGGTGGTACCAAAGTTCTCCAGATCACACATCCAGCCGCTAGCGATGATGCGCCCGACACTGTGCCACAGGTGCAGTCCGGTGTGCCCACACCCCCTGACAAAGGCGCCATGGCTATTGTCCTCAAGACCGGTTTCGAAACCAGCCAGGGAAGCCTTGTGCGCACTATGATATACTCGACCGAACGTGTCTCGGCCAACAACGCCGAAGCATTGATCTTCATCCTATTCCTGCTCATCTTTGCGCTCGCGGCTTCGTGGTACGTTTGGCAGGAGGGTGTCCGGAACAACAGAAAGCGCTCGAAACTCCTCCTGGACTGTATCTTGATCGTCACTAGTGTCGTACCACCAGAATTACCTATGGAACTGTCCCTGGCAGTCAATACCAGTCTGGCAGCGCTCAGCAAATTCGCCATTTTCTGCACCGAGCCGTTCCGCATCCCCTTCGCTGGTCGTGTGGACGTTGCATGTTTTGACAAGACAGGGACTCTAACCGGAGAAGATCTCGTCGTTGATGGTATTGCCGGTCTCAGCCTCGGCAAGCAAGGCGCCGCGGCTGAGGCAGATGGTGCTCAATCTACAGTTACTAAAGTACCTGACTGCGGAGTCTACACCACCCTTGTTCTGGCCACCGCTCATGCGCTAGTCAAACTTGAAGAGGGCGACATTGTCGGAGACCCGATGGAGAAGGCTACCTTGAATGCTCTAAACTGGACCCTTGGCCACAACGATACTCTCACCAGCAACCCGCCGCCCAAATCCAAGAAAGCCAAGCCGACCAGCACAGCAGGTGCCTCGCACATCGTCCAAGTTAAACGACGCTTCCAGTTCTCCTCCGCACTAAAACGGATGAGCTCCGTGGCTACGGTCCTCATGACCGACCCGAACACTGGTCGCAGAGCAAAAGGTACATTCGTTGGTGTAAAAGGTGCTCCCGAGACCATCCAGAAGATGTTGGTTAAGACCCCGCCCAAATACGAGGAAACTTTCAAATACTTCACTCGCAATGGTGCTCGAGTGCTCGCCCTTGGTTACAAATACCTTTCAGCCGAAGCAGAGCTTGGTCAGAAACGCATCAACGATCTGAAGCGCGAGGAAGTCGAGTGTGACTTGCAATTCGCCGGCTTTTTAGTCCTGCAAACCCCTCTTAAAGAGGACGCGATCAGAGCCATTCAGATGCTGAATGAAAGCAGCCATCGTGTCGTCATGATCACGGGCGACAACCCTCTTACTGCGGTCCATGTGGCAAGACAAGTCGAAATTGTCGACCGGGATTGTTTGATCCTGGATGCTCCCGAGCACGATGACTCGGGCACCAAACTCGTGTGGCGCAGTGTAGACGAGAAGACCATCATTCCAGTCGATCCCACGGCAGATCTAGATCCGGAGATACTCGCAACCAAGGACCTGTGCGTTACTGGGTATGCGCTGGCCAAGTTTACTGGCGAGAAAGCACTCCCGTCACTACTCAGGCACACCTGGGTCTATGCGCGGGTTTCGCCGAAGCAAAAAGAGGAAATCCTGATTGGCTTGAAGGACCAGGGGTACACGACTCTCATGTGTGGCGATGGCACGAACGACGTGGGTGCGCTGAAGCAAGCTCACATCGGCGTTGCTCTGCTCAACGGCTCCCAAGAAGCTCTAAATAAAATCGGAGAGCACTTCAGGACGAACAAAATGAAGGAGATCTATGAGAAGCAAGTGCAGTTGATGGCGAGATTCAATCAGCCAGCTCCTCCCGTCCCACCTGGCATTGCACACCTGTATCCGCCCGGTCCCCGCAATCCTCACCACGAGAAAGCCGTCAAAGCGATCGCTGAGAGGAAAGGCATCAGCCTGGAAAACGGCGAGGCAGGGAACGGTACGATCGAAACTATCACGTCACCTGGCGCCCAAGCGATACAACAGTCAACAGCCAACCTGACGCCTCAGCAACGACGGCAGCAGGAAGTCCAACAGAAAGCTGCAAGCTGGGCCGACAAGTTCACTTCGAGCATGATGGAAAACGAGCTTGATGATGGTGAGCCGCCTACGATCAAATTAGGCGATGCTTCCGTCGCTGCTCCATTCACCAGCAAGCTAGCCAACGTCGTGGCCATTCCCAACATCATCCGACAGGGCCGTTGTACCCTCGTCGCCACTATCCAGATGTATAAGATCCTGGCTCTTAACTGCTTGATCAGTGCATACAGCTTGTCGGTGATCTATCTAGCTGGTATCAAATTTGGCGACGGTCAAGTCACAATCAGCGGCATGCTGATGTCGGTTTGCTTCCTCTCGATTTCGCGAGCCAAACCTGTGGAAGCATTGTCACGAGAAAGACCACAGCCAAACATCCTGAACATGTACATCCTCGGGTCCGTCCTCGGACAATTCGCCATTCACTGCGCAACTCTGATTTACCTTTCCAGAGTGGTGTACTCCATCGTTCCACCTAGTGATGAAGTCGATCTCGAGGGTGAATTCGAGCCGTCCTTACTCAACAGCGCTGTCTACCTCATGCAGCTCATTCAGCAGGTCTCCACCTTTGCCATCAATTATCAAGGCCGCCCCTTCCGTGAAAGCATCCGAGAGAACCGAGGCATGTACTGGGGTCTTCTCGCCTGTTCCTTCGTGGCCTTTGCCGGAAGCACCGAATTCCTGCCCGAGCTGAGTGAAAGACTTCGTCTGGTGCCGTTTACATCCGAGTTCAAATGGACGCTCACAGGTCTCATGATCGCCGACTTCGCCGGATGCTGGGTTGTGGAGCAAATCTTCAAGACCTTGTTCAGCGATTTCCGACCCAAAGATATCGCCATCAAGAGGCCTGATCAAGTCGAGAGAGATGATCGACGGAAGAAAGAACTAGCAGAGAAAGCTGAGCAGGAGAGGATCGCGGAGATTGAGAGGAAACGAGGAGTGGCTGACAGTACTGTTCCAGGTAGAGCGACGTTGAAGAGATGATCTGTTGCATTGCGTAAAGTGAGGGCTCGCCTGGATGACTACAGAGAGCACGTTTTAGACGACATAGACGGTGGGAGCCTTCTCGGACTGAGCCGTATACACCCGAGAAGGGGGTGTATTTGAACATAATCGAAGCCAATTGATGGAATTGCAGGGATGATTCTCCACCTTGAGATCCATGATCCTCTACTTGACTCGGTGACTCGCCAGTTGGTATTCTATCACTGTCCTGTCCACAATCTGCCGCCCAACGACAGAGTCATAGATGCAGTATTCCACTATTCCAGCCCGTACTGTCTACTCAAGACTCTTCGTCTACCATGGTCAAAAACCTCCTGTTTCTTCTGATCTGTTACAAGGGACTCGGCTGGTCTGTTGGCTGCTTCCCCTTCCTCCCACCGATACGCTCATACTGCTTGCTTGCTTGCTTGCTCACGCTTCTTTTCTTTTCTTTCAAGCATGATCTATCAGAATCAAGAAAGTGAGTGAGTGGGTGGGTGCCCTCTACCTGTCGGTAATGTAATGCAGTGCGACTTTCCACGACCGAGATACGAGTAGCATTGGTGTCTGGAACTGAAGGGTAGAGATATCCCTGTGCCCGATATGAAGCAGGGAAGAGGTGGGAGCGTAGTCATAGGATAAATACTCTAATAAGTAGGGCTAGGCAAAGAGCTGGGGAGCCGGGAAGGTCGATCACGGAGCGGAGCAGAGCAGAATTATATACCGTACCTACCCATCATGTTCCTTTACTGGGTATACATACCTCATCATGCTCCTTTACTGGGTATACGTACTTCGTACTCACGTACGACCCACTCACTCTCTTCCGGTGTACGCATTCTCAGTCCATCCTCATATAATTCAATAGTGCTATTCATTTTATATATTCGCCGTCCCATCCAGATTCAATACATTCACTACTCGGAATCTACCAATCTATCCTCCTCTGCGCCGCGACACTGATCTCCCGTCCGGCATTGACGTTGCCCGTGCCCGGCATGGCGCCCACGGTCTTTTGCGGACGTAACCCATTCTTCAACCCCAGCTTCTTGTCCAGACTGGCGAACGGGTTGGGCGTCTCGCCGGCCTTGACGACCCACTTGGTCGTGCCCAGCACGTTATCCATTTCCTGCACGGGCGGCAACTTGAGGTAGACCCAGCCGTCGTCGCGCTCTTCGGCCGCGAACGTGGCGATCGACATGCTGGTGTCGTTGGAGCAGGAGCCCGCCCCCGCGGCTTTGTCCTCAAAGTCCACGTCCCCGTTGAGCTGGAAGTTGCGCTTGTGATACGGACAGCTCACGTAGAATTTGCTCTCCTTGCAGTCATTGTTGCTGCTGTCAGAGCCTTTGATTTCTCCGATGAGCCCGTCGGCAAGCCCAAAGGTCCGCCGGTGCGGACACATCTGCTGCGAGGCGTAGTACTTGCCCTTGAGTTTGAAGACGGCGAGCTGTGTATCCCCACGGAGGACCGTCTGGCTGGACCCGGTGTCTAGGTCTTGGAACCGCTTCGCCTCGACGATGGGCTGCCACGTGAGGCTCGTCCACCGCGTGCCCTTGAAGTCGTCGTGCACGGGGTCCTTGGCCCAGTACGCGGGCCGGGATTGGCCTCGCTCTTCGACCTTTTCGACGGCCGGCTCGCGGTTCTCCTCGCTGTTGGCGAACTGCTGGAACGATCTGCGCTTGTCCGGGTCGTTAAGGACTTCGGTCCATTCGCAGAAGAAGGTGCCGACGAGTTCTTGCATTTGTTTCTCGAGCTCGGCGCAGATGCCGAGCTTGTCTTCCAGGATGACTTCGCGGAGGTATTTGATCCCGCCAGGGAGATTCTCTACCCAGCGCGCCGTCCGTTGCAGGCGGTCGGCTGTCCGGATGTAGAACATAAGATAGCGGTCGAGGATGGGGATGACATCGTCAGGAGGCACATCCTTCGCGAGGACCTCCGAGTGTCGCGGCGTTGCGCCGCCGTTGCCACCGACGAAGATATTGAATCCCTTTTCCGTGGCGATCAGGCCAAAGTCCTTGTTTTGCGCTTCGGCGCATTCGCGCACACAGCCCGAGACACCACCCTTCATCTTGTGCGGCGAGCGGATGGATTTGTAGCGTTCTTCGAGCCGAACAGCCATGCCGACTGAGTCGCCGATGCCGAACCGACACCACGTCGTACCTACACAGGACTTGACTGTGCGCAGAGATTTCGCGTACGCGTGGCCAGATTCCAGACCGCCAGCGACGAGCTCGGACCAGATGTTCAGCAGGTCCTGCTTCTTCGCACCGAACATGTCGATACGTTGGCCACCAGTGATCTTCGTGTATAGGCCATACTTCTTGGCCACTTGGCCGATAACGATCAGTTTCTCGGGGCTGATCTCGCCACCAGCGACACGGGGGATGACGGAGAATGTGCCGTTGCGTTGAATGTTGCCGAGGTACTTGTCGTTGGTGTCTTGCAGGCCGTGGAGCGGCTTGTCCATGACATGCTTGTTGAACATGCCGGACAGGATTGAAGCGACCGCGGGCTTGCAGACTTCACAGCCCAGACTATCAGGATCGGTGCCACTGTCTCGCATGACCTCGCCAAAGTCTTTCAGCTTCTTGACGTAGACGATGTTATACAGATCGGCTCGAGAGTACTTGAAATGAGGGCAGATGTTATTCGAGATCTCCTTGCCCATTTCTTTCATAGTCTTGTTGAAGATCGACTGCACGAGGGGCACGCAGCCACCACAGCCCGTGCCGGCCTTGGTGCAAGACTTGACGTCTCCAAGTGATTTGCAGGAGCCATCTTTGACGACACCGGCCACGTCGCCTTTGGTGACATTATGGCAGGAGCAGATCTGGGTGTCGGCGGAGAGGTCATCGGCGTTCTCATCACCGTCTTTGGAGGCACCGATGATGAACTCGGAAGGAGGAACCTCTAATTGCTTCTTGTTCTTGACCATAGGAACCAGCTTGACGTAGTCCTTGGTGTCTCCAATCATCATGCCGCCTAGCAGGTACTTCCCGTCCACGGTGAACAGGTACTTCTTGTAGACGGCCGCGAAAGGATCTCGGTACGTGAGGGCTTTGACGGCTGGAGGTGCAGGCCCATCAGTAAGGCTCTTGACCTTGTCTTGGGTAGCGTCGGTACCTTTAGGCGCCCTTTCTGCTCGTTTGACATGTCTGGCTGGCAGGTCTTTGGGACCGTCTCTGTCGGCGAAGAAGTCCCCAAAGCTGGCGACTTCAACACCTAGTAGTTTCAGCTTGGTGCTCAAGTCGGGTCGTTTGAATGTGCGAGGGCTGTGGACTTTAGCTTGGGTGAGGTTGAAGGACAGGACATCGGCTTGCTCAATGCCCGGGGCGATGAGGCCGAATGTCTGATTCTCCCAGCTCGCACACTCGCCGATGGCGTAGATGTTGGGATCGCTGGTTCTTAGATTGTTGTCAATTGTGATACCACCACCGCGGTCGGCGCATTTCAAGCCGGCATTTCTGGCAAGCTCATCCCTCGCTTTGATGCCGATGGCAAACATTATACACGAGCACTCCATCTCCTCACCATCTTCAAAGACGACTCCCTTGACGGCGTTGTCCTCATTGGCAACGATCTTCCCGACCCGCTTGCTGAGCATAACGTCTAGTCCGAGGTTGCGAACGAGCTCAACGACCATGCCACCTGCATCGCCGTCCAGCTGTCGAGACAATACCCATCTATTTCTCTCGATGAGCTTGACTTGGCCGAATTCTTCAAGATCCATCATGGCCTTGGCGGCTTCAAGGCCGAGCAGGCCTCCACCGACAACGCATCCCGTCGTGCCTTTGACAGTGGCAGAGAACTCGATCAGTTTTTGGAGATCGTCGATGGTTCTGTAGACGAAGACGCCTTTGGCATCGTGACCAGGAGTGTGTCTCGGTAGGAGAGCATCAGAGCCAGTGGCGAGCACCAGGATATCGTAGGGGATCGTATCTCCATTGGCAGTGATGACAACTTTCTCAGACGTTTTGATCTCCGTAGCCAGGGTGTTGAGATGATAGTTCAGAGCATCCGTAGGATGGCCTTTGTACCACTCTTCGGGGTTGAGGTACAGCGACTCGACTTGTCGGTGCTGGAAGAAGCTCGTCAACCCAACACGGTTATAGGCCAGATGAGGTTCCTCCCCGATGACCACGACGTCGTATTCTCTCCTTTTGGCGTCGAGCTTCAAGAGTTTCTCACTGGCCATCCATTGTCAGTGCGTGTACTCTCTCTCATTTGAAGAGGCTTACACGAAAGCGATGCCGACCATGCCCAAGCCAACAACGACGACTTTCTTCCTCTGGCCCTCCGATGGTTTTTGGTCCCCACTGGCCTCTGCGTCCTTGGGAGCTCGGCTGATGGCCATGCCAGGAGAAGATGTTGCCCAGGACATGTCGCCGTTGCTTCTGAGCCTGACTGGACGCGATATTCCTGTCGACAACCCCTATGAGCAATGCGAAGAAAGCGGCGAGGGCATGGATTGGCTTCGAGCTCAAATGCTTACTGGGGAGGGTGCGAGGACTCTTCCATCGTCTCACAGATGGCCGTTGGCTGTGTCTGTGCCATGGTTCAATGCCTGACGCCACCCACGCGAGGCATCATATCCGCGGGGATGAAGTGAATGTCGAACCAGCCAACGACATTGCCGGATTTGCTTATCAGCGAGGCTCATCGGCAGGGGAGGCAGGCCAAGATGCCCGTTTGGTACCCCCGGACTCAAGGGCCAATTGGCAATATTGCATTGTCATTGTCTGTCGTCAGTCGCATATCGGCAGAGGACGCGAGATATCTGGGTAGGGCTCGATCGGGGACATGTCGAAGATCATGTCTTCTCCACGGTCTGAGATTTGACGGAGGTGGAGCGCTGCGATAAGACATCGAGGGATTGTGCAGGAGAAAGAGAGACGCAGCTGAGTGGACGATGAAAGTTGCGATAACATGACGATCGACTAGCGCGGTATTGTATTGTAACCGCTCGTAATACCGGTACCGGGTTGCAAAGGTTGTGGGATCTTCGTACCCCTACAGCATCACAGTACCTGTTCACTACATGTAGCCTCTTGTCTGACTAGAAACATTCATCCATCATGCCTGCAGACTTGTCCATATCTCAGCAACACTTCGTCACATGCTTGAATATCTTTTCCACAATCGCAGGCCAAGAAGACGGCCAAGAGCAAGAAACCCATGTTCCAAAACCATAATCCCAATGCCGCAGATATGCAGATGAGAGAATTTCCATTTGCCTTATCTGGAGCATGCGCTTCAGAAGAACATGAGCTGGTCGTCACTCCATCCATCGTCCAACAGTGCCTTGTGCATAGTCTTCTCCATGGCCTCTGGGCCACAGAGCAAGACCAGCGTGTCCTCGGTCTTGGTGTAGTTTTCTTGTACCAGCTTGCCGGTGATACGCCCGCGGAGACCAGTCCAATCGTCCGGCGCCTTGGTCAGCGTGTGTAGAACCTTACATCTGTGTTCATTGCCTGCCAGTAACGTGTCGAGCTCTTCCTTGCACAAGATGTCTTCAAACAATCGATTGCCGTCGAAGATGATGCAGTGAGTCTTGTCCTCTGGGTTGCGGATAACAGCACGGAACACTTGGTATATGGGTGTAATGCCGCTCCCTCCACAGATCATCACGAAGTTCTTGACGAACCTCTCTTTGCCTGAGATAAGACATTTGCCGTTGCCAAGATATTCGAACTTGCCAATTGGCCCCTTCATCTCAATGAAGTGTCCGATAGGCAGAGCATCCATAGCTTGAGACATCTTTCCTCCTTTGCCACCAGCATCGGCGAAGTAGACCTTGACAAGCATATCCATAAATCCCCGGTCATTGATCTCTGAGATTGGGGTGTAACTGCGGATGATTGCTTCGCGAGTGGCTGGGTCCCGAAGCCTGACCATCAGGTGCTGTCCAACGGGGAGTCCTAGGCGCTGTTCTGGATGCTCTAGCTTGTAGCTGAATATACGGGTGTCCCACGAAACGATCCGCTTGCCGTGAAGAACTGCCTTCTTCCACGATTTGGGATTCAGGAATTTCTCCGAAGGCTTGCCCGACTGGTCGGCCTCCGTTTCATCCTCGGTCAGGGCAGTTTTTGCGGCCTCGTCTAGCGAGCCAATATGATATTTCGGCATCATTGCCTTCGCGGTCTCGCTGTGAATGGCGAGGAACTCCTCCGAACTGTCGAGACCAGCCGCTGAGATGATGCTCTGCGCACCACCAGGATGTTCTTCCAAAAATGCGGTGCCATCGTATACTTCGCCGTTGACAACAAACCAGGGTTGCTCCTCTTTATCGTGCTTGCGCAGCTCATCGATCGTGATCGGATTCTTCAAGCCTTCCTTGACCATGAGTATCTCCTTGGCTTGTTCTTCAGGGGGCACCACTGGGCCTTCACCCTCGAGCTTTTCACCCCAGAAGCCGTTGGCCAGGTTTCCACCGGCCTTCTTGACCCTTTCCATCCATCCGCCAGGCATGAGTGCGGGCTGGGTTGGATGTTCGAACCGGAGGTAGTCGCCTTCTAGTGTGATGGTGACCCGAAACCACGGATTATTCATCATGCCCAGGACTGACCAGTACATGTCTCGAGGCTGGACATTCATACTCTCGTCCATCGCTCTGACAAAGATGTCCTTCGCTCCAGCAAGTTCTCTCGTGCCCAGATCTACGGACCAAAAGCACCAGCAAAAGCATGTTTCACGCCACGACATGTCGATCCTGCCACCGAATAGATTTCTTTCGGTTTGACGATATCGATCCTCGGCGTAGTCAATATCTGCTAGCCGCCACGTTTTGCCTTTGTCCAATGAGATCTCTACCCTGGTGATCCGTCGCCCGCCGCCGCTGTAGGCATATCCCCTCGCTCGATAGGTGCTCGGGGCGCCGGTTAGGCATATTTGCTCCTCGTGCTGAGGGTAGCATATCGCCGAGTTGGGACTGAGGTCGTAAATGGCATATCTGTCATCGGTCCACCACTTCGGATTGTTTGCTGACTCTTCCGGCGAGACCATTGTCGGCAGTACCCTGTTGTCATATATATGATACCAATTGTCGCTAGGTGCATCCGTGACGATGAGCTTGGTGAGCCATTTGACTGATCGACCACCAATTTGCCCCGGGATGACGGCGCGTAGGGGCTTTCCGTGGTCGGGTCTCAGCGTCTCTCCATTCATCTTATATGCCAGCATGAATCCGCGGTTAGGGTCCATCACCCAGTTCAATTTGACAGAAGTCCCGTAGAAGCCGTTCGGAAGCTTATCGGCACCTTCCATGCAAACGTACTTTGCTTTCCGCATAGGTCTTGATTCTTTGATGACATCGGCCATGACCACGCCTGTGAACAGCGCCGTTGACAAACCAGCCGCGCCCCATGAGAACCCCTTGCTCTTCCGCACCATATTCTGCTCTTTCCGCCGATTACCAGCACATACCAAGGTAATCGGGCAGGTGATTTGTTCGTATTCGGTCATCAGTTGTCTCAGAGAGATAGTCAAGGGATTTTCGACCAGTCCCTCAACCGTGAATTTCCAGTCAATAATATCGTCGTCGCTAACTTGAGGCACAGCTCCATGGTTCCTAACGTAAAATAGTTCGGGACTCGTCAGAAAGCCTTCATTGAACAACTCTGTCAGCGGCGCTTCGACATTGAAAGGGTGAACACCGGTTAGTCTGATTAGCCTCGGATCCCGCGGTACATGGCTATCTGGCGTCTTGAGATCAACATCCAGCACCTCGGTGGGCACCTGCGTAGGAGGTGGAAGTGGTATCTCTATTCGCTCGTCATCCGCGTCTGAAGTGTTGTCGTCTGTGGGCGGCGGAGACGGAGGCAGCACGTCTTCAGCCTGTTGTTTGTCGAACTTCTCAATCTTCTCAGGTACACCCTCGCTGTCCGTGTTCGGATCTTCCATCTTCGCGTAATAATAAAACGACGGAGATCTTGACAAACGCGACTTTACCAGAGTAACCAGATCAACGAGAAGGACGCACAGGAGGCAATGGCAGAGTCAGCTTAGTTCAATGACGGCTCATTTACACGATACCAGCGACCACACGCAGAACCACGACAAGGAGGGCGGAGCGAGGGTCAGGCCTGCCCCCCCTTGCAACTTGCGTCACCGAGGATTTTGAGAGGACATAATTTGTGCATTTGCGTGTGCGCGTCCCTATCGAAGAGACCTTCTGGGCCCCCGTCGAGATCGATGCTGCACAACGATGAAGATCCGCGGGATAACGCGAGAATCTGCGCGTGTGGAACGTTGCGAGGAAATGTTTGACCTTCCGCTTATCTCTGGCCTTTCTGGATGAGGCTAGACGCTTTTGCAGGTCGTAATCCCATTACACCTGCCATTGCGATCAGTCCTTGAGACCTGAGAGCCGCGGAGCAACACTTCTTGTTTTGACATTAGGAAGGCTTGATATGATGTATTGCCGATACCGTCAATAACTCTGTGTTGTCACAGACGTCAGATCATTGCGGCGGTAATGGCTCTGTCAGAGTGGTGGTGATTTCATCTGGTGGGCTTTGACCCCGTATGTCTTATAGGTACTCCATACTGCTGGCAGCAGGGCCTGAAAACTCAAAACGAAAGCTGATAGAACTGCCCAGAGGAGATTAATGGATGGTGACCATCAAGACCAGGCTTGCCAGGTCAGACTCAAGTCAAACGGCTCTGGTGACTTTGCTTGAATGTGGATCCAATCACAGCAGAGCTTGGCATGTGACTCGGTCTCGGAAAATCTTTGGCGCCGAATGATTTTTTGACTGTAGCGACGACAATGTCGGTGCATCGTTCTAAACTCCTCACCATTGTTGAATTTAACCCCCAACCTTCATTCGCCACTCAAGGCAGCCGTCGCCATGCCTCAGAACGAGTACATCGAACGCTGGACGAAGCAACACGGCAAGCGTCTCGACAATGATGAGCGAGTCCGAAAGCGCGAGGCAAGAGAAGGCCACTCCCAGTCCGAAAAGGCCCAAAACCTACGCGGCCTGAGAGCCAAACTGCACCAGAAGAAACGCCATGCCGAGAAAATCCAGATGCGGAAAGCCATCAAAGCGCAAGAAGAACGAGATGTTAAATCTGCGGCACCGAACGAACCTTCCTCGACACCTCTGCCCAATTACCTGCTCGATCGTTCACAGGCGAACAATGCAAAGGCTTTGTCGAGTGCGATCAAGAACAAACGGGCGGAAAAGGCGGCCA